TTAATATCCACAAAATACTTTCCTAGACGCTTAGATATGCATATATGTATACTTATATAGTTAAAGATGTAAACCGCCGAAGTTGATTTTAAGTAAGGCGTTAAGGCTCCATACGAATTGGCTTCCTCGAGACTCTTCCGTGTAAACCAATTGGGAGCCATGTGTAAATTTATTGTATTGCCGACGTTTCTCCTGCATTGCAGTGGGCGTTATAAGGGGGAGAAGGCACTGATTTATATTGAATAGTAGAACTTGCAGTTATAAATCGATTTCGCTCCCGGCCAGGATGACGATGTCGGCGACGCCTGGCAGTTTCGGTTATTTCTCAAAATGGCCGCCACTCGTGTTCCGGTATGACCCTGGATGGATTTCGAGTTTATGGCCTCGCTCGAAGGGGGGCCATCGATTCGAGGTGGGATCCCTGCTGGACTCGGGCCCGTGTAAACGGCACTCTTCCGCGTAAATGACACGGGCCGGAAAATGCAGGAAAATGCGCCCGCAGGTTGAGGAGTAATCGCAAGCCCTCGGCGACAGGTCCTGGGCGCCGGCGGACACAATAAACTCCATGCAAATGCGGAACCGACGCCACATCTGGAAGTAATTAAGGCCGGTGCGGATTGGTGCGGGCGTGGGGTATCGGCACGAGGTGCCGATGGTTTTCGGCTCAGGTGCGGACCTTTAAGGTTAAGGCACTCACCCGGGGTGAACGTGAGGGCCGCTCGGAAACCGGGATTAGCGGTATGCTTTTCGGACTCGGTTGCGAGAGACCCGCAGGAGAGGTCAACGAGCAGGAGAAAAGATACGATCTCCTCTTCTGCGACTCGCCGAGGTCCTTCTTCAGGGCGTCGTACCTGCGGACCGCCCACGGTCGCATCTGAAACCAAGATGCAAATTATTGTTAGAAAAGATATTTAAATACTGCTTCCTTTGCAAATAAACTTACACGGTTAAATAAAATTGCCAAGGAGCTGGCGAGGAGTGGTCATACCGCTGGAAAATAAACCTTTGAATCTTCTGAAATTTGTCTGCAAGTCGAACAACCTAATATTTAAGGGGCGCTTCTTGGGGCCGCTGTCGCATAATCCGTACACTTTTCGACAACTGGGACGAAAGATCGCGGATCGGCATTGATCGTAAGCGGCTTGCTCACCTTTGTGCGCCCTGCGGTATTTACGCCCCGTGGTTTCTCGCACCTCGCCTTCCATCGCCGCGTCCACCGAACGACACGTTCGGCCGTTGTGCCCAGTGGTAGCTCCGTCTCTCTCGCACTAATGACCGCCGCGTATCGGCGTCTCTCTCCCACTCACGGGGAGCGCAGGGCCACGTGCATAAGTAGCCGCGCGACACGTAATGAGGTGGGCACCACTCGAGGACGAACAATGCTCCGGAGAATGCGCCATATTGGTTTAACAATGCGTTATCTACTCTCGTTGCGCGTACTAGAGCGACCTGCACGTGTTCATACCTCTCTTTACACCATTTACGTACCTTCAGGTCCGAGGAGTTCAACCAGTGTAGAAGTTAGCGTACCCAAAAGACGTCCTAACCTCCACGCGGCACTGCACGATGAAATTTCCGACAACGCCCGAATTTCACCCACCGAGCTAACTATATTACAGTTAAATAACAATGAAGTGGTACATAAAGTTATTAACAAAAAAAACACATTGATACCACGTAATATTGATTTATAATCATTCCGTAACACTTGTAAATCTCTCGGCGTGCAGTTATACATTATTAACATAACATGTAATATGCTACCAATGTTATGTTTATGTTACATTATTCATTTCATATAGGTGTTATGCCCCGGGAATAGTAATATGTTTTACGATACTTAGCACGATGTTACGGTAAATATTCCCATGAAAATTGTAACGGTTATATTATTACGGAATCGTGTTTGGTGAGCATGCACAAGAGTCACAGCAATGCGCAACTCGAGCGACGAAGAAATATCTTTTCCTCGCGATTACGCGCGGCCACGTAAGTCCGTATTTTACACGAGTGCTCTCCCTCTCTGTTTCTCCGCTTATCTCTTTCTCGCTCCCTCCCTCGAGCCCATATTTTATTCGGGGCTCTATAAGTTCATCGCAGGCGCGCTGATGCGCATGTAATCCCGTGGTGCTTACCGATAGCATCACGGGTTTTATTTTCATTATTCATTTGTTCGCCGTTCCCCATGGACGGTCGCAGGCTTACACGCATAACCCCGTGTTTCCATGTCGGTTTAATCGGATAAAATCCACCGAGGAAAATCTGCCGAGCGGCGGGCCCGTCCCGCGTGCGATTTCCGCGCGCGGCCGAGTATTAGCGCAAACGCAAGCGTGATTGGACCAGGCTCGTTGAAAAATTAAACAAAAGTGGGCCTGGCATTTATTAAAAAAAAAAAAAAGATGAAACCAGGATTCTCCTCAATTTTTCTCGATTTGAAGAATTTCAAAGCGGGAAAAGAGCCTCTTTCTGCAACCCGAAAATGATTTATAAATACAAGAATTCCCTACATTTTTCATACTTTGACAAACTTTACGCACATTGCTATGTGTTAAATAACAACTGTCTTGTCGTATTAGTCCATTATTAAATATTCAAATGAAAGTCTAACCTTAAACTTTTAAGAAATTAAAACTAATCCCAATAGCTCGTCTTCTGGTCTCGTCTCGATGGCCAAACTGTGTTACGTGTGTTCAAAATGTACTTTCAGTGTAATTAATCCAATACGGGTGAATACAATCAAAAGATTACTCTGCAGATATGGCAGAATTTGTTACCGACTAAAGTCGGCGCTCGTACACAGAGGTCGTCGCATGTGTGTGGATCATAGCCAGCACTCGTAACGGCAGGGTTATACAAGGAGGCAATGATCTGGCGAGTCCGTTTTTAGTTTTTTTTTTTAACGCGTGGAAAGAACCCGGCGATTTAAAAAAAAGAGAAAAGAGAGAAACCTGGAAATGACAAAATATTTCCCAGGGTGAAAAATCCGGGAACGAGAGAGGGAGATTTGTTTCTATTCATCGTTATCGTCCCGCTTTTTGCAACAAACCGTGCTTGGGTTGATTCTCGCAGGACCTTTTTCAGGGAAAGCAGACGCCCTCGTATTTCGGCGATCCATGGATCGTTTTTTTTTTCCCTGCCGGACGAACGGCAGCCTCCGGCAGGATCGCACCGGCCGGGCTCGCTTCGCGGTAGGCGAGTATTATTTTTCCGGCGCATCGCTCCTCGGCGAAATTGGCTCGGCACGGAATCTCGAATTACTGGAACACGACACCGCGGCCCGCACTCGGATGCCCAAAGGAGTCTATAATATATTCCATTGAGCGAGATCGCTATAATCGAGGGCCCCCAACCGGCGCGACTCGGTCCGGCCCGCCGTATAGTTCGCCGTATAGTTAGAGCCTCCCTATACGGTTCGCTAAGGCGTATTTCACCGTACGGTTTACTATATCGGTATATAGTCCGCCACAAAATCCCTCACATGGGGGTTCTCGCGCGGTCTTCGGACACCCCGTAACCCAATAGGCTTCCCGTAGGAAGATCATACTTCGGTACAAAGGCTGATCGCTACATCGCACGCGATCACGGCGCACGTCATAGAAACTGACGATCTTCATAGCACCATTTGGTCGTAAGCCAAACGCAAGTTTGGCCGCCCGTTCTTACGCCTACGAGGGTTATCTCGGTCGATGGGTATCATTGAATTATTCCACGGTCTGCTGAAATTTTTTTTTGTCAATCAATAAGCCATCAAAATCCTCCACTGCGAGTTATCCGAGAGAGTCGAGCACCGCCGTGAAACGTTTAAATTCCCTGTCGCTACCGGTGAAGGGACCTCCATCGAGGACCCACCCTTTTCGGGAGGGCTCGAAATTCTTCACTAATTCGATTACCGATTCATGATCATATTATAGATGCTATATATTGATACACTGTTTGAGCAATAATCTTCATAGTACTATTAGGTCATAAGCTAAACCTACTTTGGCGACCTGTTCTTACACCCCCGAGCGTGATCTAGAATTCTCTGTATTATAACTATATACGGTGCACTGAGATTTCCTTATAATCAATCAATCATGAAAACCTTTCTCCGCGGACCTCCTCTTACGAAAGGGGAGTCGAGAGCCGACGTGAAACATTTGAATTCCCTCCGCTAGTCGAGGAACCTCCATCGAGGACCCACCCTGAAGAGGGTGGGCTCCGCGTCCTCGCTCCATTGACTCGATCACCGATTTGTGATTATACAATCATAAAGCCCATACATTAACCCACTGTTTGAGCATTGAATTCGTGGCTAACAAGCGGGAATCACGCATCGATTAGGCCCGACGTTCCTCGAGGAGCTCCGATGCTCTCCAGGGTATCCGCTCGTGTGTTTCGCGTTGCATTATCTCCGCGCGAGTCGAGATGCTCTCCCATTGTATATCCCTCTCGGTGCCCGGGGCGCCATTTTCCCCGGGTAAAAAAGATGCGCCGAGGAAGGAGGGAAACATTCCTGGCGACGCATTCGGGAGCAATCGGCCGACGCGCCCTTTGTGCCGCGGCCGCCCTTTTTGTTGTTTCTCCTCTTTTCCATCTCCGCGGGCGGCGGAGCCAAAGGGTTCGCTTGGCGGACGGAAAACCGAAAATGCTAGCGGCCGTTCCCTCTCTTTTTCTCTCTCCCTCTCCGAGCCGAGACAGCAACGGAGAGAAATGGAAATACACGCGGACGCCGGTGAATGGTACCTTCGGGTGGTTCGCCGCACTCGTATTCGCGACGCATCGTGACGCACATGGACGACAAGGGTCCATCGTGCACCCTGCACCCCATCGGGTGGTATCGGCCCTGAAAGCGGCATTCATCAAAGCCATCGCTCGACTGAGTTGGGATTTTAGGATCTATTAGTTAACTATATCGAGGGAAACTTCATTCGCCGAGAAGGAACGCTGATATTGCGCTGGCCTTAGAATTGTCGCGTCGTTAGGACAGGTCGCATTAAATGTAATCGGGGCACGACGAAGACGCTTGTAATGGCCTTTATTCATGGCACGGTCTGCCCATCGGACGAGAGGAACATCGACAAGGAGCGAAATTCTACTTGGCTCGCGGAGCTGTTGAAAATGAAAAATTGACCACGAGGAAAAGGACGCAGCTCGAGCGAACGGCACTTTGCATGCGGCCGAGATTACGAGTGGTTTGCTGCACTCGCGACGCATCGTTCCGATTTCTCTGCCTTGTACAGAGAGAGAGGCGCCGCCTTTATGCACGGGATGTCCCGGTCAAAGTAATCGCTCGACCGATGTGCGCTTTTAGAATTATGAGAAAGAAGTCCCCGAATTGTGCTCCCCGATTTCCAGTTATTAACCGGCTTTGGCGAACATCTCGGATGTTTCCTCGTGCGAGCCGAGCCCATTATCGTGTACGGTGGAAACGCAGAGTGTAATCGAATAGAGTCTTGCGGGTAAGTTGATTTGCGGAGCTTGCGCGGCCCAAGTGTACATCCGAGTGCGAGCTAATTCTTTTAATTAGGCTTGACTTGACAATGTCTCCTGCGAGCGGGTTTGCGGGCGATCGAAACTATCGTCTGAACATTGTTAGGTCTGCCGGATTAAATGCGCCCCCGCTTGACGTTATTTATAGGCATGGATACTGATTAGGGTAAACGTTAATTAATTCGCTGGAACTAGTTTTCAGAGACTCGAGGAGGATCGATGGGTGGCTGGAGACGAGACGCGGTCGATCTCGCGTTCCGAACGTGGCGATGTCGTCTCGACGTCCTGCTAATTCGCGAGCTAGGATTCGATCATTCGAGTCCCCTTCTTTTTCTGTAGCTCTCTGGATCGAGCACCCGATCTAGTCACTCCTCTGCGGCTTCTGGATTCTCGCCCACGGAGAGTATTCTGACCAGGTCGTTCGAGGACTCCACGACGTTCTTGTATGCGACTGTGTCGCGACTCTTGCTCCGGGCGATCAGTTGGCAGATGGTTCCTCTGGTGAGGAAAAACACGCTGGCCAGGGCGCCGGAAAGGATTAATACTAAAATGCAGATCCAAAGTGCCAGGTGGAAGGTGTTGCTCAGGTATTCGCACTGTAATTCGTACCGAGGAATATCGATGAGCCGTTTGTTGCAATGCTGCTCGGGTGTCCTGCACCTGCGTTACATAAATTACTATTAATTACCTCCTCTAAAATGAATTAACACCTCGTGTCGAATCATCAATTATCCTGTAAACAATGATTTGATGCAACTAGACCTCTTACACGTACTGGATATACAAGAAATACTTAATTTGTATCAAATCATCGTTTACACTAAGAATTTTACACAAAGTACACCTTGAGCACTCTTACCAAGTCGATGTAAACTAAGGCGTAATCAGATTATTCAGAAAATCCTGTCCAAAAAAAAACGAGTTTTTCCAGTCGAGTATTTAGGTGGGACTTCCCGAAAGATCTGTTATAACTATTGACGGTGAAAAATTGATTTTTCAGATTGGTCTACCGGCGCCATCTGCGGACGCCCTAGTGGACTTTGGGAACTAACCTCTATCTTCACCTCTTCACCTCGCGGTGGCATTAAAATTTGATTATCAAGTTATCAGCGCTCTCTCGTAAATACGATATGCTCTCACCTAATCTCACGGGTGAGGTCTCTTGACAAGTTCAGAGTAACAATCCACTCCATGCGGCAGTCGCAATTCCAGGGGTTGTACTGTAGATCTAGGTACGTCGTTTTCTGCATTATCGGCCACAGGTCTCCACTTAACGTTTCGATCGAGCAATTCCTCACCACGAGGCGCTGTAGTCGCGGCAACAGGTCACCCCTCGGCGGCCATATTCGGAACTGCGCGAACCTCGTGCAATCGGCCATCGATAAGCTCACCAGGCTGGTAAGATTTTCGAATTCATTTAGCAACAGCGACGTCAGGTTCGGCATAGCATTCATCAGGAGGACTTGTAATTTCGGCAGGTACAAGTTGGACGGACGGACAATGTTCGTGGACGAGAGGTCGAGATACTTCAGGCCGGTCGGTAACGTTGGAATCGTTTCGATGGGGTTTGAGGAAATGTTCAACGTCGCCAAGTTGCGCAGAGGCTTGAACAGCTCGGAAGAAAATTCTATGGCCGAGACATTTGCTAAGTCCAGGTGCTTTAACGCGCCCAGGTTTAAAAAGGCGTCATCGTGAATTCCATATACTATCGGATTGTTCGCCAGCGACAGGAAATCTAATACCTGGAAATTAGGGAATACCGGTTACGGGGAACTTTAAAAATCGCTAAGTAGTGTTCAAATCCGATTGAATATTCTTTTTCCTTAAGATAAGAAATAATAGAAAATTATTCGTAAGATATGAATACCTTCATATGTTCCAGCATAGTTCTGTTCACCGCGGAGAGGGAGTTCCAGGAAAGGTCTAAAACTTGAAGCTTGGTGATCCTATCGTTTAACGCATTGTCGTCGATATACTCAAGTCGGTTATGACTGACGTTCAGGACTTGCAGATTGTACTCTTCCTTGCAGAGGAAGAAGAACCTCTGAAGATGGTTCTGCGAAAGGTCCAGGATCTTCAGATTGTCCAGATTAGTCGAGCAGTCAAGAAAACTGTCGAACTCGTTGCCCCGTAGAATCAGTTCCGTGACTTCATGTAAATTGAAGCTGTTCTGCAGCGTGAGGAAGAACTCTTCTTTCTTCAGACGCCGCCAAGACAAATCTACCTGCAGATCGATTGAAATCTAAAATTCCTAATAATAGAATTACGCATATCTCGGAAAAAGTCAATCAGGCGATCGAACACTCCCGAAGAAAAGAAGCGACCCGTTGTACCATATGCTAATTCTCGCGAGGCCACTTTTGGAGTAATCCCGTACATAGTCAACTTCGCAAAGCGCATACTCACGTTCTGCTAGGACCTCGATCACTAACCGATGTATTCAAAAATGTAAACGAAGTAAGGGTTCCTTCGTTAACGCGGAACGGAACCTACGTGCGAAATTCGGTGGCGGGTCCGCGGGTTGAACTTTCCCGAAAAGATGGATTATCGTCACTCACCGTCTTGGAGGTCGCAAGGGCGAGGCCGATTGCCAAAAACGCGAGTGCACCCGGCCACATCCTCGCTAATTATCCGTGTAATTCGGTGCTAACTACGCGTTTACGTGTCACCGAGTCAGCCTAGTTCGAACTAAGCGCCCCACACAAGCACCCGGCGAGCGGTCGCGGATCCGTCAGCCTCGGACGGGTCATAAGTTCAGAGCCGCGGGGCTAACGCACGACTTTTAGATAAATGCAGATTATGCTCTTGGCCGTGCACCGTTCCACCAGCAAATTGAATTGTTTTGTAAAGTTAATCGGGCGCACACGATTGGGCGTATTTATCTTTTTTCCTTTTTCAATTAATTTACGCCCGAAGGCCGGTCGAAGAGGATTTATTCGCCGGCTCGTATCGGCCCGCGGTTTGCGAAACCGTTCACTATAATTAGCGAGGAGAGGAGCGCGGTTTCCGTGCGACTTTGCCGGAGGCCGGCTCCGAGATCCTCCTTGGAACTGACGTCCGAAAACCCGACGTATCTGCGGACGTTTGCGAAAAAATTATCCTCCCGCGATAGCTTAACTATCGGCCGTACCGCCCGCCCGACGATACGTTTTCACGCTGCTTGGCTCGAAGCAATCCTCGGACGCGACGTCGAATAAACCTTAACAAACCGCATTATTTATCCGCTCGCATTCCGTACTTACGTTCCGTTGCAACCTTCCGTTTCGGAAGATAAGCCGTATGCCGAAGTGATTCGAGTGAGCATGGAAACACGATTTTCACGTTTCTTTCTTGTTAAAAGCTTTCCTCGGACTGAATTGTTAAACTAGTGACGGAACGTAATTATGGGTAACGGATGTTGCGGATGCGATGCGTGGTATGCGTGCGATGGCATCCGGAATCTTTCATTGGATAATCGGGCATCTCGATTAATATTATAAACGCGGAGCTCATTAAAATTTCTTGTTTACTGGCGAATTGATATCGCATCTCAATGTACAGAGTACAGCTCGAGGAGGCATGCTCCCCAAATGGAGCAAGTATTCGTTTATACAAAGTAGAGGTGGCGTACGAGTCCGGTTGCTTTACTTTTTAGGAGTCTGAGGGGTGCTGGTGGCTTTGAAGACCAGTGGATTCGAAACGCGAAATATGCTCGGCAACATCGTGGCTAGTGTCCCAAAGACCTCCTCGGACATCCCCTAGGAAAGGTGTTGAATTAATCATCGAGTGAATTTTCCAGCGTTTCGTTGACTTACCGTGGGCACTAAAAATTGCAAATTCTTCAGTTCGGCGCCTCCCCAAGAAGCCATCTCGATCATGAACCCCTTAACGCATTTAAAAACCAACTCTGCTCTTTTGGTGCACCACGCTACCGTCATATCCTAGAATGCATAATTAAGATAAGCCAATATTCCTTCTAAATTCTCGCGGAACAAACTCCACTCACCTCTGACATCTCATGTACGAGAAGTACCGGTATCGTAAGGGTAGTTACATCGTTAGTGCATGCAGTTTTTAAAATATTTCTCAGTCCCAATATTGCTGGGTGGCGGGAGTTAATGTCACCTGAAGTTCGGTCCACGTTTAGAGTTTCTTATTGAATTAAGGAACTTGTAGTAGATTATTAATTTATAGAATGAACTTGCCTGATCTCAAAGAATCGTGTACCACCATATGGAACACTACATGAATTTGCGCCAAATTTGAGTGCCTCGTGATAAACACGTCTCCGGTTTGCAAGCTCTTACTGGACGTCGACTTTCTCACCTGAGAACGGACAGTCGCACAAAATGCCTTCGCAATCATAAGCTAGTTAAATTAGATTTAAAACAATTGTTTAATCACCTGGGGATCGTTTCCCTCGCGACTGTGAGCTTGCCTCCAGGCCACGGCTTCCTTAACATCTTCACGAATCTTTTCCAGCTGTTCGTCGATCGGTGGAAAGTGAAATTCCGTTGTTAACTGGCATATCGAACAAAGTTCTGAAATAAAGTGGTCGTAATTAAGAATTTAAAAATCAGTCCGTAGATAATACCTCGAATCAGATCATACCCTTCGTTATTCCAGAGTAACTGCCTAAGTGATTGTCACTCAGAATCACCAAACCACATAAGTCGTTCGAATATAATCCTAGGGCAGTTTGCAGTCTTTGTGGCGTAGGATCCATTCTGAAATTAGATTCATCATTTGACGATGACAACAAAATTCTACGAAGTACGTAGAAATTATTACTATTTGATGCTATGCGCAAATATACCCAGAATCATTATGTCTTATTCTGCAAAAGTCGAGGACATCTCCGGTCAAGATACGTATATTATGCATCTGTTTCATCTGAGATCCCAGATGTATTGTAAAACTTTCTTCGAGCTGAGGATAAACCGTTGTGTTCTTGTCATCGTTACCTACAAAACGATCTATTTCTGGATGAATAGGAGGCATCGATGACATGGGAGATCCTCTAGAAAAAAAAAATAGAATATATATTTGCGTTTAATGAACTACATATGAGAATGAAAACTGTCAAGTAAAGACATACACAGGTGTTGGTAACATGCTGGTTTGTTGTTCCTCTAATAACTTCATAATCCAGTTACGATATTGTCTTCTTTGTTCTAATTTTAACGCATCCACTCTGGAGCCCCAGTGACCCTGTAAAAGACTCTGTTCCTCGAAGTGTCTACCTGCCATTTCATTTATAGATCTCTCGGTTGATCCAGTTTCAAGGGTCTCTACTGCTACACGCATCTCTTCGGTTTGCCTAAAGAAGAATTCTTATTGCAAATTCTTGTCTCATATCCAGTCTTAAAATAGCCATTAGTTAAATAATCAAGAGGCAATTGCGATATTGGAATGATCATTGAAATGTAAAGTAATAGACATCCAAGGTCATAAATGCAACATACTACATCGTTTACACTGACTTTTCTTTGAGTTAATCTCACTCTCACTAGCAAGATGTGGGTCAACCACCGTGCAAAAAGAATATATAAATCAAGTGGAAAGTTCTTTATCACAACTTAATTATCATCGTTATTAAAAGTTTAAGATTTCTGATCTAAATTTAAAGATATGTAGTGCACAGCGCATAAAGGTTCACATGGAAGACGTTCATGTATTTATGAAAAGAATTAATTAATTAATGAGCATATAATTTGTTTTTCAAACTAATATAACCAGGATCAATGGTATAATATAGCTATCTGATTAATTTCAAAATATCAACTAATGACAATGTAGTTCTGTTTCACTTCATTAAGTGATAGACAAATCACTAATTAGTACAAAATGGCTTACAAATCGTTAGAATAAGTTACGAGAGCAATTCTGATCATATGCAATTATCTGCACAGCGTTCGTCTGCCTGATAACCCACATTGAACGTCAGAAAAAATTCAACAGTATGTATAACTGATAGGGTGGTTCAAAGATGAGTGTCTAAATCTGATGTTTTGTTCCATTCATGTTTAAAATAAGAACAAAAGCATTTAGTAAAAAGACGATGTAAAATTTCTATAATCATATATCATGATTAAACATTTACATATAGAGTGACAATAATATGGAATATTAACTTTTGTGTTAGTTGATCGTAATCAGTATCTCTCATTTGAATCACTTCAGTCACAGCTTTTCCATACGTATGTTCTGCTTGTAAAATCGGTTCCAAAGATGGTGAATGGACCAATTTATGATATGCCGCTGCAAAGAGTTCTTCATCCGTTGTACCTCGCGGTTCAGCATATTCCACAGTTTTTAGTTTATATGTTTTTTCCCAACTTTTAATTAATTCTTCGATGTCAAGATTTCCGCTTTTGGCTGCATCTATTAGCAATTCTGCCTTATCATCGTGAAACTGTTCAGTTAATTTTTTAACCGTATGTTGAAGAGAATCTAGCAAGTCAGTTTCAATGTAGCATGGAAGTTTGAATGCTGTCATGATACGATGTGTCAACTCTCTAATGGATCCATGATATGGAATCTTTAATGGAATTTCCAAGGTATACTGCTGATTAGTTGTACATGTTGGAAATTGGAATGAAAACATCTTCACTATGGTCTCTTCGTCGCTCATACTTTCGACTTTTTATATTAATACTATAAACAATTGATTTTATCAATAGATAATTTCGTTGTACCTATTTATTATAATTAAGTGGCTAACTCGAAACGAGTCCACTGTATTCCCCTTTGGTACATAATATAGCGTGTTACAAAAGTTATTTCAGTACCACTTTTTGATTCTTCATTGCACATATTGTACACTTCCTTATAAGTATGTACAACAGAATTTGGAACTAAGCAGGCAAAGCGCATCATGTGAATGGGGCACAATCGTTGACAGATAGCACGTATCGATTCCGAGAACCACACTCTTATCTATATCCTCATATACTTACATTACCCACAAAAAATCTACAGCCTGTTTACACATTGGCTAGTCTTTTTTTTTCAAGGTTAACTTTCACAACGTATAGGTTAAAGGAGCAAAGATAATTTACATCGATGCTGCATTATTTTGGTGCATACATTCATCATTTTTCACATTACAAGTTTATAACGATCACAAGTTGTTACTGAAAATTGTGGTCACAACTATCGTTGACGATCAATGTAAATATTTAAATTGTTATCAAAAAAATGTTCTTCCAATATAAATAATATGCTTAATCAGTTGAAGCGCTTTCCTAATTCACCAATTCTATAGCTGATAATTGAAGTTCGGTGATTGATTAATGGTAGCGCTACTGTCATATAATTAACGATGACCAGGAACAAGTGTGAAATTTCACCCTGTTAATGACAATTGGTTCCACACACGACTGAATCCTGTAATTCTGGAATTTCATTTCTGTTACATTCTCAAAATGCACATCCTCGCAATGCCTAACTTTTGTTATCATTGGCATTTTTCATTATTCTGAAATAAAGTTGCTAGTCCATGTTCCGTAATCTCACAATGTAAACAGAAGTATCCTCATGACCTAAAATTATGAATAGATTACAGAAAATCTTTAAATTACAATCTACTATATTAATGCAATTAGAGGTTAAGAAAAGGCAAATTTTCTTGTACGAATTCCAGATCCCTACATCATTGACAACAGTCTATTATTCTTAAAGTAAATTTGTTTTTTACGTAAGAACATGAACCCATTACTTCTTAGAAACATTAACAGCATAAGTACTTACTTTGCACGGATTTTGCAACCCCCGCCGACTACATTATCATCAAACCTTTCATGACCCTTAAATAAAGAGGTTAATCGACACACTGGACTTGCACCGCATAACCTAGAACCATAAATAAAGATATCGTTCCTTCTATAGCGGAAAGTCGGAGCACTTTTTAATCGTACAATGACTTTTCTTTGTTCGTTGCACGTTAACACAATTATCGTGTACTACACAAAAACGCGCGACTACTAAGGACGATAGCGAAAACTTTGACGCCCCCTGTGACATTTTGATTCCAATGCGACCTTTCAGGGTTGCCAACTTAAACGCGTTAAACTATCAACGATAAACAACTGGCAACATTGAAGCAACATGGCGAACATAAAGAAACGACTGTTGGAATTGGGATCGTTTTCTTTAAAATATCAACGAACCACCTCGTCTTGATTTGAAATACTTTTTTACGCACGCATCGATCCTCGCCACTAAATCGAAATTTGTTACGCGATAGGTTAGTGATAAGAATAAACTATAGATTTAAATCTCTAGGCATTTCCGCCAGAGTTTGCAAATCATGCATTTTAAAAGAAAAGAGGACTGAAGACCGCTATTTTAGTTGCCAATTCTCCCGATAGGCGACGCTACGGAAATATGTAAGCTGCTAGGAAATTTCAGGCGGGGGCGGCACAAACCAACGCGCGATCAAGCAAACCGAATCGTGAGCGATCTACCAACTCTCACTACTTCGAAATCGAATAGAGTCCCATCGAATGAAATGGAATGAAAAATGTATGCACTGCGAGCACATACCTGCAGTGCGTGTTTCATGTTCTGTGTTGTGATTCGTCGCGGGTGGTCTTCTATTTTCTGGGAAAACGGCCGTTTGTAGACCCGAAATGATGACCGAGAGGAAAACATAGCTAGACGCCGAAACGCGTTCCGATGTGTTCAACGTGACCGAGGAACCCGAGGATTCGTATTCCCAGACGAATAAGTAGTTGCCGATTCTACTTTCGTATTGTATACAGAGGGAAGTAGATTCATAAATATTGCGATGGCAGATTTCGATGCGATTTACGAGGAAGAAGAGGAAAATGAGCAAAATTTAGAGGAGCACCACGTTACCATGGTGCCCGACCCCATAATTATTCGCGGAGCTGGTAATATGACAGTGTAAGTCGATTTCTCTTTCTTAGTTTTTGCCTTGGAAAAAAATCACAGACCCTGGACTGACTCACATGGAAGACCTACAATGAACAAAGGAAGGACTGGACACGATTACTCACCATCCTGATGGTTTTTCTGAGGATTTCTCCTTTTTTTATGGTGCCCTACTTCTGTTTATGATCCGTCTCGTAGTATGTCAAATTTTTGAATTTCCAACATTGCATTTTAAAAGTTTTCCGAATGAACTTTATTGTAACGGATATGTATGGCGTCATTTAATTGCAAACTTTATGTTGAGTGATAACGATGTAAACGTTATTTTAAATAGATAATATAATGGAACTTTGTTTCTGGATTTCAGATTTGGTCTCAGCAACCGATTTGAATCTGAGTTTCCAAATGGCTTGGTATCCCGCGTTGCTCCGGAAGAATTCAAAGCAACAGTTATGCGAGTAAATAGTGTCTTGAAAAAAACTCTTCCTGTTAATGTTAAGTGGTTGTTTTGCGGCTGTGTATGCTGTTGCTGTACCTTAGGTTGCTCGTTGTGGCCCGTGATATGCCTTAGTAAAAGAGTGAGTAATTTCTTTTCCTTTCTGCTCGCTCCAATTCAATACTCTTGCCTACTAAAATGACACTTTGCCTATATCTTGAACTTTCGTTAATAGCTATTACATGGTAATGCAATATTTTATATTTGATTCTATGTTCCATATTTTATGTAATATTTAAAACAAGTAATAACTATTTTTAGTCGCTACACGAGAAAAAAATAATGTGATGTCAATTTTATATTCCATAGACCCAACATTCTTTAAACAAATTACTGGAATGGGAAAACAGTAGACTATACCACAAGCTAGGATTACATTGGCGGCTTACGAAGCAAAGATGCGACAGCTCTTCCATGATGGAATATGTACGTATAATTGACTTGATAATAATTATTAAGAGAGTTAGACTGTAAAAGTATCATTTTAACACTTTGTATCTTTTTACATTTCAGGTTCTCTTGATTGAATTTGTTCCAAAAATACCAATATATAGACCTGACTAAGGTAAAATCTGATATTTTGGGTCATTCACAATAGGAACGAGGTCCATATTATACAGAAATAGTCACCTAAGATCACTCACCTCATTTTTGCGGGAAAGGAATGAATATGAAATGTCAGTGGATGCTTAGTGACAAGGACACTTGTGAAATGCATATTTTTGTAAATATGTAGGAAAGCACAGTACAATAATCTTGTAGAAATAGAATTAACGTTTTTCATTTTGTTTTAAGGGATACTATCATCAATCTTACCGTTGCATTCAGTTGTGTCTGCATTAAATTTCTTAGCATGTAAAGATTATTTCAAATTAGTAAGTAAAAAGTTTTTTATAATTTTTTTTAAAGAACATTTGTGGATCTATTTAGGACGAAATGGCAAAGCTGAATGTCTGTACAGGGACAGTGATTTGCGTCATATGAACAGTTTCGTATTCATATGTATATCATTTTTAAATGAAACTACTATCACGGAAATAACAGTGTTTACCTGATATATAGTTTTGAAAACGTAACTGGTACATATAAATGAAACCGTACCACCCACGATAAATCTCATAGTGCATCATAGAACCCCATTTTTAGTATTTACTGTAACTTTGTTCTTAGAAAAGACTGCATAATATGTGATTTTCCATTACTCTACAATAGGCAATACACTCAAATGAGAGACAAAATCTCCGCATTGTTCTAAGAAATATTCTTTGCATTATTTTGAGTAGCGTTAACTTTTACATTTTGCAACCTTCAGTTTTTTGCCACGATCTAAGATCGATTCGATTTCCATCGATTCTAGAATTAATAGTTAACAGCATACGGCTCGAATGAGAAGTTCTTTCAGTACAACGAATATCACAAATCTTAAGTAATATTAAATAATTCTGCTGAATAATTCAATCATTAGCTGAGAAGGATACTACCGTCCTTATGAATTTCAGTAACCAGTTAATGTTTTACTACGTATATACATTATTCCTTAAATAAAAAAGGAATAAAATCGAATGAATCCTAAGGAATTGAGGCTTCACAAAAAGTTATAATATTAGAAAGGGTTCGATGTTAACGATTTTTCACACCATGTAAAATAAATGCGGTTTGAAGAACCAGGTCTTAATGGATGAAAAGTTAGTCAACATTTTTATAACGGCATAAACGACAAGAGCGACGCATAACTTACGTAACACAATTTTCTGTGCAATTCTCTGTGTTCGTTAAACTTTTGGTTTCATAGCAGAATATTTCTGCTCAGCCTATTTTACTGTAAGAGCATCGAGCTATTTCTATCATTTGAGATACATTACAAGAAATCAAAATACAAAAATGGGTAAAAAATAATATGTTCTAATAATTCAATGTAACTTAATAGCTGCCTACATCGTATAATTATTAATATTCTTGAGAAGTATCACTTTTTTTGCGAGGAAACTATTGTATGTATCGGATTAACATTGGTGGCTATGTTCCACAGTTGCCTAGAACACTGATTGAGTTAACGTTAAGCTCAGGAAAAAAAATTACACAGTACATTTCTTTTAATTCCTGTCAAAAGTGAAACATCGATTAATGTCGATAATAACGTGTACATAAATTTAGAATATTCGTCCACCATGGTGCAATATGATATTACTGGAGTAACTCCAAAACGCTTAGGTACGCTTTGCGTAATTGTTGCGTTCTTATCATTTTTAAGTGATCGTGCGAATCGGCAATGACAATTTTTATTTATTCTTCTTTTTTTTTTCACTTTTATGAGGACTGTGCACGAGTACCAATGTATGCTAGCGTTCTAAATTTCTGTGAATATTCCGCAAACAGTTGTACCCGATTGTTTAACGAGAATAGGATACGGATTTATAGCGTTAGAACTGCGCCCGTCTATGAATAATAAAACACGAGCGTACCACGTTTGTTAAAGGAGATCATTGTGACACGTAAAGTCAGAAATTAAGATTAACATATTTTTGATAATCTAATGTAAGGGTCGCGCGTTAAGCAACGCCATCGTACGTAACAATCGGACGAGGAAAATGTCACTAAATCCCAATATATGTACCGTAAACTGTACAGTTAAGCTCTCCTATCTCTCTAGTCTTCTGTCCTGTCGTGAATCTGTGATTTACTGTAATTTAAACGATTGTAAAGAAAAAAACGAACGGCACCGAGCACAGACTATACCGTAAAAAGAAGAATCACGAATCCGCGAACTCATTACGGGGCAGATTGTGTAATACGAAAGTGATACGCACTCACGAACACCTCTATAGCAATGTCGAGATGAAGAATACTCAATTGCGATGCAAACGTGATATTACACTGTGTTTACTGTACATATATGTGTACATAAAGAAAAAGGAAAACGAGAAATGTAAAACTTCAAGTCCAGATGCTTGCTAGTAGAGATGAAAAAATTAACCGAGAAAAAAAAAGAAAATATGTGAAGCTCGAGCATCATCTTTTTCTGACTTTACCGACTCGGAGAACGCTAGGCAATCATTGTTTCGACATGTGCCTTTTTCCCGTGAATTTGTAAGACACATGTACAGAGTGGTTCCTATATAACAAGAAAACCTGTAAATATACGCATGTAAAGCTATCGCTCTTGTATAACAAGGCCGTCGCGCGATACGAGTAGTCACTACACAATAGAACGTATAGCATGTCGTTGGCTGGTCTAAGCTTGTGTGCGAATTATAAAAACTGACACCACCGTTTCGCGAAGCAAAGTAACACGAATAAATGAATTGGTAAGCTCTAACGTCTTGGCTTCTCGTAATTACGAATTCTCACTCGGCTTTTCGTGATATGTTTTAAATAATTCTAAGAGGGAATTCCAAAGCGGCGATTTTCGAGCCGAAATTTAAATGGAACCGGCCATGAGAAATCTTCGATCTCGAGTTCAGTAATTTCGCTCCAGGCTGTAAGATTATCACGAAACGACGTATCTATTCGGCGTTCACTTTATCCCGAGGGGGGTCTCTTTGTTGCATTCGGAATGCACGTCTGGTAAGAATGCAGTTATATATATGTATATATGTATATCTAAGCTAACCGATGTATTACCCGCGCTGAAACATTAATTATCAATAACAGTATTGTGCCGCGATAATCGAAGACAGGTGTGCTTGCAGCTTCTGTCGAGAAGGGGAATCGTCGCTGGTAATGCAAATGTCAAAGTACGCGGCGTTAACTGCAGCCGATATAATTTCACTTCCGGAAAAGGGTAAAAGCAAAGTGAGTTTCCCTGCCACGGTGAAATGTGACGGCCCCCGAGATTCGGTACCGAAATCTCCGGAGAGGAGGTCCGGATTTCCGGGAAAGTGCGGCCTAGTGCCACGGAAATAAGGAGACGTTTCCAAACGATTTGTCGTTTCTCCTCTTCTAGTCAGTTTTAATGAAACGCGCGAAAAACGGCTGCGGCGTTTTTAATTCGGAGAGATGGTCAAGCGAGACGAGATTTGCCACTGCAAAGTGACGGTCGCATTGTTGATATTGTATTTACAAGTGCAAGGAATGTACGCTAGGGTCAACGTTTCTCGGTATGTAAATCATACTTTCACATAAGGATTCGCGTTAAGAGATGGATGAAGGCTAATGTTATTTTTTTTCTTTTTTCTTTTTTTTTTCGGCGGCTCACAAGATTAATCTTTGTTCTATCCTCAGGGAACCAGAGAAATGCTCCGTACACCTGACCGATCTGGATTTCATTCGAAATTTCACGCAACCGGATTTGGAAATGGTCTGGCCCTGCGAGGTCCGTTTCTACTGGTTGAAATTGCAGCCTTTCGTCAGCGTCGTGAGATTTCTACTTTTATATGTTACGTTACTCATTATCGTTATAGGTACGAGAGGCAGTATCACTAGGCTAGATTGCAGCAGCAGGTTTTCCGAAAGACCGCCGGTTTTATAACGGGTTAATTCAATCAACAGGTGTCACGCTAAACGTCGTCTCGTTCAGCGTCCTGAGTACCTCCGTGTCGAGCGACTCGAATTTGTCCCTCTACCTACGAGCACTGGCCATTTCCGACAACGGAGCATTAATATTCAACTATGCGGTCGGAATCGCCAAGCGTCATTTCGCATCCTTTAACGACATTTTTATGGTAAGCAGGCAGATGAAAAACTAAAGGATCCGCGAGATACGCGGTAATCGGAAGCGCCGACGCGGCATGACTTTCCATTCATTATTATTAATCTTCCCTCTTCCCAGAAAAGCACGCTGTTGTGCTGCTTAAACTCGGTCACGATGGAGCTTTTCCAATTTACATCCACGTGGTTGGTCGTCTCGTTGACGTGGGCTCGAGTGGCCGTGGTCATTTTCCCCTTGAAAAGTCGCAGCTCCCACCACGAGTATTCTGCAATAATTGCAATCACTGTCCTTACGTTAGTGAGTTTCATAGTGTCTTTGACAAAATTGTATTCAGGAGGTAATTAGACGTACAAACGTGGCCAAGTAATTAGACGCTAGGGTGCTTTATCGATGAGATGCAAGAATATGAATTAAATGAAATTCCAGGGTACGAGTCCGACAGCGTTTTCGAGTTCATCCCTTGCCAGGAAAAGGTTACCCCGTGGGGAATGGCTCTGTATTTTTACATCGCCCTGTCGACGTGGCTGCCGCTGCTTTTTACATTCGTCGGGAATTTATTGCTGATTATCCACACGAAACGATCGGACAGAATCAGGACTCAATTAACCCGTTGAGTATCGGCGCAAAAAAAAAAATTAAAAAATGTGGTTTGATGTATAAAATTAATCACGATTTGGACAATTGTCAATGGAGGGTTTCCTTTTTAGGAAGGTCAGGCGGCATTGCAAATACAGCCAGTCGAACGAGCAGAATGTTGCTAGCAGTTTCTATTGTTCACTTAGTCCTCCTCCTGCCACTCGGCATGGTGGAGACTTTGGAATTGTACTGGGACGTAGTTTTAGTGAAGCAGCCAAAAGTGAATCCGGAAGGACACGAGCAGTACGTGAACTGGTATTTAAATTTCTTTTTCTTTTTCCAAGATTCCAAGGAGAACGAGTAAAAAAGTTAATGCTATTCTAGGCTGAAGCAGAAGATGCTGCTTAAGTGGTGCCGCGGTTTATGCTTTCATCTGTACCACTGGAATTTTGCAATTAACTTTTTCTTGTACTACCTCACCGGAAGGAAGTTTAGAAATAGCGTAATTGCGGCGTTAAAGAATTATATGAAGCTTTCCGTTCTGAGGCTCGTTCCAAAGTGGAGTCTTGCGTGGCCTAAGTGCTCGACCATACTGCCAGCGGTAAAACCTTTAAATATAATGTTATTGAGAGTTATTTCATTCAGGGAACAAGCTGTTAGTAGCAACGTCGGTGTTGCACAAAGTACAGCCAGCAATGATATTAAATGAACTGATCTCCGCAAATGTTCAAGATGAATAATTCCTTTTCATTGATAGGCTACATTCTATTAATTATGAACTCTGCTTTGTTTTTCCTTAGGTTTATGAAATTGAAAGGTGACGTTGAATTTCATATGATACGATATAAAATAGAGTATACTCCATGTGCACGTAGAATAATAAATATTGCGGTTGCCCTAATTATTGGTAAGAGTTTATTTGTTTTGTAAATTGTACATATTAAAGCAGCAAAATATCACATTGTACATTCCTAGGAGACACTTGAAATCCAGTATCAACTTCGTGCGTAATTTATACAATGTTGATTTTTCACTGAACAATTTAGACTCAATATATTTCAAAAATTGAAAATTTGGTCCCGCTGTCATTCCCAAGGTTAGTTGCGACATTGAATACTAATACTGGAAGTAGAGAGTATATTTTCGGATGATTAAAATTATTGACTTTTTCGATATTCCTTCACTTTCCATTTTCAGGTCACAATTCCACCCATCACGGATCTTTCGAATGAAAGATACATGACCCATTTCCTATTCATAACAAATTCAATTATCAAACGTTCGAGAAAAAGCACAATACTCGATTAAACCTACATCTAGTCGAATACTATTAATTATACAATATTTACAAAAACCATAATTACTGTACCCTACGCGTTGGACTGATTTTTCATATAAATAGGACTCTTAAAAATAGAAATTATACATCTTCTTTAAAAACCACATCAAAAGTGCATATGATTTATCAATATTCGCTGTTTTGTATCGATACTTATATTAAATTGTAATTGAAAAGCATGGACAGTATATACTCTACTGCACATCGGCCGCGTTAATCCACATCAAATACAAATATCGATCCATGTTTATAAACAATTACTATTTGGAGTGATCGTATCGAAGTGATTACATGAGAATTTATTTCTATAATTTATAAAATTGTACAAAAAAGAAGGTAACATTTAAATCACTTTCCTCAAATAGTTAAAATTTTAAAACATCTACAGTATTTATCCGTGTTCAACTTGGAACAACTTATGCTTCATGTACGAAAAGGTACAATTTTCTTATACATTTTCATTAAACGTGTTGATACTGAAAATGTATTAAAACTAATTACAGACATCAGTCTCCAATTGATAAATTATCACGCTTTCATGTAATTGATATATTCATGCATTGCAGACAAATTTCATTCAATGTTACGGCTCATAAATATACGTACATCTGGCCATGATGTTGTCAAAAATATGAAATTATGTCTGAATGACTTTCCTACGCCATAGAACTATACATAATGTGGTATAGTTGAACTTCATTGGTCACTTTTTTTTTAAAGAATTATTAAAAAAAAAGACCCATTACAACATTTTGTAAAGAAGATTAAAAGTTCTTTGAATTTATAGCGTAAAGATCCTCAGTTGACATTACTTATATTATTTGGTGGACAAGTGTTTGAAGTTAAAGTATTCAACAACTATTACAATTATTTTCTAGGACCTTAATGAAATGATCTAAAGGGAGACAATTTTTTTTGACCATACAATAAAGTGACTATTTCTTTACGAATAATTTTGCAGGTTACTAGGTACTCTGTCAACATAGTTCGCAGGAAATTGTCCTTCTCTACCCTCACATTGACCATAAAGCCAGTCGGACGATATCCTGCTCAACACTGTGATCTTTGCACCCTCCTGTATGGAAAAGGCCTTTACTGATATAAAATTGTATTGTTGAAAATATTTCCACGCTTAAATATCAAGTATTCATTTCATTGCATTAACTTATCACATGTGATTTAGTCAGATAATTTATAAATTACCTCGAAGGATAAATCCGTAGAAGTTTCACCATTGAAAGTGTAAAGAGCATTAACTACGTTCCTTGATACTCCAGGCAATGGTACTTTGATATCGACGTAATTAATAGGAAAAATTCCTTGATTATCTCCTACACATCCTTCCATCCAATCGTCACTAACGACTTTTATCAATTGGACTAAATCTCCTTCTTTTAAAGGTAAATCACCTGGTTGCATTGCTGAGAAATCATACAATGCAATACCATACGGTTTCTCATAAGTCATCTACAAGGAAAGTGTTCATTATCATCTTAATGTCCTCTTACATAATTAAAACAAGATCATTAAGAAAAGAAATCGTTGGATTAACGTACCGTAATTCCATCATCTAACTCTGTTAAATATTCCGAAGGTGGTGCTGGAGGTGGAATAGACGGCATTGGAGGTGATGGTTCATCCTTAGAATCATTCGTCCATATCTTATCTACATCTACTAGTACAGGTTTATTTAAAGGCACCGTATTCTTCGTAAGGGTTAAATTTTCTGTACTAAAATTGATTGCACCATATGACGATATGGAAGAAGTTTTCAGAACAGGTTTGGCAGTTGGTTTCGGAGGCTTGGCGCGTATTATGGTTGGTCGCGACTGGACAACAGTCTTAGTTGACTGATTAAAAGGCACTTGTGTTTTAGTCGAGCTCTCACTGTTGAATGAAAAGAAGCATGTATCTCCAACACGTTTCACATTATCATTGTGGAAGTTATTGCTTTCCAATGGCCCAAAAGGATCTTGGTTTGCTGTTATCTTCCATGGATCATTCACAAAAGGCTTGGATTTAGACAGTTCTCCAAAGAAATCAAAATCATCTTCAAACGCGCTCTCATTCTGAGAGGTATTCCCGCTACTTGTAAAATTGGAAGGATTGGAGTTCCCATCGCTCCCAAAGCTGTCGACGCTAACTCCATCGCTGTTTGACCGAGTCGTGAACGTTGGAGAACCAGGAGGGCTCAAATCTATCAGAGAGACCGAAGCATCCACCGCACCAGGTGGATGACATACATTACTTGAGTATGCCACAATAGATTGTTGCTTTGTAGGTTTACTACGCCCAAAGAGATTCGTTAAAAGATCCGTTGGTCTGGTCTGAAACAAATAGAAAGGTACGTCATATCCAGTTCTATATAAAAATACTTTCTAAAATAATCCAATAAGAATAAAACAATTTCCCGCAAATAGATAAGAAATATACATACAGGTCTCCCTGGTTTCTCTTCTTGTCGATACTGCACTCGATTAGAGCGAAACTTTGGTGGCGGTGGGCGAGGCGGTGGCTTTTTCTTCTGCACGGGCTGAGCAAATAAGGTTGGACCAAACGGATCAGAGCTAAACAGAATCAGAGTTACGTGATCCAGCATTTTTACACAAATCAATGAACCTAATATTGCCGAAGCCAATGGTCAACGTTACAAACACATGCTTTTAAGTAAACGAAAACTTACTTCTTGCTCCAGACAGCGTTCCTCTGCGCCACAGGATTGTTAGGTGGCCTCGGAGCAGCTCTGGTAGGCATTCGCATCTCTGAGAAGCAACGAATGGGGAGTAATTACGGAGTGAGGAAATCGCTCTGACACAGCTTGCACCGCCCCTGACACTGGACCTCTCTCTCAATGTGCATGCATTAACGAGATAATTCCGAAATCGTGTGCGGCGCAGTCCGTGCCATCGGATAGCGAACGTTACGGAAAGAACGCGGAAGGACGAAACGCCCACTACGACACTGCTAATGACTGCCAATTTCTACGATAAACACCTACGCTCTAGGTCCGTAGGGAAGCGGGATCAAATAGATCGCAATAGGCACGTCACTTGACGGGAGCCGAGATCGAAGCGACAGATCGTTCGCGACGACGCGATAGACGAAACGCCCGCCGAAATGCCGCGTCCGAAGACGCGATAACGACGCGAAATCTCGATCCTTCCGTAATTCTCCCGCAACGACTTCGCGGTATTTAAATCCTCGCGAAAGACTCACCTGTTCTCACATTGGCGGCCATTTTTCATTTGGTGCCATCGGCGCTCCGCGGTGCGGCGCGACGGGAGGCGACGCGTTTGAAAGAATCCCCGCACACCACTGCGTCCGTATACGTAATTGCGACGTATATACTTGCCTCGCGTTATGTCGCAAATCTCACCACGATCGGCTTTCTCATCAGACACGGTGCCTGGGCTGGACAGAGGTAAAACAATTTGGAAAGCAAAAACCGACGGTAATTTAATCCACGCGAAACTTCCGAATTATGGGTAAAAACGTTAATCTAGGATTTCACGTCTCGAGTGGTGGGTTTACGCAGCTTTTTTTTCGCAGGTTACGGAGTAATGGTATCCGAGATACTTGAAAGAGGGGAAAAAGTTGAAAAGCTGGAAAAGAAGACTGCGATGTGATCCTATTTATGAGAACCTGTTTCAACGTCACGCCGGCATGACTTCAGATTTAAACCGCTGGACGGCGAAATTTACAAAGTATTGCGGAAACGTGATAAAACTCTCAATTACGTGCTTAAATGGCATTGTTTGCCGCTGCTCACGTCACGGGCCGTGCTTTCGGGCACGGGACGTTTATCGTATTAGCATTTTTCCTGCATATTGAATTACTTGTATTTCAGGTATTTCAATGTGTTCTTTTTCATATATTTTTTTTTTTAAGAAATCGGACTTTGTAAGCGCTACCAGAGAGAAGATGAGAGTACCCAGGCCGAAGGGGACACAGCTATCAAATATTTGCGACACGAGCGCCGTTATTCCTGCGGATGCCTGTAGTACCCGCGGCACCGTTTCAATAATAGGACGAAGGTTAAAGCGCCATCTCTGATTCAAGCCGGTCGTAACGTGTAACGTGGCGTAGCGTGCCGTACTCATCTCTCTGGCGCTATAGAGCATCTCTGCTACAAAGACGCATCGAGAAAGTAACTACTCTGAATTACCTGCCGAAAATTTCACACTGTACAAGTTTCGTCACTTCTCCTCAGATGGCGCGCACTGCGCGGCAAAGACCGGAATTTTATTACATATTTTATTTATTAGGATGGAATGTGTACCTCGTTAATTATTAAAGTCTCCAAGGAGAGCACGTTTATTTATATTTCATTGGTACAATGTAGAAAGAAGTTCGCAGCTACGAGGTTAAGGGTAAACAACGGAAAGTGCTATTAGGTACTTTATTAAAAAGTAATACATAATAGCTACAATAAAGTTGTGCCAATGTGTACGCACAATATAAGTCACGAATAACTTTGAGCAACAGGATTCCTCGGGCATGTCGGCACATGCACACAATCCGCGATTTTGTATCAATGTACAAACAATGAAAAATACGTCTCGTGTAGGGAACGAAGTACAAATATTCAGTCTGTAGCGAGAGTGATGTTTAGTCGTCATTATGGCAGATAACTAATTCTGGAAAAACCTTACGTCTTATGGTTTGTTAAATGTCAATGAATTAGACAAGTATCGAACGAATTTCAATTACATCGTAGGCATATATCATATTTTCTGTACACCCGTCTCATGTACGTAACGACGGTAAAAGAGCTTGGAATTTGGCACATTATTTATACTTATTGTAAACTTCTTGCCTTACCGATATAAGAAGTATTAACCATGTTTCGGGGGTTCCCTCTAAACTGTCGTATCTACCTAAGGGGGCTCTGAGCCTGCTAATATACGACTTTTCTTAAGTACCTAGAAAAAGTACCTTGTATACGTAATGTCAGTTATTGTTGATGTAAATATTTTCTCAACGTTCTCAAAGGGATTCCGTTAAATGGCGCGCATGAGACTCCATAGAGTGATTCGTGATATTTATCTATAGACAGTCACTCGATTCCCATTAACAGGCGGAACCGGTGTTTCCGTTAGCAGCCTGAAAAAGAGTTAGATGCAAATATTCTCCCTGCGAGGAATGATTAATTAATAATCCATGACACGTTCCAGGCAACTTCCGTTTCGTGCGTTCCGAAACAGGGAAGTTCTGGCTTTAAGTGTCCTGCGCTGTTCTTCAAATTAATGTTAATTAATGCTTAGGGCGCTGTAGTTACCTTCAAGTTAGCTTGACTACCGTAAAAGGACGTAAAAGCGGTGTCGGAACTGACACTCAGTGGCAAACTTGTGGCGTCCACGGTTTCCCGTTCACTGCCGAGGGTAGAAGCTCGTAAATCCAAAGTTCCACTGACTCCAGACATCCCGGAGCTCATGGCCATTTCCACTTCCCCGACATCGGGATGAGACATGTGTCTTAAAGGGAGGCAATTTTTCATTTCAATGATCATACATTTTGGAGAACGAGGTTTCAAAAAATACCGAAGTTCACCTATAGTCAGGAGCCGGTGGCTCTATTTGTTGCCTTCGAGAGCTCGACGACATGGGTGTCTTTTTAATCGCATAAATGTAAATTCCAGTCATCGTAAGGGTGTACGAAAGGAAGTACAGAGTGTGGAACTGGAAATTCAAATGTAAGAGTCGCAGGCATCGTTTTTAAGTGCATAATTTTTTTTACTTAAATTATATTAACGTAAATTACCATACCTTATAGCGATGTACCAGCATTCCGAATAAGATGTTGAAGAAATCTGCGGTTAGAAGAGCCAACTGCAAGGCCGTAGCGCCAGATTCGAAGAGGATCACAGGTACCAGGGAGAAGAAGACGAATTGTGTGATGCAGTAGACAACCAAAAAAGTGATAACAGGAGCGTTGTCCCAGTGGAAAGTTTCAATCTGTATCCTCTCTAAAATCGTACTGGAAAATCAAATTAAAGAGGCAATTGAGACGAAGCATAAATCGTTTCAAAACGTGTTAAACCGTGAAGGAAGGTAAACTTGCATTTGCAGACAACTTAAAATAGTGCCGAAAAATCCAATCATTCCCAAATACTCGATGATATCAACAGTCTTGACGGCCAGTTCCTGAAGAACTGTGATTATAGAGAATAAAATAGCCCCTCCGAGACACAGCATGTCGCCGACCAATTGATTTTTACCTGAGGGAAAATATTTCTTTTTCACTCCACGGATAACGTTTGTTCATTTTTCTAGGCTCGATTGATTTACCGGTGGATGCAGGATCCTTATTCTCGTCGATCCCTGCCCACACTAAGCATCCAACTCCCATCAGGCAGACGGACACTCCAACGATGTGGACCATTCTATATCTCACGCCAAGAACTAAGCACGATAGTGCCAAAGAAACTGGTATCGCCACGCAGTCTAATAACTGAAAAGAATGATAAGTTTCTCGGTACATAAAAGAATGTCTGAATTGCAGGGGTAAGCTTAGAAAAAAAAAAAAAAATGGACAATGACTTACCTGAATACTAGCGAGACTCGTAAACTGGTGAGATGACGTTACCAGAGTATTTGCCTCGACGTCGATCAATGCCAAGAGTAAATATCTCCATCCCCGGGACCTTATTACAGAGATTAGACCATTTCCGGCGCCCCTGCACGAAAGCCATGTCGTATATACCAGGCACATCATCGCATAGTGGGGTAGGTTCTGTCCTGCGAGGGAAAGAAAGTAAGACACCGATTATTTCTTCTCGATAAGAACCAGAAATGAAAATGCAGTTAATGCAGTAGTTAAATACGTAATATCCTTATAAGAAAACTGAACTCGTATGTATTTACCTGTTGGAACGGCAAGATGATATATCGTGTTGATGTGATGGTTGAACAGCGTTAAGAAGCAAAGGACTATGGACAAGAACTGTCCCATTATTATCGCCCTCCATACCGCCCTGAAGACAGAAGAATCACAACGTGCTGCTTTACATCAACGTCTCGGATCGCAGGGATTGTCGTGTCTGCTCGTGAGATATTTTTAAAATAATTCCCCCGTATTAACAATGACCGGACAGGCGATGATCGGATTTAAAGGGGAGGACCTCCACTCGGCAAAGATCGTCAGGAAAATTCGAGCGATCCGATCTCGCGGCATAAACTCGTAAACATGCCGAGGGCACCCGCGAAAAGCTCCCGGGTATCGCGGTAAACCGCGCGAAAGCCCCGATAATTCTTGGAGCCTTTAATTATTGCAAGTGACGTACCATTGTCCTAGCTCGGATATGTAATTCTCGATTCTGTCGCAGATGCCGTCCCGCGGCTGCATATTCGGATTTTGATCGCCGAGCCGACCTGCCGTTGACACTCCCATGCCATGGTGCATTTTCACCCTGGAGCTCGCAGGGAGGCCTCGGCGCTTGCGCAACCCTTTCCTTTCTCCCGGGTATGGATATAGGACGTAGGATTATGCTCTAGAGCTCGGGGCCTTTCGTTATCCGCGGATAAGACGAGACGAGATCCGCGCGGCACCCCCGGGAGGCTGTACGGCGTCTCGCTTTTGCACGCATTTATCGATTACCGGGGCTATCGTTCACACCTATTAATCCTTGCCACGGTTCGCCCACTTTATTTTCATTTTTTCCTCGGTTAATTGCGCAACTTGCTCCCAAGCCGAAGGACTCGAACCCGTGCGACTGATCTGACGTAATTTTATCCGAATATTTTATCAACGTTATTAATGATAATCATTTTTAGAGGGTTCTTATTATAGACATAGGTGATAGCTAGTGGCTTCCTCGGGTTGCATAATTTGGGTGGATCAATTGAAAGGTCGTTTAATCACTTAGATGGATGTATTAAAGATAAAAAGAAGTTTTTATATATTGATAAGAATTCCCTGACTGGAATTACGTGGAATCATTGAGAGTCCAGATTAAGCCAGGATTAAGCGGGGAATTGCGCGCAGGGGAGAATCTACCAATGAAAGCTCGGTGCCGGTCAGCCCCACCGGGGAGGTTTATTTACAATATATTGACATTCTGCGATGCGTTATACGAACTCATTGTCAGTCATCAATGACGATCGAAAACTCTTCCACGGCATCGAAAGTATACACATTGTAGTATCTTAAGTACGTTTAACTTATGACTTATAGTTTCACAACCCTTTTCACCTCGCCGCCTCAGAGCTACGGGACCGACGTCCAATCTGCAAAGGGGAAGCCAGACGAAATCGTTACGAGTTACTTTGTGCAGTCAATGTACAAGTCCGTGACGTCCTAGGGACCGAGAGAGAAGTTAATTGTCTACACCTTACGCTTCTGAGTCGCGACAACGCGCGTCCGATTGTTCTCCAGCGGCCGGTCGTCCATTACAAAGTTGCAAAAATACGTAAAACGTAGTCCCACTACTGATCTCCCATCTAAGCACGATCAAATTGGATCCCTATTCGGAAGCTTCATTCGATTAAAAAATCTAGAGATTGGTCATTAATGTGTGTACTCGACCTTCGGGTTCTCCGCTACGTTCCTACGACGAAAGCCTCGCTTGGCGAGGTGCCGATACACGCGAACGGGGGAGAAAAGTTTCGAAAATTTAAGTGATTCCCTCAGTCGTATGTCGATTACATGTTGCGTGATAGAAAACGTAGTTCCCAAAATTTAGCCTCAATGCGAATTCCGCCGGCAAGTGTCGTTAGACTCGATTTCGGGGATCGACGCTCAGCGAGCTCGAGAGCGCAGCAGCGAAGAGTCTCTGTCCGCACTGGACGAGGCTTCCTCGTCTCCTCGTGTTCCGTGTAACTCGGTATCATACAAAATCTCGGATTATTTCTTCTTGGCCTCTTCCTCGACCGCCTCGTTCTGCTTCCGGAAGCAGTCGCCGACAGGGAAGAAGTCCCAGCACCGCTGTTGGTACATGTTCCACACGTAGGTCTCCTGACCCGTGTACTCGGTGTCCGGCTTATTAATTAGATGCATAAGGAAGAACCTGTCGATTCGAAAAACTCTTACAATAATTTTGTATATTATTTTCAGGACTGGGGAGATCATCGGGAGTGTTATCCCGTGAAAAGTCCGAGAATCGAAACACTCACATGTAATTCGCTAGATTGTGCTCCTGCTGGACGTGGGTGTCAAACCCGTGGGGCACCGTGTCGAAATAGTCTTTCCCTAGACCACATATGAAACAATTGCTCTCCATATTCTCCTTAACGCTTTCGAGCTGATCTCGAAGTTCGCCGAAGGCGTCGATGATGAGACCTGGGGAACGTCAATCGATGCAAAATGATGTTATATCCGATAGACTAGAGACTAGAGTATCAAAGTGCCGTCAAATGAAGTTACCCTGAATAATGGCAAGTAGAATGACAATAACGAAGAAGAAGAAGGTGATGTCGAACATGATGCGATAAACCTCGTAATCGTCGCCATCGGGCTCCCCGATCTCGTCGCCGATACCTCCACCGGCGCGCACACCTTTGTACAGATGAAATACGAAGCACTAGAAAAGAAAAATAATTAAAGCCACCAGACACATTTGAAACGGAATGAATATTCGAAAGTCAAGATATTAATACTTTGCTCACCGTCAACATGTCGTGGCACTTTTTATCGACCTCGTCGTCCTCTTCTTGGATGTAGAACTTCCGAAAGAAGTTGAAGGCGATCACGGTGTAGATGTAGACGATGATGGTGAGAAGCATCACCGTCAACACCAATTGTTTCCCATTGTGCGTTACCGACTGCAATATGGTGCGAAGAGTCTTAAACCCAACCGCGACGTCCAGCAGATGAGCGGCGAAGAAGAAGTTATTATAATTCCCAAGTATCGAGAACGTGAAGTACCACAAGCTGTAGAGGAAAGCCTGAAAAAAGCGGAATTTTAATGCTTCCTAAATGTTCCAGGTCATGGTGGGACCTTGAAGAAAGCGTCGCCACTTACATTGTCGGTAATAGTGACCCCGGCCTTCCACACCTGGTACCTCCAGTCAATGTTCACGATACTGAAAAGATATGTTAATTGAGTAAAGCAAAGGTTCAACTATAATTATCGGTAAGAGAAGAGTAAATATCTCGCTCACAAGTGCACGAGCCCCGAGCCCTCTTCCTCCTGCTGACTGAAGGACGTTTTCTCCATGCCGAGGAGGTTGCTGATGTAGTCGAAGTCGTACGTCTCGCTGTATTTCTGTCGCACCTTCTTCTTCACGAACTTGTCCCAGTAGTTGACGGGGAAGGATTTCGCAGATATAACCATCTTGTCCCAGTGCGCCTTGATATCATCTTCTTCGGGAGTCTCTGCTATGTAGAGGCCATCGAATTCCACGCGTCGTGCTATTTCCTTCTCCCGTTTGAATATCGCCAGCGGGACCTGATAAAAAAAATGTAATACGGATTTTTTAACGGCTTTTATATTTCCAGGGATAAAGAGAGGCCGATGCGATACCTTGAGGTGATAATAAGCCACCAGCATCGCGAGAGACACGATGGAGTGGAGGGCAGCCATCAGCCTCATTACGTGCGCCATGTAATAGAAGTCTTCCGACACCTCCACGAACTCCAAGGAGTCTTCTTCTTCTTCGGATCCTTCGCCTTCTCCTCCGCTGCCTAATTCCGCACCACTTCCGCTGCCACTGCCACTTCCGCCGGAACCGCCCTCGCCAGATATATCTGTCAGAATATCGGCAATCGAGTCTCCACTACTGCCGTCATCTCCATCATCTCCCAATGAGGTGACCTGAAGAGATTTAAATTCAAGACCTATTTTCCATCGCCTGATTGATTTGTACCATCATTCAGAATTGAGTAACTAGAGGAGGGAGTCGCACCTTGTAAAACAGCAACATGAAGTTGATGCAGAAGGCAAGAACCAGTGCCACGTATTTCAGGTTGTAGAAGTTCCTGGCTAGGAATGAAACCACGCGATGAGTGTATTCCGACAAATCTAGGGAGGAACCAGAGGATGGTTCGGCAGTGATCTCCTGTTTGGCTTCGGCTTCAACGGCAGCCATGGCGGCCTGCTGGGCTGCTGCCGCCTCTGCTGCAGCTGCGGCTTGAGCTCTTGCTTGCTCACCTCTGTAGGCACAAGAAGAAAATACAGATGAACGGGAATATTTCATAAACAAAGTGTAAATATGCGCAAGGAGAGTAAACCGACCCAAGTAGATCAGCCAACGTGACCGGAGTTTCGCCCTCGGCAGTTGCACTTTCCCCTGCAGGGCGAGCGCCTTCTTCACCTATACCTTCTTCAGGGGTACTCTCGCCGGTTTCCTCCATGCTCGATTGCGGACTCGACGCGGCAGATTCATGGGCAGCCAGCTTTATTTGACCCCCCTCTTCCTTCGTTATATCCATCCCAAAAGCTTGTACCTACAAGACAACCATATAAATAATTACAGGTAAGAGAAATATGAATAAATTCTGTATACCAATTAACACGAATACCAACTTGTAGATTCGATTCGTCCGGCGTTGGCGGCAAAGCTGGTAGATGCCTCAAAGGCCTCTCCTCCTCCTCCTTCACTTCGACAACGGGCTCCTCCACGTGCGGTCCTCTCATCAGGGTCAGCAACAACTTCATGAAGTACCTCAGGACAACTCCGCAGCTAAACCCGGAATAATAGAACGCGTAGAACACGATCTTGAAGAATCCGAGGAAGAGCTCCGGCACCGTCATCTGCTGCATCTCAGCGAATTTGTTCTTGATGTTCGTCGGCGAGAACATGGAGAAGAAAAAGAAGAAGCCATCCTTGAGAGCCTGGATGGCCCGCCGAATAGGATCCTTGTTCTTCTCGTCGTCGTCGTCAGTCATGTAGGTGTAGGAGGATTCTCTGGCTTTGCCGATGCCGCTGCTGTCCTCGACGGCCATCAGGGCACTCGCGTGCTGCATCTCGAAAATCGCGTCCTCGCAGAAATTGATAAACGTCTCCAGTTTCTCCTTGTCTCCGCCTTCCGTCACGGTGTTGTAAAAGAACGCGCGCTTCGACTCCTTGATCTGCGGTTTCTCCCATTGCTCGATGTTGGACTCCTTGATCTCGAAGTAGACCCGCTCGATCTTCTTGCTACCGCCCAGAATCTCGATCCTTCCCAGGAAGGGCTCGAAATAATTCAGTACCGATCCTGCAGTCTCAAGGAATCTTGCGAGTCTAGGTTCATTTGGCATGTGTTCCGACAGGTTGGTCAGCAGGACAGCGAGATTGAAGCCGATCTCCTTGGCTGGCTCGTGGAAGCGGTCCATGAAGGCGACGTAGTCGATCTTCCCATCGTGATTCGTCTCGCAGCAGGCCAGGAGGAATTCTATTTCCTCGCTAAAATTAAAAATGGTTAGGATTATAGGAAGCCTACAGATCTGATAGGATTTTAAACGAATCCACGATTATAATGCCCACTTGGTGTAACTTTTCTGCTGCTCCATCTTCTCCTTGAAGTCCTTCGGATAGACCCAGCCATCGTTGTTCAAATCGACCTCCAGGAAACTCGGCGACGACACCAGATCCTTCAGCTTCAGGAACATGTCGAAGTACTTTAAAATCAGCTCCACATTACTGGCAGACTCGACCAGGGTATCCACCATCTGCTTTCCAATGGTTCCATTGACGACGTTTCCTGGTAAATTAATTATTTATTAAGAGTAGTAATTAAAATGTCTATAAGAGGAGCACTTCGTTATGTGCGCACCTTCGAGCATAGAGAGCATCATTGTGATCATGTCCTTTTGCAGGTTCAGCAGCTCCTTCAGGAGGTCCACCTGGCTGGAGTGTTTCGAGAGCTTGTCCTGCATGTGGGAGAACAGGAAGAGGAATCCACCCACGGCGTCCCAGAGCCTGGAATGGGCGAGGGCCTGCTGGTTCTGGGCGCAGGGTCCCTGGATCACCTCGGTGAGGGTGTTGAAGACCTGACTGGCCACACCTATTGCCTTGAAGAAATTCGCTTTTCCGGCAGGGTCGATCAATTCTTTGCTAGAATAGTGCCAGTAGAAATCCATGATGGATTCCTGCAGACGCAGGAGGTAATCGACTGTGCAGATGACCACGTTCACCGTCGTCGTGTTTCCCGCCTGTGTCCTCAGATAATTCTGCCAATCTAGTATAATCATTTAATTATTTAATGGTCTTATCGAAGAATTACTTGAAAATGAACATGACACTGATTTATTTCGTTCTATCACCGACCTAGATTGTGACCCTCGCAGGTCAGCTGGATGAATCGGAACAAAGCACAGGTGAATTCGGCATCGTGCATGTTCTTCTCCCCGGCCGCACCTTCGGATCCGACACCAAGACCTTCCGCTTTGGTGTTCCTCTCGAAGGCATCCAAGTCCAGGACACTGCAGGAGTTCATCAGCCCAGCGATGGAGGTGAAGAAGCCGACGTCCTTCTTTTCCTTCAGATGGTTCAGCATGCCTCTCTGGATCTCGATGTTACCGCCTCGCAGGATCGAGATGCCCAGCTCCAAGGTCTTCATCACCATCTCGCTGGGAACGCCTTTGCAGGCCGATATGTGAAGTAGTACCATCTCGGCAACTCCTCGATTTGCGAGGCGGGCTTGGTGGAACAGTAATTTCTGCTTCTCCATTTCTTGCTCCTGAAGAAATGTGCCAGGAAATATTAGACATGCGTACATACGTAGGAAATTTCTTGCACCAATCTCAGAAGAGGGATAAGACCTCTTACCATCAGCTTGTTCATCGTCCTCTTCGGGTATGGGGCAAGCGAGAACAGGGATGGAAGATTAGTTGGTTAAAACGCGGGACGCCAGGACCAATGACTCCGATGAGAGGATAATAGTAAAGAGCAACATCGAAGGTGGCTTAGTAATTATTAATTAAAGAAGGTATTTCTGACCACCGAGATGAAATCTGTCTACTGAGGGCGATGTATCAAATGTGAGAAATTCGCACTAACTACTGGTTCCTTACCATAGGTATCTTACGCGGTGACGTCTATCGTTAGTTAAAAAGAGAACGGGACATGCATTAATAAGTTTCAAATTTGTATCATGGACAGAATTTCGGAAAATCTGTCATTTCGTCATAGACGCATTTTCCTCCCCCTCCTTTGTTATTTTTTTCTTTAAGAAATTGCTTCATGCTCACATGAATCGAGGCACCGCCCTCCTCTTCGCCCCCTCCGCCTTCGTCTTCACCTTCTTCTTCCTCTTCGCCACAGGACTTTGAAATAATTTGTGCGTAACTCATGTACAGAGGGTCTTCTTGAAGAGCACCGGAGCGTTCCGTCATCGCACCTCGACAAAAGGTCGTCACCAGTTGCGTCAGTGGATCTGGCTTGCCCTCTTCCTCATCTTTGTCCATCTTCTTCAGCTCTGCGTCCTCAAAAGATTGCTGGAAAAAACGAAAATGGTCACATTTAATCCCTGATAAACAATGGGAATCAATTTATCCAGCGACTTACCGTAAGGTCTTCAATCATAACTTCTTGGCCCACATTTTCGTCTTGCAGCCAGAGCTCGTAGTAAGTTCTTGCGAAGATATTTATCGCCCGGTGTCTGAAATAATTTAACATCGCTTTGTTGTAGAACTAGGAAAACTGGAATGTTTCTTTCTTCAAACACCCCAATTCTCTGGCACAAAAGGGTGCATCTGAAATATTTAACGTACACGCGATACGGTCGCAATTACCTTCTTAACTTGTAGAGAGGCTCGCTACGCAGACATGCAATGGCTGCTCTCTTTCTAGCTGCACACAATACACGATTCCATCCACCTCGAGATGGAGGTGGTTTCGTCGCCTGTTAGCAGCATGCACACACAACTGAATTTATTAGTTCCAAACACTACTGACTTATCACTTATCACGTTATCCTCCCTTTCAGGTACATAATTACCGTCTCACGAGGGACAGGATTGCGGATCGAACGTGTCGAGTTCACCATATAATTGCGAAGCTTACATCGATAAGTAACTCTCACACGATCTTCGTCTTAAGCACACCAAGGTACGCATCAAAAAGCTTAACTCGCGTGAAAATGCAATTGTCACTTAAAAAATGCAGATCCTTGTTGCCTTCTCTACTACGTGTGAGCGATCAGTGAAAAAAGAAGAGTCAGGCGAACTCAACAGAATTCAGAAGAAAAGAAAAAAAAAAGAAAAGACAGAAAGAGAAAATCGATTTGAAACCAAAGTACACGAAATGCAAAAGAAAGAAATCAAAAGGGTACCTGGGTAAGGAATGTAAGGAGGTCTGTCGGAAACACGCTATAACCGCTCGTTTTCGTTGGATGGACACCACCGACCGATAACTACTCTTGCTCTGCTGCTGAGGATGATCTATCTACTCGGAAACATAACTTAATCAGAATCTCTATAAAATTATAAGAGGTTGAAATTACGCCCAGTAGTGTATTCGAAGAAAAATCCCCTAAGAACCGAAGAGCACTACTGAGGTCTAAGTAGCAAGTTTCTATGCTGGGAGTAGTTGCCGAAAATCACGTAAGCCCACCTACCATGTGTAAGCCGTAGAGTACTTTGGCCATCGCGGTTATCCTGGTGACGACGTCGTCTAATTGCTGGGTTTTCGCAGGCTCCACGACGTCTTTCTGCTGACCAAGCTTCGAGTAGAGGTAATGCTGCCAGGACATCTCGTCGGCAGGATCGATCTTGTCGGGAAGTGTGAGCTGGGTCTTCGCGAACTCGGCTATCTCGTACTCCGGGAGCTTCTTCAGGAAGCGGTCCTTGCAATGCTGGACCAGTTCTTGCTCTCGGCCAGCGAAGAGATTCAAGCCAACAGGTAACAGCCTCTTCAAACAGGCCACCATCAGCGAAGCCTGCACCTCCTTGTCCTTGTCCCTCTTCTTGTCGCGGTGTTTTTTCTTTTTCTATTTAAGAAATAAGTGAATCAAATGATCGCCCTGATAGGTAATTATTTGCAGAAATTTCAAGTTTATTGGGATATCATTACTACCCACCTTGCCACCGCCTGACGGTGCCGTACCATCGGACACTGTTGCTGGCCTCCTCGTGGCAGTAGGCATGATAAGGATCATATTATCAATTTCATTAGCGGAGATGAAGTTCTGCTCCTCCCGCAAGAAGTACTGCGATTTGGACCAGGTGTTGAATATAGCTGCGACGTGATTGTAAATGTCTTCCGCTTCGGGTATGTTGTTCCTCAGCCAATGGTTCCTTTGAAGATCGACGTACTTGATGAGTAAGGGATAGAAGGAGTAGATGTCCCTAACGAGCAGTTGCCAATCCTCCTGGATCTGCGTCTCGATCTGGGAGGTGTCATCGGTGGACGACTTGATGAACCCTCGGAGAGACTCCTCCTTGTGGAACATGTTATCAGTTCGCTTCCTGACGCGCTCGGCCAGGGGTAGGAAGGGGTCCTTCAGCAACTCCTCCGAGGAATTAATGATGATTTGCTGGGTATAAGCAGCGATGCGAGTCATCCAGGGAGCGTTCTCATTGCCAATGTTCTTTTTGATCAGTTTAAGGACGTTCTTCAACAGCTGGTTCATGTGGTCGCTGGTTACCATGCTGACGTACGTCCCTTCGGTAGGATTGACGTTGTCGGGACCCTGGGCCCACCAGAAGGGGAGGTAAGAGCACAACAAAGGAAGGATCACATCTATCACGTAAGGTGTATCGTTGTAAGTCTTCTCGGACTCGACAAACTGGTCCACTTCGGACAGGATCGTTTCCAGGGTCGGCATGCTCGACTCCATGCGAGTCATTATATCCTGCGCCTCCAGCGAGTGGTCCGCTATGCGGTTCAGAAGGGAAAACTGATTGTGCTTGTTGAGATGCGGCTCCAAGAAGGCCACAGGAAAACAGCTGGAGAACGCGCCGAGGCAGGAGCCGAGGTTCGGCTTGTTCCTATCGATCTCCGTCTTTAGGTACTTCCTGTCGTTGTGCAGGGTGGCATCGACTCCCAGGGTATAGAGCGAAGCCAGCATCTTGTATGAGGCTACCTGGATCTCGTCGACTGCAAAGTATTTCGGTATTTACCAAGGTCCTCCTTAATCTAGTTAAAAATTCTTAACCAAAGTAATCGCTACTTACGCAACAAATCGCTTCCGTATTCGCAGGCCGCCAAGTGGTCGAACATCGCGGTGAGTATCGGAAGAACGACGCTGTTGATGTACGCGAGCGACGTCGAAGTCTTCAGGTGAGTGCCCCTGAGATGACTGTATTTGCCATCCTGCAGATTCAGAATGGTGTGTCCTAGGTCATCGGCGGTGTTGTTGAAGAAGGTCAGCATGGAGGTCCTGATGAACTCCGGACAGTTCTTCACCAGGGACCTCGCGTCGATGCCCTTGACCAGCACCTGAAGACACCGCACGGTAATCCTCACATCTGCCCCGAAGGCGGCTAGCCTCGATCGCAATAAGTTGGCGAGCTTGCAGAAGAGGGCTGCCACCATCTCCTTCTCCTTCAAGGACGCGGCGCCGACGTTGTTCGTCGCCGTGGCCACCGCTATGAAGTAGTTCCGGTGAGTGCTGAAGTACTTCTCCATCAACGGCAGCACCACCTTGCTAAAGAACTTGATGTCCCTTGTCGAGGTCTTGAAGCTGTTCCTGCGACTGTACGTGTCGGACGGCTTCAGCAGCCTCATGTTGATCGTCGCCTTGTCCAGATACGCTATCAGCTTCTCCAGCAAGGAATAGGCGAATCGCAGCTCCACCGCAGCTCCGGCACCTGCTACTTCCCCATCACCAGTGCCTCCGCGATTTGGCTTGTGCAGTTTGTATCCTTGGTACTGCAGATATTTCAGAAACTCCTGAGAGCGCTCGCGATCTTTTCTCTTCTCCTTGTCAGTCAGAAGATCATACGGCACCAGTTGAGGATGAATTCCACCACCTGATGGAAGAGGGAATTCAAATTAGAAAAAAATTCAAAGACCTGAAAGTGATCTTCAGCAGCTCTTCTCACTCACCGCACTTGATGAGTTCCTCTTTCTTCTTCTTCGCCCAGATGTCATGGGCGTTATCCGCCAGTCGTTCAGCCATATTCTGCATCTCTCTACTTAACGTCAAGTTCGTCATGTCGACAGGGTGCGGATTGTAGTTGAACGGGTTAGCCGCATCTCCCTAGATTCATTAATTCATCAAGTATTAATAAAAAGAAATGTGTCGAATAAAAAAAATTAACAACAATTCGCTAAAAGAATCGACAGTTTACCTGACTTTTCGACGATCGCCTCATTGAGCTGCGATTCGTGGAGGGTACGTCAACTTCTGCATGTTCAACGCTCCAACCAATCGCCAGAAGTGCCTTCAGACTCTCTCTGACTGGTTCCTTGTACCGTTCCTTCTCATAATCGTTCAACATGTTGTAAGGCTTTAATCTCGGATGGGTTTTATTTACATCCGACCATTGTTCGCCATAGGTCCAGCCATTTTCCAGCTTCCTGTTAGCCCAAGCGTCGTGATAGTGCTCGGAGAATTTTTGGACTATCTGGTTCAAGTCGTTGTTGAGGACAATGCTGTTGAGGAGGAAAGAAGTCAGTCGAAATCCAACAATATCGCCAGATAACCATCTAAGTCTATCTATCTCTGGTTCAAGATATTTCTTAATAATTTTTTTAAGTACCTTGAAGTGTTAATAGGCTGAGGATTGTAGGGCCCATCAGGTGATTGGGTAGACGCCGACTTGCTTCCATACCACTCATCATCATAATTTTTTGACAGAGAATAATCCGGAGGCAGGGCACATCCAATGGCCGTGAGACACGGCAAAGCCTTTCCGAAGAGCTCCGGGTCGTAATCCATTTTCGATAGCGAGTCGAAGATGTTGCTGAAGAGGACCATGGTCAGGCGTTTCTCTTCGTCGCTGGAAGCGCCGTACGCACCTTGTCCGCCAGTGGAACCGTAATACTTGGCACATCTGTCATAATGCAGGGTAAGTAGCTGCAAAATAAAGGATTGTATAAAAAGACCCAAAATACAGGAAACTTGGTAGAAAATAGAGTACAGATCTTGAGGCCCACCCTTAGCGCGACCGTCGTGTACTCCGAGAGCTTCGAGACGTCCACCGTCAGCTTCCTCAGGAGTTTCAAAAGCATGCTAGGCTGCATTTGGCTGGAACGATGCGAGTACATATTAAGGAATGAATTCAAGAAAATGTCTACGCCTACAACTCACCTTGTCAACGCCACGAGGAAGTCGGAGACGGCTTCTCGCTGGCCTTTCGTCAGCATCCTATTCTTGCTCAGCCGGTAGACCGTATGCAACGTAGCATCCAACAAGCTTGCATAATTATCCGCCTCGTTATAGAACTTGGAGTGCTTGATCAAAAGCGGCAGAATGCTGTTTCCGATATACCGATTCATGGCGAGGGCCATGTCCGACTCGTAGCCGTCGTTCTGGAACATAGACGAGGTCTTAGGAATCGAGGATGTACGGTATTCACGAACGGTATTCAGATAATTGAATACCATCCTTGCACCTACCCTGTCCAACATCGTGGCGGCTCTCAAATCCGGCAGGAAGGCCTCCTCGAGGATCTTGAAGAACAGCTCCTGGGTCTCGATGCCGTAAACGCGTTCCAAGAATAAGACGATGCTCTGCTTGTGTCCTGGGATCAGTCCAGAGGGCATGTCGCTCTTCGGCCTCTCCTCTCCCGCGGCTGGGTTGAGTAACGTGAATCGAAGGGAGAGAACTCCTTGAAGGTCGTCAAGAGGCACCAGGGACCGAAGAATGGCTCTCGCTCTCAGGGATTCATTTTTTCCTTGAAGTTAATTAAACAGATATTACCGTTTTTCTTTTTTATTCTCCAGGTACAGGTGCGTCCATACCTTGCTCGATCACGGATGAATCCGGCGCACAGCGTCCCAGTAAATCGACCAACGTGCAGTAGAAGTTCAGGATAGCTGCACCGGTGTCGATGTAGTCTTCGTCGTCATCGGACTCCGGCAAGGGATGCTCGAACTGCACCACTCCCGCCGCTCCCTCAGGGTCGTCGTGCACCTGTTTATAAAGCTAAGTTGGTACCGAATTAGTGCAGGGGTCGTGCACACGCTGAGTGATCTAAGGTGCAAGAATTTAGTCGATCGAAAGGACGAAGTTAGAGATTTCTACGATGTCAGACACGAGAGAAGGAGAGTGTCGCTCTCTTGAACATAAATTGGGAAAGTTGACAAGTGATATCTACACATTCAACAAACTACACACAGGCAAAGTCTATCGTCCATTAACCAACGTTCCAAACCGTTAATCACAGTACCGAGTCATCAACGATCTCAGAACCTACGAAGCGGCCGAAGACTACGCATCTTCTGCGGCGCGATTAATCACGAGACTCAAGGGGATGTCTTACTTACAAAGAATGCCTACAGTTTGCCAGATCGGTCAGTAATAATGTCAGCTTAGTGCCGAGGGCGGGTTTGAACTTACTTTACGCCTATCCGCGATTCTCTCGGACATTTTGTTTGCCTCCATGATGGCTCTCAGCAAGCCCTCGCCTTCGCCCCTCAGAGCTGGTCCCAGGCATTCCGGTCGACGGATCAGCAAGCGGATGACCAGGTTTGCGTTTTCCTCGACACTTTCCCCTGTTAAGTATTACATACGTTAGTATAGATTCACTTAAAAAAATTACTAATAATATTTACCATTGACCCAAACGCAGAACCTCAGGAAGTCGAGGTACCGTTCGCCCTCGACAGGGTCCCAGCCTAGATCAGGGTAGCCCTTCTCCACCAGTTCCGAATTCGACTGCAGACCGCAACGGGATAGATATACTGCAATCTTCTCCAGGTAATGTTCCCTCAAGGCCAAAGCTAATTCGGTGTTCTCCATCAGCGAGGAGTATGCCACGTCCAGCGGCGTGGAGCCCCTCAAGGAGGGCCTCGAAAGCAGAATGTTGCTGTTCTCTAGGAGGAAGTCAAAATGGTCGAACATGGCCTTCTGATTTTGCCTGGAAGTGCGACAGAAGTAGCAGAGGAACCGACAGCAAGCGACCACCATCTCATGAGACGTGTCTTTCTCTTTTACAGCCGTTTCCCCTTCAGCCACTTGGCTCTGAACTTGAGCATCTGACTGGGCTTGAGCCCTCCTTCCCAAGGTGTTCATCATGATCGCCATCACGTTTTCGTGGATTCTTAGGACCCGGATCAAATCCGGATGCTGGAAGAAAGTATGATTGTTGACCAGCTTCCACAATCGCTCTCTGACCAGCTCTTCCTCTTCCTGCGACATCTGTACGGGCAGCAACGCGCGGATCTGACTCAAGCCTATCCACATCTCGGCGACGTCGTCCCTGGTCTTGCTATTGGTGACGTACGTCTTCTCCAGAGCTCTTATCAACTCGCCCACAGTGTCGTACTGACGGACCAGAAGACTGAACATCTCTCTTACGAGTTTCGACGTCTCTATCTGAGACTCCTCCGCCCACTTCACGATGTTGGCTATCAGCACCTTGCGGAACACCTCTGTAAGGATAAACATAAAAAGTCAGTTATTCTATCCTTATGAATATTATCACCAGGATTATAATTTATCGGGAACAGGGTATCGACCTTCGGGCGTTTTCTTTTCAGGTTCCGGCTCCGCCTTGGCTTCCTCTTCGAACTCCTTCACGGCATTTATGAAGTTGAAGAGACGTTTCATAGCTCCGGGTTTCTGTATCTCCACAACGTCGTTGGCGGCGTCGGCTGCTTCCTGCAGAGCGTGAAGAGAAACGTACGACATCAGGTTACTGTGGAACTCGTTCATCTTCTCGATGAGGTCCTCCCCGCAGGGAATGTTTTCAGGGTCTTCCTCCTCTATGTTCTTGAAGCTCAAGATCGCGTTCATCTGCTCGCGCGGGGGACACCTGAATTCCCTGGTCTTCTTCGCGGCAACCGCAGACGGCAAATCCGATTGCTTGATGTCGATGTATCTTCGCAGCTGATCTGCCTGCAGATCCCCAACGAAGTCGTGGCTGAAGGCGATGATGGATTCGACTCGATGTCTCAGCTGGATGTCATTCAAATGATGCAGCAAGTAGCACATCTGTAATTTAGCCCCTTCGGCCATTTTCATATGCAGCAGTCCTTTCTTGTGCTCGTCCTTGCCCTCTGCGGTGGATCAAATAATTATTCCCAAATTTTTCCACGCCTCACCGGAGATACTAAAGCCGTTCTTTACTTTACCTTTGTCGAAGGTGGGGTCCCAAGTTTCGGGATTGATCATTATCAACAGCTTGAAGATGTCCTCGTTCCTCAGCATGCCGACCAAGAGCAGCCTATCCACCAGTTTTAGCAGCGGTCTGAAAGTGGGTGTGTAATTATTTGCACATCTGTTCTCGCGAATGGATGAATCCGTCCTCCATTACCCGTTGAGGAAACAGTATATCCACGAATTTAAACAGCCATTGCCGATATTTACGTACAAGAAGAGATTCTCATTGCTGCCCCCGATCGGGTCCCGGTTGTGAACCTGGTTGACCTCGACAGCCTCGTTCAAGGCCATCATCACGTAGTCTCGGACTATGTCCAGCGGGAAGAAGGGACTGTATAGGCTCCTTATGTTCTCGATATTCTGATTCTCACTGGAAAGAAGACACCTTGATGCCGTGCCGGCTTAGTAAGGGGGCCACATCTATGTTTGGAAAAGCGGGTACTCACTTGATGTCGGTCATCTTCATCTGAGGGCGGACAGACTCCGTCTCGAGGTACCTCAAGCTGTGCCTCATGTCAGGGTCCTCGTATAGGTCCTTCAGCTCTTGACCTAAAGGTATAATGTACTCGTTCTTGCAAACCTCCATCGTGGTGGCGTGGGACTCGAGGTGCAACGCGATCAGCAGGTCGTAGAAACCTTGACGAAGAGGCCCCGACATGTACTCGGAGCGTATCGCATACAACAACTGTTTCTGATCCACGTGCAGACAGAGAGCATGTGCTGCTCTGTAGTTCGACTGATAACACAAAGCTGCGTACAACGTCAATGTATGGGCGTGGAAGCTGGGAATTAAAAAAAAAGGAAAACAAAGACAATTTGAATTAGAAAGGTATGAAGGAATGTCCATTTCATTTTTATTCATGTTCCAAGAATCACCTCAACAGCTTGTCCATCTCGATGAGTTCCAGGATGTCGATGCACCTGTCCTCTTCGGGAATGTGAAGGGCGAGCATCGAGATGGCGTCCTCACACAGCATGGACCAGCCCCTGATGTCGGACAACTTCAGGGCGTGGACCTGAAGAGACTGGTTGGGCACTCTGGCCCACTGGTGTGGCTTCAGACACTGCACCTTCAACCTAGGTGGGAACTGGGGAATGACATGACGCTCGGAGTTCTGCAAAACCGCCGCTGATAATGGCAGAGTCGTCGAGGTCCTGCCCAGCTCGATCTGTAGGATCTCCTTGCTGGTGGCCTCGACGAAGATCGCCGGAAAGAGCTTCGTATCCGGCTCCATCTTGAACTTGTGACTGGTCTCTTTTCCCTCGCAAGTGAAGGAGATCATCCCTGTCGCGGTGTCCACGAAACAGCCCACGAACATCCCCTGGGAGGCGCCCTTCCCCGATGCGTCCTGTGTCACTTCGTTATAAAGCTCGTCGGCTCGTACCATGTAGCAGCTCTGCCTGTCGACTCTGTGTCGGTAAGTATTTATATTTTTTAATCGAAGTTCAAAACGATAAAAAAGTGATCAAGGGGTTCATCGACTTACCGGTCCACAGGTCTGTCGTAGTCATCCACGATGACCACCGAGGCCTTCCGGACACGCGACAAGTTGAAGTCCTTTGTGTGCAAGTGGTACTGCGACGTCACCCAGCCGATGTACACGTGGGTCGGATCCTGGCCAGGGAAGATCCGCACCCCGTAGAAGTACTCGTTCATTAGCTTCAAACACTCCGCATCGAAGATTTCGTTCCCGATCGACTCCACGCCGCTTCCCGTAAGGACCGACATGGCTTTCGGGGCGTTTCGTTCCGGGATCTGGGGAGGCACCATCCTGAGGTCGGTCTGAAAAATTGGGAAATATTTATACATATTTACGTTTACACACACATGTAACTCTACATCTTATTTACATACTGTCGACACCCGAAGCTGAGCAGGTCGTGTGGTGAGCCTCGACTTGGTGCTGGCATCGGACACGTCCGACCGCACCACAGGTTCCGGGGTCTTCGACTTGGCATCCGGGGACTTCGCCTTCCTCGAGAAGAACCTGCAAGAAATAATTCAATTCCGGAGACGCCGCCATAGAGTCCGTCCATTTCGCGTGCAGGACTCATCTCTCCCCCACGGATATTAATTACAAAAATTCAACTAAGATTAATTTCTCTGAACCCCCGCCTCCGAAATGCGCCATCTACGAGTCCTGGTCGAGATCGGGACGGGGACTATTTCTAAGAACGTCTATAGACCACTGTATTGACATCTCCAAAAACGAGTACAGAGTCTAGAGAGATAAAGAGCGAACAGACTTACGGAGCGTCTTCCATTTCTTTGCTAAGCTTGCTAACGGAAAGAAGGTGAGACGGTTAATTGTCGGAAATCGTCGATCACAGCAGGTGTCGCTCGGCAAGACTTACCGGAAGGGCGAACGTCCCCTTTTCTTCTTGTCGTCCTTAACTTCCCCGTTCATGTCGCCGTATCCGTTCATGTCGCCCTCGCCGGCGTCGCGATCCAAGGTGCGATCTCTGGACCCGTAAATGGAGCCCTTCCTTGGTGGTCTCGAAGGTTTGCCCCTTTGAGTCGGCAAGGGGGATTCCTTCATCATCTCGTCACCTTCCACGGCGTCCTCCGAATAATTCCTCTGCAGGCCTGTTTAAAAATTTCAATAAATCACGTCGCAATATATATGATTATTTATATATAGATTATTATTTAATATCGGTTATTACGTAACATAGATTATTATTTATAGTGACATCTGTTCCACGCTACTAGAAATTGCCATCACCCACCCTTGATGTCGCTCATACTGAATCCTGATCTCATGATGTGTTCGATGTTGGCCGAGGGTGTCGTAAGCTGAGCCTGCTCGACTTGTTCCGCCAGGAGTCGGTTTTGCCTCATCTTGATTTCTTGCCACCTCCTGGTCTTCTCGTTCTCGTTTATGAAGGCTGACTGGCAGATCACGGGGAGGGAGAGCCTGAGAAATTCCCAGTTGGCCTTTTCCATCGTCTCGAAGGTGTTGTGGGAGATCTTCAAACACGGTGGAGTGTCGGAACCAGCGGGAATGCGAGCCACGTCGATTCGGGTGTCGGCCATGTCGTCGGTGTTCTCGAAAATCGGCTGGTCCTTCGTGTACCAGAAAGTCACCGGTCGGTTCATGTTCCTGAACGAGGAATTACGTGGATTAACTGATCTGATGGAAACTCCTTTTTCCAGGAGGAAGAAAAATTCCGGACATCGGCGGAGATGTTACTTACACGCAAAATGGCTCGTAGCCCTCCTGCAAGCCGCACGTCGTGAAGAACTTCAAGGTATTGACATCCTGCCCGAAGGTGAGCTTCGCTTTCTGCCCGACCCCGAGGGTGAAGGCAGGCACGAAGCAATCGCCCTGCACGTCGGCGAAAGACGTCTCGCCCCCCAGGGCGTCCATTAAAAGTTCTCCATTCAAGGAAAAACCTGGCCAGGAAGAGGGCTCGTTAAAGAAAACGTCATCCTGGGTATAATTTATCGAAGCAAATCAGAAACGAAGGGCTGACTCGATTATAACGATTAATTAAATGCAAAATGCGATAATCGCTATGTTTCTTCGAGACAGGCTTTCGTTCCTCTTGCTGGATGCAAAAACATTTAACGAAGCGACGACTAGAAGCAGCATTTCGAGAGGACAAAAACTTTGCAAACGTCATGTACGAACAAATAGAAAGAAAGAAAACATTCAGTGAGCACAAGAGGTAACAAATGTATACAAAGTTATTACATATATGGATTGTGAACTCTTAGTATTGTAGATTAATCGGCATGCCGGTGTTGGAAGTTGTTGTCCAGAGTATCCACGAAATCAAAACGTGCTAAGGGAGGAAAAATTGATCATGCTCCTAACTAAAAAGTTTGGGAACTAATACCGATGTTTAATCAACACGTTGGGAACAAGCTCACTTGACGAAAAACTATTATCTGTGAATTTATGCATATATATAGATTTTAATAAGTCCCTTAAGTTTTTATCATCTTTACCGGTATGTGATTTTTTTTGTAATTATGCATTGTACTTCGGAATAAGTGTATGGATTATTTTTCTGAATTTTAGGGTATTGCCGTCCACTCGGTTTCGAGAAAAATTGGCAATTTGTTAAGAATTGCAGCGGCTGCGTAATTGTTATGCGAATGTTTCTTATTGGCAACGTACGCCACTCAATAAGCAATGAGGAGTATCGGCAACAAATTGTCCGACACTTGCATTTGATTTTCCAGCGAACTTTATATGAATTCCCTGTCTGCAAAATGTCAAGTTGCTTTACAAACATTGGGAGAAAATTAAATGCGAGGTGTAGCGACTAGATTAAGGTACTGCGAAACACGTAGTATAATTCACACGACTGATAAGCTATTGAATGCGATGACGTGTCGTCCATGTAGTCTGAGCAAGGCGTTATAAAAAATTCTGTCACTTGTCTCGAGAGGCGTATTTTCAGCAAATTGTACTAGCGCTAGGGTCACCCTTCGATTTAATAATTAGTAGAAGCGAATGAAAGCTCTGTTGTCGCTAATGTAACGCTGACTAGAATACTGGATACCAGAATGAGCCGAAGAGACTACCGTCTTATCGAGTGATTATTAATTTCCTACGAGTGACGTTATTATTAACAGTGAACATCTGGTTCCGCGTGGTTAAACTCCAGCAAGTGTATGAAAAGCACGCAATATACTTAGCAAGAAGAATGTACTTCTTTCGTCGAAGGAATTGTCGTGATGTTCCCTTATTTCATTTAATATTAATTGTAAGCTTAAGCGCAAGAGTGACGACACGACTCGTAAATGTCTCAGGCCTTCGATTGAGAATATTTGACGTGTTCTTCCTCCTCGTTGACGAAAGAAAGACCTCCCCTTAAAATTCCATGAAAAGTGACACGACAAGCCGGGATTACAATCGACATTAATTACCGTGATATAATGGACCCGCGACTTCTTTACGTAAATGCAGGGAACAGGACCGAGATTGGCGCGGCGTTAAATAAAATATAAAATGAACGTCTCGATATCCAGTAGTCTATCATCAGGAGAAAAATTATAGCAATTGAAATGGCAGCCGAAGCGTTCGCTTAAAGATTTCGCCTTACTAATCGTTCGGTCAATAAGGTCCAGGAAAACACCGACAACGTCTCCAACCTGCCATTGCTTGCCGAAAGTTTCGGCATTGCCTGAGTACACTTTTTCCTCCTTTAAAATAAAATTTCACCAGTTCAGCTTAAGTATGTCCTAGGATCGGATTTAACCAGGATGCGTTTCACTCGTCCAGGGACGATATATTTTAAAACCCTTTCCGCGTAATCTTGTCCGTTATAAAAATAAATCGACAGGGACGATTTAAAACGTTCCTTCTTTGCGCGGGTCTTGGCCTAAATCGTACTCTGGTGACTCAACGGAGGCTGAGGCCATAGATAGAGCCTTCCCTCTCGTCCAAAACGGGAAAGACGTTATCGCTTACCAATTTCTTTCGTCGTCGGTAAGAAGGCTAAGCTACACTTGGATGAAATCGACTTTCATTCACCGGGATAAGGATGCAAAACCAAATCAACATAGAGTAACATAGAGCGTGACAGAGGCAAGTAGTGACCAAAAACCAGATAAGAAAACCGTCGATCGCTATTAATCGCCCATTGGATAAGTAAGGCTCTTACTGATCGTTCCGTCTGTGACGTCAATGAAACAACCGACTACGTCGCCCACTTGATATTTGTGTCCAAAGGACTCGTTGGTACCACAGTGTACTTTGATCACCTGACATTTATGATAAAATATTTTAAATGACATTTAGACCACCTTACTTCCTTATAAGTCTTTAGCGCCGCACAAGTGCCTAATGGCTTACAATTGGTTGATAACAGAGAAATCGAACTTCCGTTCCTGCACGATCTACTAGATGTTGTCTGGAGAACGCTTACAGGTTCCTTACGCTCCTTATCACGGGTATAATTCTCCTATGTTTAATTATATGGACTATATAAATGATACGATGACTTACGTTGTATCCATCAAAAGCCCAGGTGTTCTCATCGCTGCCCAACATGCTTCCAGGCATGCAATCCGCCTTAGCCCATCCAACTCGCATGGGACCAGCAGTCAGGACCTCGAACTCGAAGTACCATTTCCCGCTGGTGACGGCATAATGCTTCTCCACCCGGTACGTTCTAAACTGGAGCTGTCGTAATCTACTGGCTTCCAGTAATAACGCTGCGAATGAATTCGACGTGTAATCAAGCGTATTTTTCGAAAATCCAGTACCACTGGAACGTTTTCCAATTATTGGAAAACGACGAACCTTCGTGTTGTTCTCCCGTAGGTGGGTCCAGCATGTATCCATAGACCAGCAGCGTCCTGACGGTCTCGCTGGCAGTGTCTCGATTGGCCTTCTTGATGGCTTCGTCGACCTTGGGATACGGCACCAAATGTGGGCTTCTCCTCATCTCGGAGTCCTCGTTCAAGCCATAGGTCCAGCCCTGGCTGATTCTCTCCTTGGCCCACAAATTATGAGTGTTCTCGGCAAGCTGATCGACGAGCTCCTCCATCTTCGGGGTGAGCGTGATGGCGCTCAGGTCCAGAGGCGCCGGTTTGTAGCCGCTACTCTGGAGGAAGGGCTCGTTGGGCAGTCGCAGGGTCTTTATCCGCGACGGTGGTTTGTCCATGGTAATGTAGTACCCCAGGGCAAGGATGGTCTTCAGGGTCTGAACCGCCAACTGCGTGTCGTAGCGTTTCTCCGCAGGTGGAAGTCGTTCGAATTGCACGATGCAAGGGTGGATCTTCCTCATGTCGTCCCTCTGCTCCCCGTAGATCCAGCCAGCCTCGATCTTGTTCATCGCCCACATCTCGTGGATGTTCTCCGCGAGCTTGTCCCGGATTTGTTCTACGTAAGCAGGAAGGTTGACCATCGAGGTGTCGACAGGGGCGGGCACGAAGGCGGTGTCGTCCTCGACGAGCCAGGGCCCGGCGAGCACCACCTTGCTCATGTTGCCGAAGTAGAAGCAGGGATCTAGAGATAGAATTTGCTGCGGTAGGAGACTCTCCACCAACGGGCAGAACTCGTCCGGGGGCTGGTACTTCAATCTGCCGTGGTCGCCGCCCAGGAGGAACCGGCAAGAGAGCTTCGAGGAACAGCTGATCGATGGGAAGAACATCCCATCGAGGTTGAAGTTCCGGAACGAGCCCATTATATGAGCACCGTTGAATGTGAACGTTATCACGGGAATGGTCAGATCCAGGGCACAGCCTATGACGTCTCCTTTGCGGATGTAGGGCTCGGTGACATCCTGCACCACCTGAGTCTTCCTGCCTCCGGTCAACAGGTAGGCTCCGTCGAATCCGAACGAGTAGAGATCGTCGCCTACTCCATTACCGCCCCACTTTTCACCGCCTCCCGGATACGGCATGTATCTGGTGAGACATAACCAAAGTAGTGTTAAAAACACATTCATTACCTAATTTTTATAGGTCTACCTTGGTACTGGTACCTACCCTGCGGTGTTGGCCCAGCCTATCCTGAGGTGCGGCATCATGTGAGTGGTCTGCTCGATGTGGTCGACCGTCACCTCAAAGTACCATTTTTGGTACAGGGCCGATCCCTCCACCCTGCCAACGAAGATGTTCGGCCTGATGCTAGCCACGTGGTCCACTAGTTGTGTTTGCAGCAGTAAATTTTTCCCGGGCAACAAGAAGTCGCAGATGTTGTTCTGAGAGGAGCGTACTGCCACACCGTTACCGACACAGAGGGAGCACAAAACGTCCAGCACTTTCGGGTCTCTTCCGTGCTTCTCCAGAAGTGAGATTATCACCTTGATGTGCTCGTCCTAGAATCAGGTATGTAATTCACATTTTTTTTTTTTCTACCAACGTTGAGCATCGCCAAGCAGAGGTTTTTCCACTTTTCATATTGCTTACCCTCATCATGTTTAAAGCTTCGGGCGAGTCGATAAGAACGCAGTGAAGTACATCCAACATTCCGGTACCTTCGCTGGAAGCTTGGGACCCCAGTCGACTGAACAGCCAATTGAGACGATTACTGTTAGCGAACTGAGCGCAATTCGTGTGGTTCCCCTTAATAATAGCCGCCAGAAGTTGGTAGAGGTAGCCAGAGATTTGGTCCCAAGCTTGGCCGCTTTCGTCTCCGGACAATGCTACCAGGAACCCTTGGGAGGTGATGACGTTGATCTTGTCTATGGCTTCCAGAATCAGATTCAAGATACCCTCCTCTTGGAACAAATCCTGCCGATTGCGCAAAGCTCGGAATCTGTTCTGCTTCTCTTCGTGCTCTGCCGATTGAAAAATCAAACACGATTAGGCATCGATTATTATCCGCATTCTCCTGAAAGGAGACTGACTTTTATCCAACTTACTCACCCATATCGTCTTCCGGCTGTGCAAAGTAATTGATCAGATCCTCCAAACACATGACCATCTCGTTCAAGTTCACGTTCTGGAAGAACATCGACGCCCTCCTGTCGATTTGCAGCGTTTCTAGGCCTCTACAACATATTTAATTCTTTAACAAGACTTTCATCCGCCTGACAGCCATTGAGACGGACACGGAACGTGGACTCTAGAGAAATTTACGTGTCACGTCGAACACCACTCACGTAATGAATTGTGTGAACAAACTGCTGCATTTCCTGATGACGCGAGCAGTTCGGGACTCCTCCTCTTGGGAGCGAGAAAAATCCAGACCATCGTCCATCTTTCCTTCCTCGTGCAACACGGCTTGCTTTTCCTCGACCTTGCCAACCCCCTTCTTCTTGGTCTCGTACGACTGAGGATATAAATTAAAAAATATATAAACCAGATTCATCTTGAACCATCACCACCATAACAAAGTGAACCCTCTCACCTTGTACGACACCCACAGGCACGTCGTGGCATGTTGCATTATAACCGTAGAATCACCGTACTTGATGATCGGCATCCCGATGACCTCCAGGTCCTTGTCCTCGAGGATGGTCTTTTGATCGTCCTTCTCTTGCCGTAGCCAGAAAGTGGAGGTTTCGATGGTCGCTTGGTTCCTGTAGACGTGAAAATTAGAAAAAATCCCGCTGACTAAACTCCCTAACGCTAACCATAACGTTTTATCAAATTGTGTTAACACTAAGACGCAAAAGTTCCACTTCAATAAATATAAAAAAAATGCATATGCCATAAGAAATGAGATATGATGTTACCTATCGACTAGGTACAACTCATTGTTCTCATTGACGCCCAGGTAACGACCGGTAGTGAGGTGTCTGATCCTCATGGGGTGCAGCCAGTTGATGAAGCCCCCTGCCCATTTCGTTCTAGCCAGCTCCAACCTCCATAATGATCTCGCCTGGCTCATCACGCTACCGCCTTCGTAGATAACTATACTACAAACCGTAACGTTAAAGATTCAATGACTGCGCCAAGGTGGAATTTAGTGGACGTCGCTCTGGAGAGCGAAGGGCAAAAATCTTACTTTTGTCCCTGGGACGTGCTCCACGTGGATGGTATGGTGAGGCACTCGTCACCCCCGTGGAAGAACCTCAACACGTCGCCACCAAATACATATCCTACGTACTTCATCCTACTAATTCCTGTGCCATAAGGCTGGACCGACCAGTGGGTTACGTGGAAAGATGCGTTGACGACTGACAGGTCGTTTTCCTTGGTCGTGTGCTGAATGATAACGAATAAACGAATAGATCTAAGGTAAATTAATATGAAATTATACGTTCCGACGGAACGACAATAAGGAAATTAATTATTCACCAAATATCGTTCCGTAGCTACGGACACCAGAATGAGGTCGTCTCCAACCCGGACCTTTTCACCCTCGGATCTCTGTTTGGAGGCTGGATGTACTGTCCACCAACAAGCCTCTCCTGTGGATGATAAGATTTGTTACGTGAACAAAGTCGACGGAGAATTTAGTAGAACGCATAGATGAAGAATGGAGACCAGCCTTGAGAGTGTTGCTGTAGACCTACATCGAAGGCCAGCTTATCGTTGGATGAACTCGTCGACAAGCACGCCAGGTACTGGAAATGGGAGTAATTACATGTAAGATGGGATATTTTATAAGCTAGAGAGAGAAGTTAGATATTTATACTCACCATGTCACTGTTCTGATGCCTGAGCAAGATGGCGTTGCCGTAGAGTAGAGTTCGGTGTCCAGATCCGGTGCCCTTGCCCTAAAAAGTGCAACTTATTGAAACGACTAGTATTCTTCATATTGTGGCTGTATCTCGTGTTTAGAGTCATATACTTAAGATTATGCAGTGCCTTGTTTCATGTGTCAGCGTAACAGTGAAGGTAATATCGTATTTAAGAGGTGGCAAATGAGAAAACCTCAAATCTGTGTGTAACATGTCAATGTTTCGTCCCCAGAGGAAGTGGCTGAAGTTATTTAATTCTCTGTTAGTACCTCACGAGAAACATGACCATTTTTACACTATATTCAGCCTGTGACGTCACAGGGACTTTAATCGCCCGCTTCTTCACGTCGGCGAGCAAGTTACAGCGTGGAAGCGAGTTAGTCAACTTACTCAGGAAAAGATCATCGAAGCGCATTCTTACTCGTAGCAAACCCTGTTAAACACTCGCTGATAAATCGGCGCGTTAATCAGAAATTCCAGTTTCCCTCCCAGAGCGCCCAGTAATCCTGGACGACGTGCGTTACAGGGAGGACCCCCCAACAACGTTAATCCATAAATAAGCATAATCCAGATAAAGCAGCGAAATAAACATTAAACAATACATTACGCCGAAAAGGAATTCTCGATAAAAAAAAGTACTTACTAAACTTTCTTGCTGCTGCAAAAAAAAAAGAAACGGCGGTAAGTGACCCACTAGTGACAACGACATATGGCTTAATCGGTAAAATCGAGGATAAGAGGATGAGAGAAATTACGGGTTAACGGTGGCGTCTATCTCTCATTTGTAATAGAAAATGTTTAGGGACATACGAAGGCCGCCGTCGACGATACTCATGCGACATACTGGACGAGGAGACATGCGGACATGACTGGAATGTACCTCTCGATTTACACGGAGAGGTTCTTCCGTGGAAAATCGTGGAGAGAAAAAAGAGAGATATAAACAAGGGGGCGAACTTTTTAACGCTAGCGGTATCGACGAGTCTGATTAATTTACGTATGGAAAGGGCATATTTGTTTAATGACACGGTTCTGACGAAGCAGGACGCAGCGGTATGTATGGCCCACTCTTGTACGAGGTGAGATACCTAGTCGGGTACACGAGGTACTACCGACTATAACATTTAATAAATATTTAAGCTTTGTACTCGGTGCCGCTACGTTCTTTGGCGTAATTGAAGTATACATTACCGTCTCCGACCCGGCAGCTGTGACTAATTCTTGCAGAGCTCTCACCGAGAGAGCTTGCTCTATTACGAACACGCATTGCGACAGATCTGGAGGGATATTCTGGAAAAGGATATATTTTTCATTACTCGTGGAGAACATTTTTATTCCTAGGTGAAGATTCGAGGTTACCTTGTCGGCGATGTTTTCGAGGAAACAATGTCGGTTCCCGAATCCCTCGGCTGCCAGGCAGACCCTCTCCCCCGTGGCCGTGCAGGAGAGACAGACCATGTCCTCCTGTAAATTTAATTAATTCCATTGCCCTTTGATAATTATACAATGCTTTGCTAGAGATTCCTTCCTAGCCATTGCCCAACCCCCAGGGCGGATTAATAAACTGAACGGAAACCGATTACAGATCATTACAAGACCTCGTACTACCAGTTGAGCGGGCTTGCGAAACGGCAAAATATGATCTGGGCCAAATGGCAAAAGATCTGCCGCGTGCCAAAACCAATTTGGCCGTCCTGAAGAATGCACGAACGCGAAAGTGCGTGTAGAAGGAAACGTCTTCCCGGAGGATTTGCGAGATTTCCTTGGATTTCCTCGAAGCCTCCGGGAGCCTCGACGCGAGACGTCCAAAAATAATTTCCAAACACTTCCTAGCACTAAAAAATTCTTAAATAAACTATTTCTTAAATAAAACTTAAAAATATTATCATGGGCCGAATCGAATCAATCAAGGATTTCCTTCAAGTCTCCGAGATCCCGAGACGTCCGAAAATAATTTCCGAATATTTTCTGGCGTTGATAAATCGCCATTGGGAATATTTCCTGGATAGGAAATAATATACTTGTGTCGTGGATTAAGTCGTGGGTAAATTCGAGAGACGGATTCGTAATTAATATAGTAATTAAAATGGAAGTAAAAACAAAAGGGACGAAAATGGCGAACTAAGGAAGGTTCTTCGGTCCCCGCGGATGTCTAAAGATCGATCACTATCTACCGATCGCATGTGTTCTTGACTATAAATAAATGCGTACGTGATTTTTATTGGCAATTGTCGTCGAGCTCCGTTGGACAAGGCTAATAAATATGCATCGAGGCGCATAGTTGATGCTAGTCAAAGGACAGGTCAACACGTAGGTACAACACGAATTTTCAAGCACGGCGCGACACGTGGAAACGAGTTGCTCCTTCGGTCTTCCCGGCATACGAGCCGTTCGCGGTTGCAGCTGCAGCTGCAAAACATATCCTACTTTTCGTCGGGACCCTCGACTTCCGAGGAATGTTCAGTACTTCCTGCAACGCGCTTGGAAATGCAGCCGATCGATGCACCGCAGCGAATGCACCGGCGACGATTCGTTCGGCATCGCACGACGCAACCGAGCGAGTGCAACCGGAGGGGGAAAAAATAAATAAATAAATAAAAGGAAAAAAAATCTGTCCAGTTCCTAAATGATGCATCTAGGCTGATTTTCCTAAAAGAGTATTTTTCTCATTTTTAAATCGAAATTTCGAAAGCCGCAGAATTAAGTAGAAGATATTTTCGGGTAATTCCGAGTATCGTAATACAATTACCAGGATGCACCGCAGACGGAAAAGTTAATGATTCGTCCGACTGTATAGGCATTGAATGCCAGCCAGCAAGGAAATTCCAGTCACCAGGTCAAGGGAACGTCCTTAACCCTTAACAGGTCGTATGCTCCAGATACTCCAGGGTCTTCAAAAATTAATTTTCTCGAGGGTGCATAACTTCGTAAAGCCAATAACCCCCGATTGACTGTTTACTTATTACTAGTGTTCAAACCGACGCGAGAAAAGTGGCTAGTTGCTAGAAATATTGTTGAACGGATAATTTCCGAATGCTCTTATTTGCAGACATTTTCCAAATCGCTTCACATTTCCTGAACCTATTTACACCTCCAATAAACCGCTCGCTCCGCGTGCGACGTTCGACCGAACGAGGCCTTTGTGGAGGCCTTGATATAAGTACCCGAACGTGTATGTCAAGGGTCAGACGAAAATTTCGATGATAAATATTACATCATAACCATCCAGACCCTGCTCACTGACAAAGAACTCCTTCCCTCCAGCGACATTTCGAAATCAATATATGAGTACCTGGAGACATAGAAAGGGAATAAAATAAAACAGGAAAATATCCGTACAAGGGGACGTGAAAGTGGCATCCAAAAGGTTGATCGTTCACGAATCGTTTCAAACCCCACGACGTGAATGTGGAGGCCTTAAAGTAGGTCCTGAAACTCAAGAATTTTCATTTTTTATAAAAAATCTTGAAAACATCCATAAAGAAATTAAGAAAAACATGACATTTAATGGGTGTCAGGACCTTCCTTATAGCATCCATATTCACATTGTCAAGTTTGATACAATTAGGTACCCTCAGTTCGGAGAAAAGCTTCGCAAACCAGACCTTTTCATGCCGCTTTCACATCACCTTAATACTTGCGACATTTCAAATCCATGTTTCCACCTTTCGTCGCACCGCTCGGTAATTATTCCCACGTAATTAGGCATTCGTGTCGTTCTGTGGGATCTGGGAAAAAAGGGCGTGTCTCGGGAGGATTTCTCGCGTAGGGCACACCAACTGAGCGAGCAAGGACTGTTCTGGACTGTTCTGGACTGTTCCTAGTTCCCGGCAGGTCGGGTCAAGGCCGGGTCCCTGTTTTTCACGCTCAGATTGCCCTCGACGATGCCGCGATAAAGGAACGCCGCCGAGCGGGCGGATTCGCGCGACGAGCGCTAAATACGGGGCCGGATAGCTAGGCGAGATCGCCTTTACGCCAGATATACGGATGACCCGGTTTAACCGGCGATATAAATTCCCAAGGGACGCGAAAACGAGTCGCAGGTCCTCTCGGAGTCGGCGTCTCAGCCCGGAGGTATGTACGTACATACGCGCGCGACTGACGTCAATGGACAAGGGTACGTATCTCTTCCTCGGGTGAATTAACGCCACCCTAACCGGCCGAGTGGCCTTGAACACGCCTGCGTTCGTCTCCCGTGGTCGGTGACGTCCTCCGGGAAGGCAAGCGTTTTCCAGAAAGCCCGGCCGATCGATGCCCGAGCACGGCGAAATTCCCTCTTCCAAATTGACGGGCCTGCGAGATGGCCTCTTCGTGCTTTCCTACCCTCCACCCTTACCTCCTTCCCCTCTCTCGGCGAGAAACTCTCCGAAAATATGTACACGCGGGGTTTCCGCCTCTTCCGTCGGTCGTACGAGAAAAGCAAGATGGCGGCGCGACCGGTCACGTGATCGGCAGGGTTCCTCCTCGAGAGTTCATTCGGATTTTCTTTCACATACGAGTAGATCCGCGTGAAAAAGTTTTGCCTGGTTGCGAGGTCACGTCATTTGTCAAAATCTGATAGTCGTATACGAAACTGTCAATTTCGCATGCGAAAGTTGATCGTAGGAACTAGAGAATCGAGTCGCAGGTCACATCTGCGGCGAGGGATCCGATTCCGTCCTTGCGCGAATTTCAATAGCTACTCAATATTTCCGCGCTCTAAAGATCCGATCGGTGACGAGAGGATTAGGAACTCACCCTTTTAAATCCATCCCTTCAAAGGCTACGTGATTTTCCAATGAGTTTGTTTGTGATCGCTCATAAATCGCTGTTTCAAAGATGGCGGGCTCCCGACGACGCTTACACGGCCGCGTGCGCGCGCACCTGCCCCTCTTTCCGATTGGCCGACGTCGTCCCGCGGTAGTAACGGTCCGATCACGTGACCCCGACCACGTGGTCCTCACCCCGAAGCCCGGGAACGCATTATTCGCCTTCGATATGAATTTCGATGTTGCGATCTATCTCTTTCCCCTAACCAATGGGCAGGTTGACACCGGTCAGACCTCTTATGTTTCGGCCTTTGTTTCTCGGTGACATATTTCGCATTTGGTGGTTACGTCAAATTGTCAAGTAATAAGTAAACAAAAATTTCACAAAAAAAGAATATGGGTGACTACGAGGACGGCTGTCAGGAGTGCAGGTACATCTCCAGTAAATATTTCCCAGTAAAGTATACGCGAGTAGAGGAGCATAGATTATCGAGTCACCTTTGAGGGATTTTTCAGTCTTAACGGGAAACTTTTCACTTAGAACGAGGTGCAGCGCATCTCGATGTATTATCTCGTCCAGGGAGCGCAACGAGCAGCAGAATCTCGAACAGGATCGGCGACAGGACCTCCCGGAAACGACCGAAGTAACCGACGCGTTCTTCACCGCCTCGTCCAAGGGCTGCGACAAGGACGAGAAAAAGAAGGAGCCGGAAAAGCCGAAGTGCCGCTGCCAGGAGAAGAAAAATGGAAAGCAGAAGCAGATCAAGTCGGGCAATCCCTTCATCCTGTTTTACCTCACGTACTATTACCAAAAACCGAGCCAAAAGGTAACCGAGGCCGCGCGGGCGGCCGGGAAGATCTGGTGCAAGATGTCCGACAAAGAGAAGGAAAAGTACATCCAGCTGGCCAAGAAGTACCAAAAGAAGAAGGACGCCAAGGGGAAGGGATGCTGACCCCATGGGAAACTGAATTCAGTGGATTTTTTAATGTCCTTTATGAACAGTGTCGTCGAGTCGACCATCACAGTCTTGTGGATATTTCATGTACTGGCGTGAGGTCGTAAAATGAGATCTTCGGATGAAGTCGCGCTTAGAGGACGAACGATAGGATGAGATGTCCCCATTATTTACGGTGTCCTCCATTAGTCTCCCCATGGATTCGAGATTTAATTATCAAAGGATTTTTTAATACTACCAGGAGTGGAAAATTAAATTTTCTCTGCGTAAGTAGGAAGGTAGAAAATATTTGATAAAGGGGTATCGTAAGAATTCTTCCATCGAGCATTCTTTCAGGATTGGAGACAATCGAGATTACGAAGAGTTGGAACGTGCCGTGCTCCGATTATCGACTCGAAGTCGAGGTCGATCGACAAGATCCTCGATCAATGGACTTGAGGTTTCAATTCGGATCGCCGTTCCGCCAAACGGATTGCAGCCAAGTCGGATATATTTTATGTATGCGAGCACGCGAGTACGTGTACTTAGAGGAATGCTTATCTCGAATCGATCGAAACGGGGAACTCATTTCGAGGATATCAGTTTCCGGAAAACGCGGAAAAGAGGAATCACTGATGTTCCCGTCCTCCAACTTCGCGACGAATTGCAAGTCTCAATTACCAGTCCATTTAAATGTCCGTCCAGTACAGGAAGTGTGACCGGAAGAAGGACTTTCCCTCCACCTCGTGTAAATTTAAATAATCAACCCCTCCTCCTATCGGACTCTCACAGTGCCCTCGGGATTCCATTAATCCCCGGCGAATCGATATGTGCATTTTAAGTGAATAAATTATCCCTAATCTTAGTAATACGAATGGCAATAATCCCCGCACGCGTCGTCTGTAAATTAAAAATTCTCCGTGCCGGGAATTTACGGGCAACCGCGGGCATTGTTATTTTACATTTTTAACCAAAATCGATACACTACGCTCCAGTTACATAAATAGTGCAGATGCGCGTTGTCGAGGGCTGTTATAAAAAAAATATGCCAGCGACATGCGAACGGACCTTCGGAGAAAAAGATTGGGAAAAAGGGAAAGAGCGGCCAGCTCGGTACCCTCGCATCGAGTGACACTCGCTTCGCGTATATAAGGCCAAGGGCACAAAGAGTGAGAACTTTAAAGTGCTTCCACCAGTCCGGCAAATCCTGAAAACCCTGTTAACGGTGCGATTACCGCCAAGAAAGGGAGAAGGCTAGCCGCAAATTCGGTAGTCCGGAACGATGCGAGAAATACACACCGAAGGCAGAAAAAAATGGAAACAAGTGTTAATCGAGATATTCACATGCACCGTCGATGCAAAGTGTGGAGAATAATACCGCTCTGCCCGGCTTGTTTATCGGATCTCCCTGGTAATCAGTGGTTGTCTCCAATAATTATCTAGCCTCATGATGGATGTGCCTTACAAAAGGTCATGGTACACAAAAGTCGCTGTTAGGGAAATCGACAGAAATGATCACGCAATACCCCAGAGACAGACTCGAGGTCTGTAAGTAACGCATACCTCAAATACGCGGTAAAATAAATTCGCCCGAAATTTAATTTAAACCCTGATAAAACTCCCGGATGTCTAAACACAGCTCGATACGAAGGATACTCGTGTCGAAACTTCTCGACTTTCACATGTTGCAGGGTTTATAAACGTTTTGCTCGAATATTGTAAATGAAAATGTAGGTTTAATCGAAATTTTTATACACACCATATTCACGCACGGCTCGGTCAACCTCCGGGAGAAGTAACGAGTTACGACGCGCGCGCTCGGGCAAGGTCGGGGGTGGCGGAGGCCCCCGAAGGCCCCCGAAGGCCCCCGAAGACCTCCGACTCTCCCCCGGAATCGGAAGCGGACTCACCGTGCGGAGGAACGAGACGTCATCCTGCTCGGAGCCACCCTCACTGTCCGCCATGATTCCTGCGGGCGTTCACGCGGCACTGGGGGTATCCCTCGGCGAGGAGTCACGAACGGCCGCGGTTCGGCATGCTCCCTTAGGCTCGCAACTCGCGCGACCAGCCTCTCCGAACCTCGATCACCGACTGGCAAGGGGTACGCCGCGGCGCGTCTTCCTGCGCATGCGCCACCAACCCTCTAATCGGATCCCTCACGTGAGAGAGTCTCTGCCTTACCGACTCTCCTCACACCTGTTTTACACAACGCAAGGGATTAAAAAATGCCACCTGCGACGAGCAGCGCTGTCGATTGATACGGAGGCCTTTATTGAAAAAGGGACTAATTCGGCACTTTTTTCGATAATTAATTAAAAATTCGTAGATTTGCACTCGTAACAAGTGCTGAGTAGAATGGCGCGAGATTTTACCCCGGCGCCTCCACATTCCACCTCTCTATTTTGCCAAAATCTGCATGTAGCTAAGCAACGTTGCGGTAGGTCGGAAACTAAAGTTCACCGCTGCCAGGAGAAGAGATTATAATCATTCGGGATGGTAGTTAATATTTCGTGCATTCATCCCTTGACGTAGTTCCGTGGTTAAGGGAGTGGATTTCAATTCAAGATTTATTTTTAGGACGAGAATGAGAGGCAGGTTTAGTTTGACATGTCAGCATACGTGGGAGATGGAAACGTCGTTTCGACGAATTCATCCCTCGTTGCTGTGACGTGAGTTGGGGCGACCTCGAATATTTTCGCGAACATTTCTTGTATTTAATGTGCGACTAGAGCGGTTCTCTAATTCGCGACGTCGCGCGTTGAAATGTTGAATTTCAAAGCCGAAAATGTGGGGCCGTATGCTAGATTTTGCTCCGCTGAAGTATTCTCACCAGTCGGGATTTGCATGTTTTCTCTGCCAAAATGTGTTTCGAGAGAGGTTGGGCTCAATTTTAAAACGCTCGTATGCACGAGAGCCGGAGGGAGAGAAACCCTCTGCGAGGATGTACGTGCGTTCGCATATACTAAAAGGTCTAAAAGAAAAATTGAAAACACCCTTTTTCCATCCGTGAGCAGTGGGAAACAGTTAAAGATAAATGGAGACCCGGATGAGCATTAAATTAGTTTAGTGGTCCCACTTCCACCGGCGAGACTGATGCACCCACGAACAGTTACAAAAATATCTGTACGCACACTGTGCGTGCTCCAGGTAGCCCCGATAAAATTAATCGAAGGTTAAAGTGCCGAGACCCGATGGACTCGGTGCTAAATAAAAATTCGACACTCGGGTAGAATATTTATACGCAATGACAAGTGCGCCCCTCTACGGTACTCAACGGAGTAAGACCAGACGCTACGTGCAGCACACTGACGCCTTAGAAATATTAATAAATTTGAGAACGACTTTAAATTTAATTTCGGGATTTAGAAAAAAAAATGAGATTGAAGTCCCTTCTATTTTTTAATATTTCTTAGGAACGAGGGTGATGGATAGCAGGATTGTAATACTCTATTTCGAGCTGGGAAAAGAAGCGGCGAGGACGCCTCTTTCTCGAAGCGAGCGAAAGCGTATTTAGAGCTAAATCAAGAAGACTCTTGGATACGCTCTTCAAGGCCCGTCCCTAAATCTGGACTCTTCCGTATTTACTCACGTAGTGATTACAATTTCGTGCCTTTATCAGGTGCGCCAAAATCGTCACTTTTTCAGACGCACCAAAATCGTGGCATTTTCAGGCGCACTAAAATCGTGCCTTTTTCAGACGCACCAAAATCATGCCTTTTTCAGTTGCAAAAAAATTATGCCTTTTCAGGTGCATATAAATCCTGCCTTCCTCGAAAAAGATGGAATAAAACACGTGCGCGACCAAGAGGATCCATGGACCCTGAAGAGATGCAGCATCTAGGGCCTCAGTTCCCGAAGCTCGCCACCCCAAATCTCGGCCACTCCGTACCAATCGCAGCTTAGAACCTTAGTCGATACAAATTTAACATCGCGTTCGGCTGCAGATCCGCCCCCGCGATGCAACCTTCGCGAGTTAACATGAGTAGCGACCAAAGCGACGCCCACGCGCGGCGTTTCGTAACGATTTTAACGCACTATTTAGACGAGACGAGAGCCGAGGGCACGTCACCTCGTTCCCGGAACGGCACTTCCGTCGACGGCACTCACTCTCGGCACTGAGATAGGTATTTAAACCGAATTAGTACCAATCGTACCCCGTACTTATATTCGAGCGCCGTTCGGCCGGGTCGTTCGCGCGAGTTCGAGTCGAACAAGGAGATTCGGAGGGAGCGACTTCTTCGGAGGCTCGAAGAGCTCCGACGAAGTTTCTGCCGAGGCCGGAGGAGCTCTGGCACTGCGAGCCCCACGGTACAGACCGTGGCTCTTGGCTATTTTTGGTTTTGAGCAGCGAGCCTGCTCGACGAAAACGAAAAGCTTCGCCTGTCGCTCGTCCCTCTCGGGAGGCCAGGGACTTGCGCTTGGACGACTTCAACGTCGCAGACCCCGAGTTCGCCCCTCCCTGCGACTCATAACATCGTACACAATCGCCAACCCTCCTCAGGTTTTGTTTTTTAGGGCTCGAACGATGCCTCGAGCACGCGAGACTGCTCGCAGATCGAGCGCGCCTTCCGCAACTCCACCCGTCTCGACGACGCGGTGGGAAGTCGAATAATTTAGGCATTGATGTTGTACATGTGTATATGTTTCAAGTACATGTGCTGCGACAAGGTGCTCTCACTCGTTCTCTACTAAGGCCCATACTTTGCTAAGGTCCGGAGGAGGAGGCGCCCATGTCAAAGGAATTAGAGCGCGAGCACTGCGCTCGAATGGCTCGCTGTCCGACCAAATCGCCGCCAAGGGTGATCTACTTTCTCAACGTGGCCCTAGTTCGGAAATCGAGCCCTAAAAGCTAGTGCTTCGGTTTCTTCGGTCGGATTTTGCCTTCTTACGTGGCGGGAAGACATCATCGACGGAGAGTCCCTTGAACGTTTTATTCTAAATGGCTAATTTCTGATGATTTTTTACTGGGCGCAAAAATTCGGCCTCTTCCCCTTTAAAATCACTGCGTACTCCTTTTAAATTCCGCAAAGTTAAGGGTTCTGTCTGAGAGGAATTATAGCGCTATAAAACGGATCTTGCCCAGTCCAGTGACCTGTAATATGTACCAAATGAGGATATTGTCTCATCTCGTGATCTCATCAGTGACCAGTAAGATGGATATCTCGTTCGTTCTTCTCCCACCGATGCCTCTCTTCGGATCCTTCTTATGGTTCTTCTTGTGTAGATGGTAGCGAACCGCCGCAGTAGATTCGCTCCCGCCCAGACGGTCTGACGCTGATAGAAAATTTCTACTTAAATCATTCCTACTATACCGCGTGTACACCCGAGAGGCCGAAATCTGGCCGCCATATTTTTTTTCATACCTTTCGTCTTCATATCTTCCGTCCACAGAGGGAAAAGTCAACTAATTATTCCCAAAACTCACGATTCTCAAGGTATCCGAGATTTGGCATGTGCTCGTCCCGAACTCGAGCGCGGTTTCCTGGATAGTTATTTCTGAGGAATCACCATAAATTGTGCGGCTTTGCGTAATCGAGCTTTGCCAAATGACTCGAATCAAATACACTCAGCTGTTCGAGTACGATCGTGTTTGACTTTCGCATTAAGATGGCTATGTCGCGATATATAAGAGTCCCTGGAAGGAGAGGAGCAATCCTTGCCACTCGGTTGTGTCAAGAGGCACAGAAATGGGATCCTTACTTGACATGGCGTCCACCTTGACATCGCTTGGACTTTTTACCCTGTAATACATCATTCAGATTATTTCTGGGTAATTGAAATAAGGGGATAATAATTTTAACGTCAAATCTACGTTTCAGACTCCTGGGTGCGGTAGGACCGACGGTCGCCTACAGTTTCGATGGAAACCTGTACACCACCATATACGACTATGCCAATGTACCCCATGCTCATCTGGGTACCGAGAGACCATCGAACCCATGGCTGATCGCAAGTGTCAATTCCAACGATGCAGGTCCTGTCGTATCCTCGACTTCCGAAGAGCCGACTTATGGGAATATTCCAGAAGTCCCGTTCGGCATAGAAAAGCCATTCAAACCATGGATGGGTTCGAATTTACAAGCGGATGACATCGGCCGTAGGGAATCGAGGTCTGAGGAACCATCCTACGGGAATATTCCTGACGTCCCTATTGGAATAAACACGCCGTATAAACCGTGGCTCGAAACTAACGTGCAGAAAGATGATGGCACCAAAACTAAGTCCTCCAGGTCCGAAGAACCGTCCTATGGGAATATTCCCGAAGTCCCTTTTGGTATAAATCAGCCGTATAAACCTTGGCTCGAAACAAACCTGCAGAACGACGGAGGCACCAAAATTGAGCCCTCCAGTTCCGAAGAACTATCTTATGGGAATATTCCCGATGTCCCTTTTGGCATAGACAAGACGTATAAACCTTGGCTCGAAACAAATGTACAGAACGACGAAGGCACCAAAACTGAGTCCTCCAGTTCCGAAGAACTATCTTATGGGAATATTCCCGATGTCCCTTTTGGCATAGATAAGACGTATAAACCTTGGCTCGAAACAAATGTACAGAACGACGAAGGCACCAAAACTGAGTCCTCCAGTTCCGAAGAAATATCTTATGGGAATATTCCCGATGTCCCTTTTGGCATAGATAAGACTTATAAACCTTGGCTCGAAACAAATGTACAGAACGACGAAGGCACCAAAACTGAGTCCTCCAGTTCCGAAGAACTATCTTATGGGAATATTCCCGATGTCCCTTTTGGCATAGACAAGCCGTATAAACCTTGGCTCGAAACAAATGTACAGAACGACGAAGACACCAAAACTGAGTCCTCCAGTTCCGAAGAACCGTCTTATGGGAATATTCCCGATGTCCCTTTTGGCATCGACAAGCCGTATAAACCTTGGCTCGAAACAAATGTACAAAACGACGAAGGCACCAAAACTGAGTCCTCAAACCCATCTTATGGGAATGCTCCAAAGGTGTCTATCGGTATCGAGAAACCATCCAAACCATGGCTGGGCTCCAGCTTGGTGAACGATGAAATCTCTGGACCATTAGTGGAAGAAGTGGAATTCGTTCCTCTGGACGGCCAGGAAGGGTTAAGTTTGAAATCGCAGTACAGTACCGACAATTCGAGTCCATCCAGTAACTCTGACGCAGTTTGCTTAAGCGAAGTTTGCAGCAACACTGGTATGCAGAATTTGTACTGCGTAAGCTAGAAGCGATTGTTCCTGAAATGTAGTTTTAATAAATTAATTGAATTTTTTCCCCAGCGCAAACTATATTGAACAATTTGAATTCAAATGTGAATCCCTGCGACGATTTTTATGAATATTCTTGCGGGGGATCCCTGAAGAATAGTCACATCCCACTGAACGAAGAGAGCTGGAATCAATTTGTTAAAGCCAGGAGAAACAACGATCGCCTGTTGAGAAGTAATTCCAAGTTTAAATTATTTCATACAGATTTGCCAAAAAAATGTTGGCTGCTGTTATATCTTCAAATTTGACATTCAAGGTTGTAATTAGATGTTCTTATTTTCAGAGATACTGGAAGAGAGACCGAAACCAGGCGAACTTCTTTCGACCATCGAAGCTAAACATCTGTACAGAGTTTGCATGGACTTAGGTACTTGATTTCGTTCATTTATCGCTTATTGACATGGAATGCTGCACCTAGGGGATCTTTTACGGGAATTTGGAATTTTTTCTACAGGTAGTATAGAGAAAAGAGGACTGAAACCGATCGAAAAGCACATCGACACACTCGGAATCTGGGCAGTCACGAAAGGACAAACCGAAGTTCTAAAAGCACAGCTTCCGTGGCAACAACTGGATGCTCATTATGGTTTCCACGCAAATTTGTTCGCTCTCTTCGATCTGAGTGTCAGGCCTGACATCGACAATGCAACCATCAGGAGGCTCACTGTAGGGAAATGATTTTCACTTTATCGAGTCCTACTTGAAATAGTTTTTTTTTTTTTTTTTTTTTAATAATAGTACATAAAAATCCTTCCTCCATAGCTGGACCAGCCGACTTTCACCCTACCGAGATCCATCTTAACCGATAATGAAAATGAATTCAATGCTCACGTGGCGGCTTATAGGAAATATATGGAAGAGGTTATCCTTGCATTCGTTCAAGCCAGAGGTTCGGATGCGACTCACGAGATGATCGCCAAGGAAGCCCACGACATGGTCGACTTCGAGATAGATTTGGCCGAGGTGACTTCATTTTGTTCGCATTTAATTATTCAAAAATGGTCTTATCGCTATTTAAATAAGAGAGCGATAAATCAGAAGTAATAGTGAAACCCTTAAGAATCGCTATGAATTATCGATATTTTTCTCTCAACAGATTTTATCACCCGAGGAGCTGAGAAAAGACGTTGATCGAATGAACAATTTGTTGAGTATTGACGAATTGCAAAAACTCACGGACAGTGCATTGCCATTGACGAGCACTGCTAAGGTAAAAAATAAAATCATTATTTGAGTAACATGGGAATATTAATTTCAAGTATTTTGTCGGTACTTAATCGCTAACGTTTTAGATAAACTGGCGGGAACTGCTGCAAAGCTATTTTCTCGGCACGGATGTAAATTCTGTAGATTCGGTTCTTGTACTTGAAAAGGAATATTTAGTGAAACTTATTACTGTCCTTGAGCATACGTCAGAGCAAACTGTCGGTACGTATTAAGTATAAAATATAAAAATTAATCTTAACAACCGAGCAGAATATTATATAAATTATTAATTACAGCTAATTATGTCCACTGGAGGTTCGTGAATCGCATGCTGCCATTCACCAACGAGAAGATGAGACAATTGCAGTTGAACTTGAAGAAAGACCTGTTTGGAGTTGTTGAACAACACCCTAGGTTAATAATTAATGATTAATAAAATGCATGAAACATTTTGCTTTGCAGATATTTATAATAAAATGTTATATGTACAATTTTTAGGTGGATCCAGTGCGTCCGCGAAAATGAAATGATTCATACTTTGTCTAATACGTACCTGAAAAAATACGTTCCTCAAGGAATCAAATCAGCCGTCAGTATTTTATTTCTTAACTATTTCGGTTAAGGTGTTTAAAAATAAAGTGAACATTTTCTCTGCAGGTGGAAAGCATGGCTTCGGAAATCGAGACGAAATTGCAGGTTCGAATAATATCCTCGGACTGGATGGACATTTTTTCCAAAGAGGCTGCCCTTCGAAAACTGCGGGACAGAAAGGAAGTCGTCGGATATCCGGAATGGGTCAAAGATGATAACGCTGTGATGAATTATTACAAAGGCGTACGTTTAAAAAATCGCAAATAAACAATCGACCTAAGTTTCGTGAAACTTGAATAACATGAAAATACCAATCTTATTCTTATACATTTCGCAGTTTCGAGTGACGAATGATTATTTCGAAAACATAATTGCACTGAGGAAGTTCGTCGTATTCAAGAATCTGAATGACCTGAAGAAACCCATTGACAAGCACAACTCAGATATGGATGCAACGAGAGTACTCACATCCTACAATCCCTTGGCAAACTCTTTGCGTAAGCGATTAAAAATATATTTTACAAGTAACTCTTAATGAACAATATTTATTTCATTAACATTTTTCAGAAATCTCTGCCGGAATCTTCCAGCCACCATTTTTCAGTACGGAACAACCAGAGTAAGTGAGAACTTATTAATCTGTCAAAAAAATAAAAAGCAAAAAATATTAAATATTACTATTTTTAGCGCTGTTAATTACGGTTCCCTTGGGGCACTAGTCGGTCATGAAATGTCCTACGAATTCATTTACTTTGGTAAGCAATCTATCATCATAAAAATGCACGAACTAGTAGGTACCATAAAATCAAGGTATATAATTAAATCATTTAATTGCAGGAGAGGAACTCGACAACGCTGGCAACATTTCCGCATGGAGTGAACAGGCCAAAAAAGCGTACAAATCTGCGGAACAATGTTTCATAAAGAAATTCGATGGATATCCGATCCAAGAACTGGAGGCCTTCAACGTCACGATCAAGGTGCGCAAATTTTCCTACTCATTTCTTCCATCAAATGGCTTCGCATGATCATTCCCCAATATATTTAACCCAAACATTAAATTTCCAGGTGAACGGTACGAAAACTTTGACAGAGAATTTCGCCGACTTTGCGGGGATCCGGGCAGCTTATGGAGCGTATAAAACTGCCTCGCTGAAGAAGAAAGCGAACAAACAGAAATTACCTGGCCTCGAATCCATCTCGAACGACCAGCTGTTCTTTTTGTCATACGCAAACGTAATACAGCATTTCGCAATAGTCCTAATATAACACAAGTAAAAAGAGCGATTAAATAATTTTTTGTTAAATTTTTTTCCACAGGTGATGTGTGACTCCGCGAGGCCTGAATATCTTACGTACACCGTCAAGTCAGGGAAACACAGCACATCGAGATCAAGGGTGATTGGCACCCTTTCTGATATGGATGAATTTAGCAACGCCTTTAAATGTCGCAAAGGAAGCCGCATGAACCCCGAGAATAAATGTACTGCGTAAATGAGAGCGAATCCTAAATAAACGTGCCGAACCTAAATCTACCGGTTTGGAGTAAGGTTATTCTAAGTCATTAGTTTTTAGTATCACCGTGCAGTCGTCAATGCAGTTTTACGAGTGATTTTTAGTTTCCCTCTTATTGTCAACGTCCAATTTTTGTCATCAAAAGAGGCCGCTAATAAACCAGAAAAAAGAACAGTACTTTAATGTCACACCTTTTGCAACTTAACAATGGCGGTTTTCCGTTTTATCGCTGCATTTATTCACGCGATTATACTTCGTGGAGATACGTCCACACCGTTCCATAGAAAAGTATGCACCGAAGAAATATGATTAAATCAGCATTAATAAATATGCATTTGGAATTGAAACAAAGACCTGGTGACTCAAGAACAGGGGTGTAAAATATTTCTTCTCGCCATCGTCCTTTTATTATCGCGAGATTTGAATATTCCGCCAAGGGGAAGTCAAGTAAATAAATCGCAAAGAAATGTAAATTGTAATAAATGTCGTTGGGTTCCAGATAGATATAACATGACTTTCAAAATTGTGATATCGATAATTTTTTATACCTTCTCTAAAATGCTTAACAAAAATCCAGTTCCACGTAATATGTTGAAATGACAATTATTAAACCATTTTCCTATTTTTAGCCCTTATTTGATCATTAAACTAGAATATGCTTGACAGCTTTCTGCTGAATATTTGCTGACTAAATCATGGTTCGTCTAGTAGTCACCATTAAATCACTTCCGCAACTGCTTCTTGTATTTGACTTCGAAACACGTCTTATCACAAAATCCGGGAAGGAACTCATACTGTGTACATAAATCTTTATCGGTTCTTAGAAATCGTGCCATTAATTTCCACACGATTTGATTATCGAGTATAAGTAAAAAGTTTTCCACCAATGAAATTAAACGTGCAGCAAGCTTTTCACTTTTTTGTCATTTTCGTTGCATTAATGACTGTTAGAGCTTGTTAGAGTCCCAGATGCTAAATCATCACCGAGATCGTAAAGTGTTTAAAGTTGGATGTAATGTGGTACTGGATATAACATGATATGAAATTCGCAGCTAGTGCAGAAAAATAAGGATGCATTCTCATCCGAAATCTCGAATCGAAATCTAGCTTCGTGAACATAAACTATTAAACCCTGTCTGTTTCGTTGGCCAATAAACTGTAATGTCAATCACGTTCGAGACGAATTCAAGTGCCATTGAATAACGACTGATTATTTCGGGGTGCCAATTTTAGGAACAATTCTCGAAAATCAATATAATCAGCTGTGCTTCCAAAACCTCTCACTAGTCATTACAGAGGAGCTACTTGATGAGCTGCACGTGTTGAAAACGCGGCGATCATTTATATCGAGACGAAAAGTCATTTGGCAAGACCGTAGATTTCAACCCCAGGAAACGTGACGTCAGAACAAATAGATTCAGTTGTCACGAGAATCCTCAAATCACATACACATCTCTGGATGGACTTATAAGTAGACCCGTTCCCAAGAAAAATTGGCGAAACTTCATTTTCCATTCGACCTGGAAATCGCACAGGAATATGGGGTCATCCCAGAACACTCTCTTATCCGCGTGAGTACCTCGAATCAAAGTAAAAAAAAAATACATTCACCTTCTCTCTATGACAAAATTTTGAACATTCTTTTTTCTTCCTGATGCATGTAACAGCTTCGTCACTGGCCTGATTTTTTCTGCCGTCATAACACAAGGATACTCAGAAACTGAGACAGTCTACAAAACTGGGCAATATGGCGAAATTGTTGAGAGACATCCCGAATGGGTTTACCATAATGCAAGTGGAGGAGATTTTCCTCATGTTTTTGACATCATAACCATCCCTGCCCCTGCGACCTCAAAACCTTCACCTGCATCCAGGACAATAAGAGCAACAGGTCCTGTGGACATCCATCCAGAGTGGACCTACCATAACACCGATGGAGGAGATTTTCCGAGAGTTTTTGATGTGTACACCTTGTGCGAAAAACAGGCATGCATTGAGACAGGTATGCACTTTCCTGAATTTTATTAATACTTGGCAGAAAATCTAGCACTGCAGATTAATCAGTATCTGTCGCCTCTATTAGGCCTGGAATTCACGAAAAATCTGAACAGTTCGGCAGATCCTTGCGAAGACTTTTACGAATTTGCTTGCGGAAATTCGAATTCCGCCTACGAGGCGCCGGGAAGTAAAGCTTTCTGGAATCAGTTCGAATCGCTGAATATAAAACTAAGCGAAGAAATGCGACGTAAGTAACTCAATAGGTATAAATAATTTATGAGGACTGCACGCGCGCATATTGATACGATAATTCATTTTTTAGAGGGTTTGCTGAAGGGAAGCAATTCGGAAGAAGCTCAAGCTGTGAAGGCAACGAAGCTTCTTTATCGTGCCTGTATGGATGTTGGTAAGAAAATGATTAAGTCCATATATTCATGGAAAAGAAATCAGTCGATCAAAGTTGATTTTTCTATATATTCAGATTCAATCGAGAAAAGAGGAATCCAGCCGATAGAAACAATTGTGGAAGAACATGGAGGATGGCCTATGGCAATACCCGAGTACCAATGGTCCGAAAATTTGGAAACTTGGCAAGACATCCATCGTGCTTATGCCCGTCTTATCGGACATCCAATTTTTTACACCCTGGATGTCTCGATTGCCAAGGATCACTCCACTAACAGAGTTATCTCGGTAAACAGAGTTTTAATTGAATGAGTATTATTACACTCGAAACTCTTTTAAGTAGGAATTTTCCATTTTCATAGATAAATCATCCCACTTTCACCATCCCACGACCAATGTTGCTTAATCGCGAGAAATATTCAAAAGAAATCGCAGCTTACACCCAATACTTGAAAAATATTGTGCTTCTGTATGCTAATGAAGCTTTCCATACAAGTCCATCTACCCAGGAACTTGATAAGAATGTGCAAGACGTAATTGATTTCGAGATTAAATTAGCTCAGGTAAGCACATATTTATTTTTCATTTATTTCTACTGTTAAGAGCACTTCTTTATAATCGGTCTTTGTTCACAGATCACTACGTCCGAAAAAGAACAATTACTAGAAGGAAGTACTTCCCAGTTTATGACCATCACCGATTTGCAGAAATTATTTGACGGTTATCGAACCAAACTTAATGTGGAAAATGTGAGAATTGTTACAATAAATTGCACATATATTATTGAACCATGAAATTATGAATTTGCGGAATATTAAGTGCACTTTTTCTTCAGATAAATTGGCTCGAGACTGTGCGAGAATTTTTCAAACCCATCGTGCAGATCGAGGAAACTGAAAAAATCGTCGTTTATGACAGAAAATACTTCAAGAGGCTGGCTGGTGTACTTGAAAGTACACCATCTAAAACGATAGGTAATAATTCGAAAAGCATGAATCAAAGTATTAGTTAAAAAAATGGAGCGAATAAAGTTTGGATAATATTCTTGAATTATTTTACAGTAAATTATCTTCAGTGGCAGCTGATAGAAGAATTGCTGCCGTACACCTCACAAAAGCTGATAAACCTTGACTTAGAACTTAAGAAAGAAATATACGGCATTCAAGATGGCGAACCAAGGTATGATTGGCAAGTTCAACCCCAATTTTTTTAATTGTTAACTGTATCTGTCTGTAATAAGGAATGATATTCGGAATTCAGGTGGTTCAAGTGCGTAACTCAGGACGAATTGCTGCAGCCCGTCACTTTCACGTACATTAGGAATTATTTCCCAGAAAACGCCATAACGGAGGTAAGTTTCAGTGCAGCTGCAATTATTCAGTGCCGAATGAAATAAAGCTAAAGGAAAAATAGGTAATTTAAGAAAATAATATCTAATCAAAACTTCAAGGCTCTGGACATTGTGAAAAAAGTCGAGACGAAAGCCAAGGATGTGATCAGTGAAATGGATTGGATGGATGAGGAGTCGAAGACAATTGCAAGAGAAAAGGTGCAGAGTATGACAAACTTTGTCGGCTACTCCGATTATCAAAAGACCCATAAGGATATCACGAGGTTTTACAATGGGGTGTGTATATATATACATATCATATATTTTCTATGCTCGAAAATAATTTTTTAATTAATTGTAAAATAAAATCCTTTTCATCTCGTTGCAGCTGGATTACGGCTCTTCCTACTTTGAGAATACCCTGCGGTTCAGAAAGTACTCTTTGACAAAGAAACTTGAAAGTCTACGGCAACCTGTCGACGAAGCAGAGTAAGATAATTTATTAATAAATTTAAAGGATAATATCTTTTTATTTCTATACCTCCAAATTAATTTCCAAATTTACGTTTCAGGTTAAACGTCGGCCCCGTCTCGTTAGAGGATTACCACTACTACACACAGAATGCCATGCGTAAATAAATTCTTTTCTCAGAATTATTTAATCCAAAAATGAATGACAATGATTATACATTTTTCTATTCCAGGCTTCCCTGCCGGAGTTCTGCAAGTGCCATTCTTCAACACTGACCTTCCTGAGTTAGTGTTTAATTTTTACTTGGTATTTCATTTCACCACATTATTTTATACTGAAAAACCTAATACAAAATTAACATTTCCAGCGCTGTGAATTACGGTTCCGTAGGTGCAGTCATAGGACACAAAGTTTTCCACGGTTTCGACGACACTGGTAAACATTTCCCCACAGCAAAAACGAACAAATAATTCACAATAAATAGGTATAAAAAATTCGTTTCTTGCAGAGCGCCAGTTTGATAATAACGCGATCATAAAAGAGTGGTCTAGTGAAACCAAAAAAGCATTCAAGGACCGAGCAAAATGTTTCATTGACCAGTTTAATCGATATTCCGTTAATAATCTCGGGGCTTCAAATGTGAAGGTAAAGTTCTGTCTCATATAATTGTAAACTGCTTCAATATTTATTGGATAAGTCATAATCTCTTAATTTCCTCATTTCCTCAGTCTGTCGGGGAAAAAACATTAGATGAGAACCTAGCCGATGCAGCAGGACTTCGCGCAGCTTTCGAAGCTTTCCGCGAAACTTTAAGGAAGAAGCACATCCACCAACTTAGACTCCCGGGATTACAAGACTACACAGACGACCAGCTATTTTTCCTGTCGTTTGCAAACGTAAGATATCAACCGGACCAAGTATCGAGTACAAAAAGAAGTGTGAAAAAAATGTTAATTTTTTATTTCAGACTCGATGTGAATCAGCGACGCCAAAGTCCTCCCTTTATAAACCAGAAACCGACTCGCACAGTACAGCTCGATTAAGGATCGTCGGTACTCTTTCCAACAATGACGATTTTGCGCGAGCTTTCGGTTGCCCTGTGGGGACATCAATGAACCGCGGGAATAAATGCAGTCTCGAAGATTAAATCTGCAACTGCGAAGATGAAGCTGCAACCAGCGACGATCTAGTCCCTCCTCTTGTCGTCGAAGCACGAAGCAATGTATTATAGTCTGCGGAACGATTAATTATATCTAAAACTAGGAATACATATTTACATGTCCAGCTCCATCTTTTATATCCACTGATCGATGCCAACGATAAGAAATCGATCTTCCTCGTTCGATCTGTCTCTTTGCCTGTGGGGAACTTATTATCAACGCAATTGCGCTGGATGACTATACTCTAAGAAGCGCTCATTTTCCAGTCTAGGAACGCTTTTCCTGACGTCACGGAAAACGAGTTTGTCGCAGTTCGTCCTCGAGACACGATTTCCTCTCACGTGAACCTGAACTCGACACGTGTTCCGCTTCTACACGTCTCATTTAAGACGCGTAAGATTCCCCTCGAGGGACGCCATTCGCGGTTTCCGCGATTCCCTCAAAATGGCCGCACCGCAGTCTGCTATCAGCTGGCCGATAAAGATCGACTCTTCGTGAGAGAGGAAGACGTCTCGGAGAAAAATCCTCCTGAGAGGATTTGCAAAGCACCTTGCCATAGGATTTTCGACTGTGCACCATGAAGGGGTTCACCAACGACAACAACGCGCGGTGGCTCAGACTGTGCGTGCTTTTCCATATTTCACAGCGAATTTAGACAGTGTCATAATAAAATTTAGTTTGTAATATCTTGTGAAGAATTACAGACGTTTTAGTACACGTTACCGAGGCTGGAGAAGGTTTATTTGCTCTAGAAATATCGGTGAAATGGAGGGAGGCTATCGAACCCAGCGGTACCAATATGGCGTCCTTGACGGAAGACTTGGTATCCGTATTTGATGTCGAATCGTTCTTGTAATAAATTACACAGATGAAAAAGAGATTTTGTTAATAATTAAGGTGTATCCAAATTTCTTGGCGAAATTTAATGATTTGGCTATTATTATTTTTTTTTTTTTATATAGAAATAGATAAACGTAGTTGAGGGCCTAACGGTGTTTCTTAATTCCTGGGTTCCAGGGCATTTATTGGACTTTTGATTATCGTCCGTGTAAGTACTTTCGAGAGACCATGGACACCGTGGACCATCGTTTCTGGGACCCTTGATAGAACGAATCCGAGAACCGTTCACAGCCTGAGATGGCCCTTGCAAAGCGGAAACACAGAATCCCTGCAAACTCTCTCGAATCAGTACGAAGTTTGCGGCACGAAAGCTTGTCGAGAGACAGGTGACCAAAATTAATTCTAGGGATTAATATTTGTAGATCGAACGTGTTTTTTAAATTCCACGTTTGCAGCCGATGAGATCCTGCAGAATATGAATCCGACCTTGGACCCTTGCGAGGATTTTTACGAGTTCGCCTGCGGAGGATGGAGAAAAAGATATGCTGTACCGCACGCAGGAACCGCTTGGAACCAATTTGTTTCTTTGAACACGAAAAAATTTAACCAGATTTTAAGTGCGTGGGGTACCAGTATTTATTAAACAGCTGTAAGAAAAAAATATTGCGCATACGAATGTAAGATATTTCAGTATATTCTCATTTTAGCAATTTTAAGGCAGAGCAGCAAGCCTGGCGAAATTCAGGCAGTCAGGAAAGCGAAAGAATTGTTCCGAGCCTGCATGAACACAGGTAAGCAATAATAGGCATCCCCTGACTGAATGAAATTTATTTTTAATACTTTTATAGAACAAATTGAAAAAAGAGGAGTCGGTCCTCTCGTTTCGCAGCTCCAGAAAAATGGCGGCTGGCCAATGACAATAAGTCCTCGAGCCTGGGACTCGAGAAATTTCACTTGGCAGAAAATCAGTCAAAGTTACGCAAAATTGATAGTAGAATTCCCTCTGTTCACAATCGACATTGCTGCCGACTTAAAAAACGCTGGTGTTTACGTTGCAACGGTATTTTCTGTTTAAATAAACGCGTTCAACATTTCTGTCAGGATAGAAAAAGATTGGGGTACTACTTACACAACGACTTTTTGCCTATTTTAGATAGACCAAATCGGACTGACCTTGCCACATTCAGTGATGATCAATAGACGACAACATACTAAACATATAGGAACCTATGCAAAATTTGTTAAAAATGTGGCACTCGCACTGGCTGACCCAAAGGTGAATGATGTTTCGCCATTGACTATTTCAAAGGACGTGGAGGACATGATCAATTTTGAAATTGAGTTGGCGAAGGTGACCCTTTCAATTTTAATTCACTGTAATAATAAAAAGTCATAAATAATAAAACGAGGTAAGATCTCTTTGTAGTTAATGCCGTTAAACGAGGAAAGAAAGGATCTGGATCGAATTTACAACCCGAGCACCATCTCCCAGTGGCAGGAAACTTACAACAGAGTGCCTACAAGACACGAGACTGCAAAGGCATGCAAAATAAGAAAAAAAAAAGAGAAATAAAAAATAGTGTAAAAATAATCGAAATAATATTTTTAGATTGACTGGCTGGACAATATTCGAACTGCGTTCGAAAGTACAAATGTCAGTATCGAGAAATCGGAAAGGATCGTCATTCACGAGAAGGAGTATCTTCTGCATCTTGCTTCTCTACTCGATCGCACACCTGCAAGAACAATTGGTAAATAATCGTAAATTTGTGGCTTCCTCCTAAAAAATAAAAAAATAATTACCACACGTCGCAGTGAATTACGTCCACTGGAGGTTCATAAGACACATGTTGACTTACACCAACGAAAAACTGACCAAGCTGCTCTTCAACTTCAAAAGAGAATTGCTCGGCATCTCTGAAGAACAACCGCGGTGAGTACTCTCAAAAAACGCGGTTACGAATCATAGAAAAAGAAAATGTTATCTATCGAATTTTTCAAGAGGACTTCGTTATCGTATCGCCATTCAAAAAGAACTGTAAAGCGATAATGTCTGTGCGGATCTGTTCTTTCGCTCCACCTTAATAACAGGGTTTTAAATCAATTTAATTCGACGTTTTCTTCGTTCATGAGAGATAAAAATGTTTGACAAGAAGTGTAGTGACAATCTGATAACAATTATAGAGACAAGTGTTAAGCGATCTACGCCCCTTTCCGTGTTATCTTTACGAACTTGACACCACACGGATATCGGTGGAAAATTGTGTGCGCTGTCATTCATTGTTTCCATGGAACGTGAAGTATTGCTGGCATAAAATTAGCATTAAGTGGAAGTGCAAATAGGAAAGTAATACCTGAAGCAAGGCGAACGGAACTATGAATTAGTGGGTTTAATTAAATGAATGGTGTCCTAAGGGTTACATAAGCGACCTACTTTTCTTCTACCGCTAATAGCTAGATTCTCTTGAACTCTGATCCGAATAAAATAAATGCAACATATTAACATTTAATTGCAGAATTGAATTTAATTCCCAGGTGGCTAAAATGCGTAGTACAGAACGAGATGGTCCACGCAGTGTCGTACCAATTTGTGAAGAACTATTTTTCCGACAAAGCGAAAACGAACGTAAGTGGCAAAAGGTTCGATTAAGAAATGTAATCAGATGGAAGACTTTGAAAGACTTCGAAGTGGCTCTTTTCTTCTAAGGCCAGGGAGATGGTGTCGGAAATCAAAAAGGAAATGGAATCGGAAATTTCAAGGTCGGACTGGATGGACCGATCCTCGAAAACGCTGGCCAGGGAAAAATTGAGGAATGTCGTGGACTTCATTGGCTATCCTGATTGGTACCGAAGTCCAGTTGCAATGAACTCGTTGTACAGTGATGTAGGATTTATCATTCTAATTTTTGTTCTTTAATATACCGCGAATATAAATTTATCAGACGTTAATAGAAAATATTCTGTACAGCTGGCAGTGGGGCCGAATTATTTCGAAAATGCCCTGAACTATGCAAAATTTTCTCGGAAGAAAACCTTAGAGTTTCTCAGGAGACCCGTGCACAGGAGACAGTGAGTTATACATTTTTTATTCCTTTTTGCTTGTTAATCGTCTTTCATAAGTGTTCATATAACGGTGGAAATAACGCCTGGCACAAAGCACGGAAAAGATCGTTTCATTTTGATGCATCATCACGTCGAAGGACATCGCGAAGAATGTACCTACGATTCACAATTGCGGTTTTATTTTAACTTTAATTATCGCGATGCTACCGCGCGAAATGATAGATCTCCGTGTTTTCAAAATAACACGCGCCATACAGTTATGCAAGCGAATTCTGTTACATAGTTCCTTGTTTCCTCAGATGGATCGGAGTTCCCATGGAAGTTAACGCTTTTTATTACCACAGCGGAAATTCCATAAGTAAGTGAGGCACTGTATTACTATTGTTCGCAATGATACGGATCTTAATTAAAGACTGTAATCATTATTAAAGCTCTGCCAGCTGGAATCTTACAGATCCCGTTCTTCGACTCTGATCTTCCGGAGTGAGTAATTGTACATCTCGGCTAAAAATACAATATTAATCGAGCAATTGAAAGAAATGTTAACGGGACGACTCGTGCAATTTTCTTTTCAATTACAGTGCGGTTAATTATGGCGGCATCGGGGCTGTGATCGGCCACGAAATATCTCACGGATTCGATGATATTGGTAGGAATTGTCCACTAAAAAAAATAAGATTACCAAGTGACTTTAAATTGTTAACTAATGTGCTTTATTACAGGTCGGCGATTCGATAAAAATGGGAATATAGTACAGTGGTGGTCGAACCAAACGATTGCATCTTATAACCAAAAAGCAAGATGTTTCATCAATCAATTCAATGGATACGTAGTGAAAGAGTTGCAATCACTAAACAAATACATTCATGTAAAAACATTTGACAAGGAAGATCCTTTTTTATTGCGTTATTCTCTCGTTTCAATGGATTATTTTTAATTACTTAGGCCAATGGCGAATTAACGCTGGGGGAGAACATCGCAGATTCGACTGGTCTTCATGCAGCTTTCGAAGCCTTTCGAGCAAAATCGAAAAGAAAACCCGGAAACCGTGTTCTGTTACCCGGGCTTGAACAATTCAACGACGAACAGCTGTTCTTCCTTTCCTTCGCAAATGTAAAAATAATTTCTTCTAATAGAGCAAGTATATAAAATCATTTTATTTTATTGAGTAAATTAATTTACAGACATGGTGCGACGCAGTGAGGCCAGAATCATTGTTGTACACCATAAAAACGGATCCCCATAGCACATCTCGATTAAGGATAATTGGCACCTTATCCAATACAGAATCTTTTGGTGAAATCTTCCAATGCCCCACAGGCCGACCAATGAATCCCTCAAGAAAGTGTATCCTGTGGAAATGAAACTAGCAAAAATATCAGAAATAGCAAATCAGAGAATCATTACTCAATGACAGTACAATGAACTTGTAAATTAACATTTTTCAGAGATAATTGTACCTTATAGTTTAGACGATATTGTTGACACATTTTTATTGTACATAGCTGCTACACAAAATGTTATATGCCTAGAGTCGGCCGTCTACCGTAATGTTAGTTCCATTTATTAATTAAACTATAAGAGCTCGGTGATTGCAATTAACGAATTACCAAATTGAATTGAAAGTTAACCTCGTTTAACCCCGGCCATTCTTGCGCCGAGTCGCGTTTCTGCCTTCCGGATGGTCGGCACTGAGAAATGTCTGAAATGTGATTGCCTATGGAAAATCAATAATATTTATATTTATTTAGATACCTAAGAATTTCGTTGTAAAATAATGTGAATATAATAAGTATTTGAAACATTTGTTATCCTTTCTTTCCTGACTATCCCACAGTAAAGGTAATTTTCTTATCACCTGGAATCCATTTTCACCTGGAAGTTTGCATTAGGTACATTAAAAGTGATATAACATCGAAATGAGCAAATAAGCTCCGAGCAAACGAATCTCGTGGCACACGGAACCTGACATCAATCACCGTTCAACAAGACTTTTGCCCGAAGTGAAAATCTTATTCGTTCAATGAACCTGAGATACGAGTCCTTTATATTTACAAATCAAACTTATATGCAAACACAGCATAGATATACTATAATAAGAAACAGACGTTTGAATCACGATGACATGATTTACCTTCTCTCTTCCCCTTTCATAGAAAAAAAGTAATTTTTCATTAATCATTTTACAATTTCCTGGAGAGATGATTTTTTTAACGAAGAGGGCAAACATTCTAATCGGCTAGCATGGATCGGTTGTTTTCGACATCAGAATAGGTACAAGGCTCATGATCGACCTTAGAGTATACTTAACAAATGTAGTGACAAATTTCGCCGAAAGATGATTCCGTCAAGTATTCGTTACGCAAAAGTAATCCATCAATTCGAAATTTGCCTATTCTAAGAACATCAGATCAAATACACTCAGCTGCAAGGTGGAGAAAAATGTGTAATTATAACAACGGCCTGCGAAAGTCTCGGCTCGAAAGAGTCATTCCACCGTTTTATCGGATCCATCTCAATGAAACGGACGATTACCCAATTATACACGAAACGATCGGACTAAATACACTCAGCTGTCGACTGATAAACAATTTGGATACCTCCCGCAGAAGATGAGAAGATCATTTTGGGTATAAGAAGATGTCGATATCGACATGGATCCTTTAAGCCGAGTGTCTCGTCGAAAGTCGCGACACATCGCGAGGGAGGAACCAGAAGGATCTGTTTCTTTTTCGCAATTTCCGAAACCATGTTCAGGTTTCTTCTGCTGTACGTCGAAAACCGCATACCTCGTAGCTTCCCATAGTATTTATTTTTTACATGAAAAAGTTAATAACTTTCTTTTCACATTTCCAGAGTCTCCCTTGTGGCTTTGGGTCTCTCTGAACCCGAACAGACCTACAAACCATGGCTCGGTGCCTCCACTTTTGACAATTCCTACCAGCCAAACTTAGATTTCAACTATGGATACCGCAATATTTCTCGACCAGCTCTCAGAGCTGTAACTCAAAACGTCTGCAGATCCAAGGCTTGCCAGGAACTCGGTAGGTACCGCAAATTTCACCTTAAGGATCCTACAAGAAAAAATGAGAAATTAAAATAAGTACTCTCGAAAATAGCTACGCGTTCAATTTTTAATAACGTAGAAAGAAAATCTAAGTACATCGTAAATAGCAATAGAAATTATAGGTACGTATCAGCATTATAGATATGTATTAATTACGCTTAAAATTCCTGACAAGTGTCGATGCCACTTATGAATAATTGAGCGCGTGCAATTGTTACATCATTCACCGAGGAGTACCTGCGTGCGAGTGAATAGCTGCCTTTACCGAGTACATTATTTCGCGTAATTATTCCCGCGTGAGATTGGCCAAGACTTGCCTTTAATTCATCGGGCACAATTCATTTGCATACATCAAGAGGTTCGTGTAAAAGGCAGCACGACAATAACACGCCTCGCCAGTTTCTCTATTTAATCGATCAACAATGAGATACCTCTCAACATGCAAAATATACGCATTGCTCGTGCCACTGCGTAATTAATGTATGCCCGCTTAGGTAGACACGCTTTTTGATCAATATTCAATTACGAGTTTAGTTAACTCGAAATTATTTCACACGTGACATTAACTCCTGACAATAATCCTACCCATAGAAATACGGCTCCATTTGCACCTTCTTTTCAGGAAAATTCTGTCGAAATTTGAGGTGGTGTTTTAATAAAAAAAATTTCTTAATTTCAGGTAGCAACATCGTGGGCGGTTTGAACACTCAGGTCGATCCTTGCGATGACTTCTACGAGTACGCTTGCGGTGGATGGCGTCAAAGACATCCGGTTCCCCAAACTGGAACCAGCGTAAACCAATTCACCCAACTTAGGGCTATCAAGGACAAACGTGTCCGCCGTAATTATCTTGAATATATTCTAAAGATTTCTAACGACGTACGAAAACAAAAGAGGCAAATCATTCGTACGTACCGATTCTGAAATTAAATTATCTCGCAGAGATTCTGGAGAGCCCAGCCACAGCTTCCGACATCACAGCAGTGAAAGCGGCGAAGCAGATCTACCGATCCTGCATGGATGTCCGTAAGTTCGACTTTACAATCTGCCCGTTTCATCTTATCCTACGCATGGTAGAAGATTTTTACATCAATTGAGAATCCTTCATCTCGGAATGTGTTATATAATTTTCGATAATTTTTGTTCCATTCATTTGAACAGAGGCAATCAATGCTAGAGGCATCGCCCCTGTGCTCGCCCACGTGGACAAACTCGGAGGTTGGCCAATGGCCTCTGGTGGAGGTGCCGCTGTGAACCCGTACCAATATCCATTCCAATATCCGTACCAGATACAACAAACTGCCTCTAATCCTACCGACTGGCAACCGATCAGCGATTACTATGCCAAGCTCATCGGAAGCAACATTCTCTTCAACCTTGACGTCTCCCCTGACATAAAGAACACGAACGTCTACGTGATGTCGGCAAGTGACGAGTTGTCCAAATTTCGAAAAATGCCATTGAAGCGGGGAACATAATTTCCTGGCCTTTTTTCCACAGCTTGATCAACCCGCCTTCTCGCTGCCTCGTGCCATATTGGTCAATCGCTGGCAGTACGCTACACAAGTTAATGGATATCTGCAATATCTGCAGAACGTTGCAATGGTTTTCGCTCAGAGCAAAGGAGTAGCTGTCAATCCCCAAACAATTGCCGCCGATGCTCAGGCTGTGTTGAACTTCGAGATCAGCCTTGCCCAGGTCAGTTGTCTTTGAGATTACCCTGAAACGATAATTAACTTACATGAGACTGACGATTTTAGATTACGCCACTTGATGAGCAAAGGAGAATTTTGAGCCGTATCTACAACCCGATGACGATCGGACAGCTGCAACAGTTGTTCAACAGTGGCAACCCTACAACCGTGAACAGCCAGGTGAGAAGAGATGGCACTGTAAAAATAGAAGATTTTCTTCTGAAAATATTTCTACGTCTACAGTTTTACAATTTTGCTTATGAGAATATTGTGTGATTGCATTGTTTATTAATTCGCAGATCGACTGGCTCGAGACTATCAAGAAGTTGTTCGTAACCGGTGGTGTCACCATGGACAGCTCCGAAAGGATCCTCGTTCTCGAGACGGATTACATTTCCCACCTTGCCAGCATCCTCGACCAGACACCGACCAGAACCATCAGTAAAATCCTACATTTTTATTGCTGTTTCTAATCGCGATCGAAATTCTTGATGTCTTCGCCGCCACCTCGCCTTAATTATAATCTCGAAATTTGTCTCCATTATTAATTAGGTATTTAATTTCTTTTTGCAGTTAACTACATCCACTGGCGTTTCATCAGCAGCATGCTGGGCTTCACGACTGGCCAGACCACTACTCATGCTCTGCAAATGAACACCGCTCTTAATGGCGTTACCCAGCAACTTCCGAGGTACCATTTTTTCTTTAAACAGATATTCACAATGACGCAAGTAAAATGTACGCATAATATAAACTTAGATATGTACAGCTCGATCGTTTACACACTTTCGCATTTTCAGGTGGTACACGTGCGTTGCTCAGAATCAGCTGGTGCACGCAGTCTCCTACCAGTACATCAAGCAATACTACCCCGGCGACGCTAAGACCAAGGTAGATCCTTAAAAATTGCACCGAAGACAGCAACAAGTTGCTATGTGTATTTAATTATTTCTTTTTGTTCGTTCAAAGGCCAAGGAGATGATCCAGGACATCAAACAGGCTGTCGGGGATCACATCGCTCACGCTACTTGGATGGACCCTACCAGCAAGAAAGCAGCTCAGGAGAAGCTTTTCAACATGAAGGAATTCATTGGCTTCCCCGATTGGTACAGCAATCCCGCGTCTGTTGATGCATACTACGCAGGGGTACATACTAAATTTATTTTTAATACGCATAACATCAATCGCTTCGATCCAGAAATCTAAAACGAGACCTCACATTCTTCGTAGCTGCAAGTTGGATCCCAGTACTTCGAAAATTCTCTTAATTACATCCAGTTCGGTATCCAGAAGAAACTGCACAAACTGATCGAACCTGTCACCAAAGAAGAGTGAGTGCATTTCTCTAATAATCACATTAGTACATTCATTAAATGAAGCGACGACATTTTTCTAAGTTATATATAATGAAATAGAGACGACCTAAGCTAATGGTTTCTTTTCATCTTCCAGATGGATCGCTCCACCCATCGATGTCAATGCCTTCTACTACCACATTGCCAACAGCATAAGTGAGTGTTTACAACCATATATCGCACATCGACGTCAAATTTCCTGAGCTATAAATATTCGTCTTTTTTTTTCAGCCTTCCCTATTGGAGTCATGCAACTGCCTTTCTACGAGCCCAGTCTTCCTGCGTAAGTTAATCTCTTAATCGAAAGAATCTACTCTCGCGTTTATTGATCGACATTTCACATTCTAACTGCATTGCATTTCCATTTCAGACCCGCTATCTTCGGTAGCATGGGTGCCATAATCGGACACGAAATCTCTCACGGATTCGACGATGTCGGTAAGTCTCCCGACCACCTCCTTTTACATGAATATCGTTATTAAGATTTCCTTGTACTATAAAATCAACTTCTATAAACAGGTCGCCAATTTGACAAGAACGGCAACTCAGTGCCATGGTGGCCTCAGCAGACGATTAATAACTACAACCAGAGAGCACAATGCTTCATCGACCAGTTCAACAAATACCCCATCAAGGAGCTGGAGGCTATCAACGAATTCACCACGGTTTGTTCCTAACTCTCTTTAGCGGTATTCCTTCAGAGTCAATCGGTGCTAATTAACCCTTTGGCTACTCAGAGCGCCTAAAGGCGCCCGACGTTTGGTCCAATATTGCTTGCATGGTCAGACGAATTTCGCCCAAATGTCGAAATGGCTCCGTGTTCAAAGGGTTAATGATAGCGATTGCCCTAAAATATATATATTAATTTGTCTTGTACAATTCCAGGTAAACGGCAAGCTCACCCTGGGAGAAAACATCGCCGACTCTGCCGGTGTGGCGGCATCCTTTGACGCTTACAAAAGGAAATCTAAGACTGTAAACGAATTGAAACTGCCAGGTCTTGAAGCTTTCGATGGAGACCAGCTCTTCTATTTGGCATTCGCACACGTGAGTACTGAGACTTGAAAATTATTTCGTGGCCGAACTTCTTTCGAAAACTTCTTTCTATGTGTCTTCTGCAAGTTCCACTCGATGGGTTAACTATACTGATAAAAATGCCCATCTAAATTTACCAATGTAAAAATGCACCAATACGGTAAATATGCAATGTTAAGTGTATCTATACATTTTCTAATTTGTAATTCTTCCACTGAACATTTTTCTATGTGAAACTTAAATTATGAAGTGTGTAAAAATGTATGCAAATTTCCATCGATTTTTATCAGGGTATTTTCTTGGATAACTTCTTGAATCGTTGTTTTCCAGTCTTGGTGTGAATCCATCCGTCCGGAGTTCCTGTCGCTGCTGTCGAAGAAGGACGGCCATGCACCTGCTCGTCTCAGGGTTCTTGGTATCTTGTCCCACTCTGAGAACTTCAGCCAGGCTTACCAATGCCCAAGAGGAAGCACGATGAATCCCGCGAAGAAATGCAAGTTATGGTAGTGAACCAAAGAAATGCGACATTCCATAAAGAAGAGGTGATCGCATATGCCCTTATTCCAGTGGGACGACTCGCATGACATTTCCATGAACATCGAGACATTTTGTACGAACTCTTATCGCTACTGTTAACTGTAAATAAATGCGTTACCTATAACTCTATAGTTATATTACCCGTGAAAAATAATATTTAAAAATACTACGAGCCGGGGGAATCCTTAATTCTTGACCTCTATTTGATTTGCAGTAATTGAGGTGTTTGAGTTATAGAAGCGTAACTTCCTTGAGGTGAAACTGGATCAAGGCGGAGGACATGTTCCACGCGTCTATCTATGCTCGTACAGTTTGGCGAATGAGTTGTAGATTAACCTCGTTTAACCTTGCCTGTATGGTCCAACATATGAAGTAGTAGTCCGCTCTGCGATTAAAGATCAGCCGACCCAGTTTCACTCGTTCTGATCGATCGATCCAGAGTATGGATGACTCTGCTGACCCAAGGTCACGTTCGGTGAAGTTATTCGATAAGAGCAATGAACTTGTAATTAAATGAACTTCTTATTCACGACGACGATGCTTTGTAAATCTCGCTAGCCAGTGCATGCTAGTAAATGATAAATTTATAGATGCTGACGGTTTTTTTATAAACCTGGAGGACTTTAAACCGATTCAAATGCTGATCACGTGACAGGTAGTTACGCCATATTGGTTTTTCCTGAATCAAGGATAAAAATGAATATTCTTTATAAATTAACGCAATATAGGCGTGATCGTCTTAGCCCAAACGTGCCCTAATTAAAGTTACGGATATTTTACTATGTCAATTTCAAATATAAACAAACTGTGGTAAAAATAACACGTAATAAAAAACGCAATTTTCAATGTACGTGATCCTCTTTTTGTTTTTTCGTTATCTCCACCAGTGGCGCCAACTAGCGACGCCATCAAGACTATTGAGTGCAGTTGCACATGGCGACCAGCTGTCAGTTGAGGTTGCTGAGAGATCAACTTATGTCAACCCGTCCAGTGATCTTTTCAATAAAAATCTCTAATTATAATGACCTATCCAGCAGTGAGAATTGTTGATTTGAATGTGGGGTTCAGTTCAATGATAAAGTACGTAAAAATTCGCTATTAACCGTTGACCTTGTCAGATAAGTTCAGTTTTTGCAACGTGTTATAAACTGTTCTTTTTATCAGATGAATAAAGGTCCATTGGTATCCTTGACCAATATGATGATCATCAAAGTAGAGTAGACGAAGAATGGAAATTCAAGAAAACGCACACAGAAGACGCTCACCATGGATGGGTCTGAAAAATATACCAAATCGAATTGCAGATGCGGCGGAGAGATTCTACTATTTGTAAGTGTACAGACAAATGGATGACTATCCTATCGGTTCACTGACCTCCATTTGTAATTACGGGTTTTATGATATTGTAGCCTTGGCTTCCACATTGCCAGCGAGCCAAAAAAATGGCTGATAAGCAGCTCGCTTATAGTTTTACTCTGTCTTGGAGGACTCTTCCGATTCAGAATAGAGAAGAACCCTTTGAAACTTTGGGTTCCTCCGGATTCAGATTTTGTTCGTGACACTAATTGGATAATGGAAAATTTTGAGGAAGGACAACGAGTACAAACAGCCATCTTTACAGGAGACGACGTTTTGCAACCACAGGCTTTAGTTGAAGTATATACATTTAAAAAGGACTCACATTGCATGACCGCAGCATAGATCTTGATTAATATATAAAATTTGGGTAATTTTAGATCTGAAATATGCTTTCATCGAGGTAATAAATAAATTGAACACGTTGTTAGAAGCAACATTCCTTTTAAATAATATACAACAAGAATTCATCCACTTATGCTTCATGCATGATTCATTCTCATGTGGAATTATAAACAATCATGATTATATACACAAATATAACTCATCATTAATTCTTAGCTGAACGAGATTACAAAACGTGTATTAGCAACACAATCGTCAGACGAACCAAGAATCTCTTGGACTGACATATGTTTCAAGTATGTATTTCTATATGTAAATTTCATCTCTTATTAAATATAAAAAGCTTAAAGAATTAATATTGTATATTTTACATAGGGTACCTGTGATAACAGAAATTACAAGACGTGAAAGACGCAATGCTAATTCTCTTAGTGATGATTTTTTTGACGAAGAGCCAGCGGCTCGAATGAATGAAACAAAATTTGAACCTGCAGTTCATGCTCCGAGTGATCTCTACTGCGAAATGGTCAACAGTTTTCCATCAGCTTGTCTAGTCTTAAGTATTCTCGATATTTGGGAATACAATTCCACCTTCATCGCACAGCAAACAAAGAATGATATCATATGGAAATTTAACTCTCAAAGTATTAGCCCCACGTTGGGACATCCAATAAACTTTGCAGAGCTCCTAGGAGGTATAACTAGAGATTCATCGGGGAGAATAATATCAGCAAAAGCAGTTAAAACAATGTGGATGGTTCACGTTAATTTCACTACCGTGAATATGGATAAAATTGGGAATGATATTGGAACAGCCGACTGGGTAAAGTAAGTTGTCCACCAGTTCCAAATCAAATACAATAATGCCACAGGTTGTGAAACATAAAACAGTTGATTAGATATTGTTTGACGTCATCTAAACTTTGCAATTAATTATGAATGATAATTTTTCAGGTATTAATAACGTCGAAATTCTAGAGATCTAATGGATTAAGAATTCTGATTATCGTAATTATAATTTTCTACACTATATAATGCTGACGATTGAATTGGATACAGGCAACGGAGAACGTTTTAGCGTGGGAATCAGCTTTCCTCCGCGAACTAGAAATAAATGCAGAAATCATTAAGTTGAGGAATAGTTCCGGTCGAAACTGGGCATTATGGTATGAAGCTGGACGTAGCTTTGGTGATGTCAGTTCGGCTGCCATGTTTCAGGACATGGACAAGATAATAGCTGGTACCGCTATGATGTCAATTTACGTACAAGTGATTTTATCTGACTTTAACTGGGTGGAATGGCGAGTAAGCAGCTGCATATAAAATACATAACAATAAAACTGTTATGCATGAAGATAATAAATATTCAATTAAATAGTTTTGGCTGACCACTGCTGGTCTCCTGTGCATCGGAGGTGCATTTATCATCGCTGTAGGTGTATGTTCTCTCATCGGAGTGCCTTATGGACCAGTTCACACATCACTGCCGTTTATGCTAATGAGCTTAGGAATCGATGACATGTTCGTTGTGATGGCTTCCTGGAAACAGGTTCTGTCCAATAAGTGTAACATTAACAAGCCATTACCTGAAAGGGTTGGCCTGATGTTGAGCCACGCTGGCACTGCAATTTCAATCACGTCCTTGACAGACGTCGTCGCCTTCATCATCGGTGCATCTACGGTATGTGTTCTACGCCTATGAAAAATTTATTCAGAAATTCACATATTTCTTTCAATTGCCCAGATCTTACCATCCTTGGAATCATTTTGCATTTACGCAGCGATGGGTGTTTTCGTCACCTTTCTACTGCAGCTCACCTTCTTCGTTGGTTTTTTCACCCTAGATGCAAAACGCATCGAAGCCAAACAAAACGGCATATTGCCTTGTATAGTGCATCGTAATTTCGAGCCAACAGCGATCAACGAAAACCGACAATTCTCATGGAAGATAATGAATTGCATTTACTCAAAGGTAGTTTTAACACTGCCAGGAAAAATCATAATTCTGTTAATGACAGCTGGCATTGCATCCTTCGGAGTCATGGGCTCGTTGAATCTGGAACAATGGTTCGATCCTGATTGGTTTCTTCCAAACGATACCTATCTGAGTAACTACATTCACCAGCGTAATCTACACTATCCTAAGTTGGGGCAAGTCGGATTCGTAGTTATGGGAGACATAGATTACGTGTTCGAACTCCCACGAATAGTTACTCTTACGGAGACCCTGGCAAATCTGTCCTTTGTACAAACAGTGGAGCCATGGCCTCTAGATTTTGTTAAATTTGTCAAGACTTATTACAATAAAGGTAATATAAAGTTACCTCCACTATATGTATGTACTTCTTAATATTGTGATTTGGTTTTACTACCACATTTCAGACGCGAAGTCGAAAAATCTCTCCGAAGAGGACTTCGGCAATTATTTGTCAAGATTTCTCTTCAGTCGAGATGGCGGCAAGTATCAAAGAAATTTCCTGTTCGACAGGAAGTTGACTTGCGGTAAAGGAGCGCCAAAAATCCTAATTGCTAGTATAGACTTCAAGTTCTACATGTTCAGCGGTCCCCACGAATGGATTCCAGCAATGGACGAAGTGAAACAAGTAGTGGCCAACGTCGGAATTGAAGGATTCGTTACGGTTTGGGCCAAGGCCTTTGCTACTTGGGTGACGGACAAAGTAATCTCTCGCGAGGTGTCACGCAATCTCGTTTTGGCACTGATATGTGTAATGGGAACAACAGCTATTCTCATTGCCGAACCGCAAACGTGTTTCTGGATACTCCTCTGTGTCTTGTTAACGCTTCTCGACGTTTGCGGTTTCATGTACTACTGGGGACTGACCATTGACATTGCATCCTGCATCGGTAGGTTTACTCCTCCTTCGCTGCTACTTCTGCCAATTAACTGTCAAAAAGTAATGTTTTCTTCGTGTTTCTACCCAGGTCTAGAGCTGGCCATTGGATTAAGCGTGGACTACGCGGCTCACGTAGCCCATGCTTTCCTAAATACCTCGTCACATGACGGAAAACGAGACCGTCAGACAAGGACATTGGTGGCAGTAAGACACATCGGAGCGGCAGTCATTTTTGGAGCTGGTTCCACGTTGCTGGCGCTATCATTGCTGTCTTTTTCGCAAGCCTACGTATTTCGTGCCTTCTTCAAAATATTCGTCCTAGTTGTAGTATTCGGTTTATGGCATGGACTATTTCTCTTGCCAGTAGTGTTAAGTACCTTGGGTCCTCGGAGCCTTCACAAGGAAGACCGAGGCCAAAAACGCGAGGGCTCACCTGAGGATTTAGACCCTGAGGTGAGGTCCCCTTTACGTACCGTTCCAGAAAGCTAATTAACCGACCATTCCCGGATTAATTATCAATAATATTTATTTTTGGTTCAATAAACATACAAAATTATTACACTATCCGTAATATCGATCACACATTTATACAAAAATAAAAGGTCGGATAACTTAAAACGCAGTACTTATATTTATATGAGATAAAAAACAAGTACAAAATAACGTGGCTAGATCGGCCGCGAACCGACATTGATACTATCATTCAATCGTTAAGATCGGAAAGGAACATGACATCCGTGAACGTAACGTTATCGTGTCGGATGCGCACTCGAGCAAGAATCGTCGAGTTTTCAACAATTTCTATCGTTTAATCGTACTCATCGCTGCTTGGTCCTGTTCTCTGCGCAATTTTCTTTCAATTCGTTCGAGATCAGCTGACGATCATATGGTGGACTTCTGAAGGATGATAAAAATTAGATTACGTTTTCTGCTATTCAAAATAGATTTTGAAAGGCCCAAAAGGTAAATATATATTCGGCTTGGAACCAGCCTGATTTAAGAATGCTTAGGTAAGACACCGTAATTGTATTTCAATTTATCCATGATATGCAAAGTATCGAATACGCTGCCAATTCTCAACCACTTCAGTCGGGTTTACTTTAGAGTTAGGGTATTCGATCGTTTTAGTCATCCACGAGCAAATAATATTCATTTTTTTCACAAGATAAACGTGTCCGTCCAATAATGTACATGGCAAACGAAAAGATCTGTCTGGGAATTCCAGATGTCTATATATTCGCATTTCTCTACCGTGTTGTTTCTACCTTGCTCTCTTTTTCCAAGTGAGGAAAAAATCTCATTTTCCTCAGAAAATATTCGAAGATGTAAGCCGAGCACCTCGGTAACGAATGTATGCCAAAAATGATCGGCAAGCCGGCTATCGATTCTTGCTCCTAGAAATTATACGGCTAAAAAAAAAACAAAAAAGAAACAGAAACATGATTCCGTCAGAGCTGCGAGTCGATGTCGAAATGAAAAGCCCAAGTAAAAAATTCAAACACGGATTATTTATAAACTGCATATCGGATATTACATGAAGTATATAAACCATATTCGATATAGTTTATACAAAAGCCGTATACAACGTTCTCTCTTTTTCTTTACTTAGGGCGCTCCAAATGCGTTTCGGACACCTCAGAATGACGAGCAAGTCAAGACAAGAAATTCACGAATGTCTGTATACACCTGTCGACCCGAGTGCACGTGTAGACGACAAAAAAGAAAAGAAAAGAAATAGACACGAAACGACGTACCAGACTCTTAAATCATCCACAGTAATATTTCCGACATTTCCAGTTTTACATAGGAATCTTTTAATAAGAATAAAATAATCAATTGACAAGACATTATACACATTATATACAATATGCCATTATTCGCTTTGTCTGTGATGCAACACATGAGTTTCAAAAAAATAATATGGCAACACAGTGACCGAATGTAAGTGTTGCAGAAGCCTCGGGAGACCGTCCTGCGGAAGATTCTCATTTACAAGTCAAGAAATGTTAAGCCGAGCTGTCTCGTCGAGCATATTATGCGCAAATTCACTGGATCCTTAGTGGTCTCACCCCGAACTCACTAACCGCCGAGTAAATATCTGCCTAAAACGTTTTCTCAACAGCCTCGCTTACCTTGATCTGTATAGAAAATGTCTAGCAGGGCATGGAACGTACATGTCTAATTGCAATGTATATACTTGGTCTCGCCGAGCTTCGGCATCGTTACATCCTAATCGAATCATTCTTCGCTTCGATTACCTGTGATGTAGGTTGCGATACGAAAGGAAAATATAGCAAATATACATATTAAAAGTGTAGCGATTTATCAAATGAAAGATAACGCCTGTCACTCGATAAAAAATAGATAGGTTAATATAATAGCTAAGGATTCTCGTCTTTCTTGCGTCGCTGCATCGCGAGAGTCGATTCCCCGAAAGAACTCCGAAAATTCGTCGTATTTTGAAATCGTCCTATCAGAGCCTCCCCTGAATCCACCTGCCTATCTTCTCCGTGCCTATCCGAATCTCTCCCGTCCTCCCATAAGCTTTCGATTACTTTTTTGAGCAATAAATACTTTCTCCGTACGGGCGATTGCACATCGAATTGACGCACGGGACATCCAGTCGAGCATTCACCCCGATTCGCCCTGCGACTTCGTCCTTCCCGAATTTCAATTAAACGCGAGAAGTGCAATTTCCTTCCCTGGGAGCACCTTCGACTTTCAGGGAACGTAAATTGGTAGGAAAAAAAAAAAAGTGAACTCTGATCAGGGAAAATTTCGATACCCCGATGAAACACATCCACGGACTTTGATTTTCCCATCTGAAGCTCCCAAGAAAGCGTTTAGATTTATGATAACGTTCTGGATCAGTTTGGTGATTCTGCCAGTTATCTGGACGAGAACTATTCGACGAATTGACCTCGATTCAACTTTAACTTCAAATAGGCAAGTCAAAGTGCGTCATATATGTGATAAGCACTTCTCACGTCAACGTTAATTAGGGAACGATTGCCAAGACTGAGTTCGTAGTCGATCCTCGGATACAAGGAAGCATGAGAAAGACTCAGGGATGTCCCTGATTAGTTATCAATGAATTGCCAAGGATAAGCCGATGCCATCGAGTGACGTAAGCGATAGGCCAACTAATCCCAAATCAGGCCTCTAGTGTGGCACTCTTGGTGATTAGCTCCTCCGTGGACAAACGACGCCGACCTTCGACGCACACCGAGAGAGATCTTTTTTCCAAAAAGCGACTACGAATCCAGCCCATAGAGCCGGCTCTTCCGTCGAGGTTCCGCGCCGCGAGTTCGGTGCAACTTAACAACCATCCTCAATTCCAAATCCGAAAAAGTCGAACCTTGTCGGAAGGGTCGCCCCCGTCGCCTCACACGTAGTGATGAGCATTTGAGTCTGACTTGGGTTTCCAAACAATAGATTTAAATACCCGAGCCGCTTCGCATATCGCTCGAAATCTCGAAATCGCCAAAAGTCAACGAATTTTAACATAAACTCGAACGCGACGCCAACGCGTGATATCGAGCGCGTCCCTCAATTTCCATCGGTTCGACATTCCAAGAAAGATGTCGCGAGTCGTCGAAAATCAATGAACGTTTATCGTCTGTACCTCCATACAATCGGATATGTAGATAAGAGAGTTATCCACGTGCGGGGAAATCGGAGTCGATCGAGGACCATTCGCGACTTCCTCGATTCGAACGGTACCCGAGGTGACTCGGACTCGTACCCGAACATTCGAAGCGATCCGAAGCGTCTCGACGCCCATCACTACTCTCACACGCTCGCAGACTACACGACTACACCCACGGAGTAATGTTACGTCGATCAATGATTATCAATTCATATCAATTCAATATCAATGTATTACAATCAGACAATACTCAACAGTGATCATTATTTATATATTACAATAATTAAGAGTGACAACAACATGACGACGGAGGCGTTGAAGCATATGAGAGATGATGGGTACAGAGGAGGCGGGCGGAAGGAGTAGTGGGACGAGTCCGGGGTAGGCTCGCGCGCCCTCGCGCCCGCCGCCATCTTGGAAAATCCCAAAAGGGGATTGGTCGGTTCCCGCGCCGGCCGGCGCGTCATTGGTCGGCCACGGTACCGAGCCGGGCCGCGCGCGCGCTGGCGTCGTCGGCACTCACCGAAGGCCCTCGTCCGAGTGGCGGCTCGCCGAGCCTCGACGGGGGCCTCCCACGGGGGCGAGTGCCCCCGGAGCGGCTCGGGTGGCCTAGCGAAAACGCGCGGAAAAAGTGCTAGAAAAAACCGTGGCAGGTTCAATTAGGCGCGGGTGCACGCGAGCACGCGGGAAGGGGGGCGGGGGCTGGGGGCAGGGAAGCACGCACACTCAACACAACCGTCACATCGAGCTGGCCGCCGCGCGCGCGCGCACGCGCACGGGGCCATAGTCCATAGAGTAATACCTACTAGCTAATACACAGTCTGTTCCATTGCGCGAATCTGTTTTTTTTCTTCTTTCGTTTTATACGTGTATATACATACATATAAATGCGTCCACGCGTAATGCGTGTGCACATACATACGTACACGTACGGTGCGACGCGTCGACAATATATATATATGTACACGCAATATACATACGAGACGTTACACCATCCATCGTGTATATAATATATACCCATATCAAGTAATTAATTACCGTTAATGTTAATCCTTAGAACTCGTAAAACTCGACTCTCTCTCTCTCGCACTCGTTCTCTCAGGCTCTCGCTTCCTTTCTCTCGCAACTCTCTCTCACTCTCTCTTTCCACCCACGTTCGCTTCCTCACGCATTCTTCCGCACACTCGCTCTCTCTCTCTCTCGTAGCCCCGAAGGGGATCGGCTATAGTAGCGGTGGATGGAAATGTTTCTTCGTTAAAATGGCCGCCGCGGTGGCGCTCGTGTTCTCGGCCGTTTACACATGTACAACATCGTTAATCGAGTAATTGATTCGAAGTTATGTATTACCTTTAAATGCACGCCCGTGCTCTCGCTCGCGATCTCGCCGAATTTCAAATCTCTCTCTCTCTCTCTCTCTCTCTCTCTCTCTCTCTCCCTCTCTTTCGTGCACACAGGCGCTCTCTCCCTTGCTCTCCCTCCTCTCACGCTTGGAGGCGTTGCACAACGGCGCCCGCCGCTGGGGTGTGAGAGGCGCGTCGTTATTTAATATTATATTATAATAAATCGTGGTTTTGGTTTCCTTTCGTATTTACAGATTACGTAGTGAGTGTGATGATTCCCGATGTTAACACACACCTGCCAGCCAGCGGCCCTCGAGGAGACTCCGTCGAGCGCGGGTCATCGAATGGCTTTCGAACGTCCACCCGGCACGTATATCCCTTCGATCCGCTCGATTGCTTAGTTTAATTATTCATTTATTTATATACTTAGTGATTTATTTAATCGTTTATTTAGTCGTTACCGGTCGCCCGGGGCAGCCGTGCAGTTTTTCGGGCCGCTAGTGGCTCCTCCGGCGGCCATTCTTAGAAGCAACTGCGGAAAACCGAAGCTGCGGCCAGGCGACGCTCCTCGCTCTCCCGACGCTCGATACTCGACTCGATACCCGACTCGATACCCGACTCGATATCCGACTCGATACCCGATTCGATGCACGAGCCGTTCTAGGCCGGTACGCTCGGCGATTCGTCCGCTGAGGAAACACAGGGACACTCAGCAGGGCAACTCTTGACGGGAAGGTTTAGTCGGATGCTTAGAGTTCAGGAAGCATCAGGGATTGGCGTCCGCCGCCATGATGTTGTGAACCTGCTCCAACTTGTACGCCAGCCGCTGCTTCCTCGAGAACTCGTCCTCGTCGAGCGTCACTATCAGCTGCTCGTTGTACTTGCCCGCGTATGTGTACAGCTCGTACAGCGCCGAATTCGGGTTGAACTCCGCCGCGTGCAGCTAAACATGGAAAAAAAAATGGAATCGTTGCACGCTGCATTGACAATAAAGTCGTTAAAAGTTAGAGATAAACAACTACGGCCACGTGATACAGCTCAATCTAATCAGATGAGGGATGACCAAAATGAAGTCACGTCTATGAGAAACAATGAATCCGGTTCAATCTATTCTAGCCTGATTAGTATCAGCCAAGACCATTAACTACATCCTCCAAGGAAGAAGAGCCTTACCCTAGACTCCTCTGCAAGCATGGCGTTCATGTCCTGATCGGAGATGGCGGGCATGATCTTGATGTCCGAGTAGTACCGCTCCACCCACTCTTTGTACACTGGAATGTCCTTTGCGTAGAGCAGCTTCGAACTCGGAGAGTCCTTGCCTGAGAACGGATAGGGATGCCGGAGGCGTAATATAATTAGTTTGGAATTCCAGGGGGACGTGCTCGATGAAGGAGGGCGTCTTACCCAGTCTGTGATCCGACGTGGAGCAGCTATCCATGAAGGTCTGCGCCACGACGGAGAAGCACGCGTCCACGATGTTGGACTTGTGCACATCGAAGACGAAGTTCGGGTTCTTGATAAGGTTCACCCAAAACCTCAGGGGAAGGGAGTTGCTCTTCCACGTGTGGACCACCTCGGGGTCCGATATGCCGTGATGAAGCGCCTGGTCGTCCAGGAAGTCGAACATGTACTTAATAGCTAGGGGCAACGCCGAGCCTCTGTGGGCCGTGCTGAAAATCGTCTCGAAGAGGTCGTCGACGAACTTCTGCAGCGTGCCCTTGGTGGCCAGTAACCTCGTCAGGTAGATCTCGGAGACCATCTTGTTGCCTCGCTCGCCCTCTTTCTTCGAGTCGGTGTCGTGTTGCTTGACCAGGTGCCAGCACTTCACCCCGCCGTCGTGGTCGTGGTTCAAGGGCGACGTGGCGCGCGATAAGGGAGGACTCGCCGAGCTATACTTGCTCAAATTCAAGGTCTCGTACTTGTGCGACTTGTCGGTCTTCTCGGAAAGGATCGACAAGTTGTAGATGGAGGACTGCTTCGACACGAGGCTGAGAGAGGCACCATCGGGTACCCTGTAGTGATTCAGGGTGTTCCTCTTCTTCCATTCACCCTCCATCTTGGTGGTCGAGTCCTCGTCGTAGAGGATCAGTCTTCCGGAGGCTCCGGTTCGCCATTCTGAAAGATAAACCGACCGTTGATGCAACTTCCCTTCCTCTAAATAATTCTAACCCACCCATAATTTCCAAAAAAAAAAGAAACATCCAGGGATACATGACTTACCAAGATCGAGGTCCTCCTTTTTAGGTCGCTGGCTGTACGGCGTGGACCTGTAGATGGTGTCGAGAGCCTTCTCCTTGACTTGAGATATGGTGTCGCAGTCGAGGACCTTCACCGGAACGTTCTCCGTGTTCGGGTCCAGGGCGCCAACGAAGATGTTCTGCTGGGAGATCGATACGTAGACAGTCTGCGGAAGAGAGTTGAGATGACAAAGTCGAGCCAACGAGAGGTGGGATACGATTCGGGAGATCGTAAGAAACTCTTACCATCGGCTTAAAGTCTATCGACTGCCTGATCAGCTTTTCTTCCGAGAGGGAGTACCTGGCCTCCGAGGTGATAGCGTCGACGGGCCCCTTGTCAACCTGCTGCTTCATCGCTCGGAAGAGCATGTAGAGAGGTTCCCCGGCGCACTCTCGCATGAACTTGTACAGCAGGAAAGTGAACCAGGCCGACAGCATCTTCTCGGCGACGCTTTCCGTCCTGAAGAAAAGGACGAAGAAGGGTAAGCCCAAGTTCAAAGAATAAAATTAAGAGAAAGGTCGAAATACACCTACCGCCTGAGCAGCAGCTTCGGGTGGCTCTTCCCTTCCATGCATTTCTCGATGAGCTCCGCGAGAAGGGTCTTCAGGATGTCGGTGCAGTATTCCATCTTGCTCTGCAAGGTGACCATGATGAGGCTCGCCACATTAACCCGGTCCCTCATCGAGAAGTACCGGTTGCTCTCCAAGGTCCTGACGAAGAGCAGAAGGAAGGTCTTGTTCATGATGAGCTGCCCGAAGAGGCGCAGGCCCTTCTCCTTGCGCGCCAGCTCGGGTCGGTCCCACTGGAGCACGACGTGGTTCGACACGTTGGGGAACAGGATCTCCATGGCGTAGGTGCGATAGTCCAGGAAGGGAATCCCTCCACTGGTGAGGTCGCCGGTAAGGTCAGTCATCTCGGTCTGCAATTCGGCGAACGCTTCCTTGCACTCAGCGGCGACCCTCAGTTCCAGGATGTCCATCTGCTCCTGCATGTTCTTCAGGACCCTGTTGTTCTCGGTTGACTTTCGTTTGTAGGCGATCAGGAAGGCGATAAAGACGAGGACGAGCACGACGATGGCAGCGATGACGCCGATGAGGACTGGCTTGGAGAGAGGGCCGTTAAGCCCGGCCGGCAGGGCGTAACTCAGCTTCCCGATGGAATACCGCAAAGTACCTCCAACTATGACGATGACTTCGGGAAGTTCCTGTCGATTCGGCATCCCCTCGGCGTCCAAAGCCGGCGGTTGGGTCAAGGGTGGTTTACAAGTCAGCTGCTGGCGCGAGAGAGAGGTCACGTTGCAAAACGCGTTCCCGATTTGCACGACCACGTCGGACTCCTGGCAGGCGCGGTCCAGGTGTTGGCCATTGATGGTGAGGTAGTCGTTCTTGTAGTACTTGATCTCCTCGTCGAAGACCTTGTACACGGGGTTCGGATAGAGAAGGAAGTGGTTGAACCCGTGTTGGGAGAGATTCCGCACGCTGGTGACATTGTCCATCCGGAAACCGTACTCCAGCGGGAGAGGCCTCTCGTCGCCCAGCTCGACGTTTTCCGGCACCTCGATGGTGGGCGACCGGCACACCATGTTGGTCTGGCTGAGGACGACGCACTGGGACACGAACATCTTCTCGTCATAGTACACGTACATCTGTGGGTTCTGTATGTAGGCGAGGTTCTTCCCGGTCACGGATATTCTGATGCCGCCCACGGGGATGCCCTTGGGGACCTTTATCTGGCTGGCGACCCCGCTTGAGATGCTCTCGATGGTCGGGTCGTCGACGTACTCGAAGTAGTCGTCGCAAGTCCGGTTACCCCCGTCGAAGCTCATGGTCAGCTTGCTCTTCAGCTTCCGATGACTGGCGCTGGTCATGCACAGTGCCTCGGTGGCCTCGGCGCTGATGATCGAGCAGGGCAGCTTCTCGATCAAGGCCTCGATCTTGCTACCGGCGTTCATGTACTTGCCAATGATCTTGACTATGGTGCCGCCGCTCAGGGGGCCGTACTTCGGGGAGAACGAGGTAATCTGGGGGTCGACGAACTCAAAGTTGTACTCCGACTGACCTCGGTAGTCTTCTATGTTGACGATGACCGGTCCGCTGCGAAATCTGCCGTCACCAGGGCCGTCGATCATGCAGACGATCTCCTTGGTCCGGACGTAGAGCTCCTGGTAGGGACTGCAGGCCATACCCGCGACCGAGATTCCGCTGTAAATGTCGTTGAACGATTTCCCCAGGTTGATGCCGCGAATGGTGACGTTGGTCTTGCCGTCCCAGGGACCGACCATCGGTTCGAAGGACTCGATCACAGGGTTAGGACAGGTCCGGTTCCTGTTCAGCCAGACGTCGATGCCCCGGTCGCACTGGTCCCTCACCTCGCACCTGGCCGAGCTCTGACACCAGCCGCATCCGTATTTCTGGGCCAAGGCCAAACACATGCCGCAATTGTCCGCCATGTCCCGGCACCTGTATATCACCACGTGGATGTTGTCTGGGTTATCCAGGGGCTTGGACCCTCCCCAGATCACGGCGAAAGGCACGGTGATGTTCGGGGCCCTGGACGTGTAGGAGAACTCGGTCTCGTCGCAGTAAATCGTATCCGCGAGCAGCTGGGCGTTCACGCTGGTCACCCGACCCTCGATGTTGAACTGGCAGACGAACCTGGTCTGCACGATGAATTGCTGAAACGAGGAAGTCGTTTAGAAAACAAACACTTCCGGAAGAACTCAACCCCTTCCCCCTCATCCAGGATGCCACTTACTCCGATGATGTGCACCTTCACTCGGATGACCTTCTTAATTCCGGAAGACACCAGGATCTCCTCCGAGTCCGTGGCGTTGATGGTGGGACAGAACCCAGGTCCGCTGCGGTAGCTCGGACCCATTCTCTGCAAAGGAAGCAAAGCTCGTTTAAGATGTACAAAGAGACCATCGTAAGTGTCTTATCATCTGATACTCACGCTCACGCCAGTCACCAGGATGTCGTTCCGACAGTTCTCGGCGGTGTCGTGGGTGCAGCGATGTCCGTCGACGCACCAGTCGCAGGGGAAGTCGGAAGACACGCATCGCGTGCAGGAGCTGTAGGTGTTGCAGTCGAAGAAGGTGAAGTTGGTGGCGACGAGGTCGGGCCCGTTGGTCATCCTGACGGATAGCTTGGCGATGAAGTGGTGGTGACCTGGTGGGATGCTGGGCAGCAGGTCTGTCCGAGGGGTCGTGCAGTTAACGCCATAGGCTTTCCTCGAGGCGTTGGTGATAAGCGTCTTGTCGAGGGCGGAGAAGGCACACAGGAACTGGCCCTTCAGGGTCGGCAGGTTCTCTATCATCAGTTCCAGGGTCCTGGCAGTGGTTCGCTGAAGTTGCTCCGGCACGACCGTCGCTATGGTCGTGCATCTCCCGCTCTTGTAGGAGATCCAATACAAAGGATCCTTTGCGGCGTCCTGGCAGTCGCTGCGCAGGTTGCACTTGTTCTCCAGGGAACACCAGCCACAGTACGGGTCCTTGGCGCCCAGGCACTCCAGACAAGTCTTGTACACCGAGCACTCCTGCACCTTGACCTTCGACACCTTCTTCTCCGTCAGGACGTAGAGGTGCATCAGCTGCGTGTCGAAGAGCAGGTCAGGGTTCACCGGGGATCCTGGGTCGATTTCCAGTTCCCCGTACTTCAGAGCTGACGATGAGCTCTCTACGACGACCTGCATGTAAAATATGAAATATCGTCAGGGTAACGGGTAAGTGACGTTACGTACAAATTTTAAAAATTATCATAAAATACTAATTTTTAGTACATTCATTCTAGTAAAATTATAAATCCGTTGCCTCAATTTACAGCGTGAACGTAGAGGCTATGAGAAAAGTCCTGGCACCCATAACATTTCATTGTTTCGTTACAAAGACTTAATAATCTTTATAAAGCAGTTCTTGAAGAAAAAAATTGAAATCTCACGGAAATTTCACCTTCCTCGCAGCATCCACCCTCACGTTGTAAAACTTTAGACTATTCGGTACATCCAGGTCGGAGAAATATTTCATAAACGAGACTTCTTTGACGCGATTTTCACGCCGCCCTTAACCATGGATTACTACACATTTATCATGAACCAGGTGAGTTCATGATCATGCAACATCCCGTCATAATTATTTAGAATTAAATATGGGAATTAACGCATTTACGTAGCGAATCTTTAACGGGTGTTACGAATTGTTAATTGAAACTGGCAGAAGGAGGTCATAAAATTGCAGGATTTCTTTCAACCAGGTCGGGGATCGATTTCGGAGGGGCATGGAAATTCATTCGGCCGCGATTCGACCTCGCAGGGCACGATTCGGCAAATGCAAACGGGGGAGGAAGAAGGCGGAAAATCGTTGGAAAATTGAGGATCATCGGGAATAATCCGCGAGCGATTCGAGAGCGGGGAGGCGTGCCATCGGGTATTCGATCCGACTCGTACACAGGGGGTCGCGGAATTCACCTCGCGGGATTACAATTTGACGAAAATGAAACTTACATTTCGGCGCGACCAGCGCATAAGCTCGGGCCCTGTAACTTAATCGCGTGAATTTCGTCCGGGCGAAATAAACGAGCGCGATTCCGCGCCGGCTAGGAATAATACGAGCGGTAGGCAAGCCCTTCACCCCTGCATAAATAATTCCATTATTTTCGGGGCAAACGGCTCGCATTTGGGAAATGCGATCACTACCGCGATTACCGTGTTCCTCCCGTTACAGCAGCGGCGCTCGTTCGCCCAATCACGCTCGCAATCAAGTCACTCGCAAATAATGAATTTAATGTATAAAAATAAAGGAAAGAAAAAAAATGAAAAAGAGCGAGGGGAGGAGAAAAATTCCGAATTCCAGAATCGAATAACGTTAAACTCCGTGCTCCTCTCTCGTCCAATTGCGACATACAAAGTGCACCTCGGTGCGACGCGGTGCATGGATTCGTTATCGGTAGCTGGACGTTGCTTGTTAGCCGAGAAACAAGCGACGACGACGACGCCACGCCAAGTAACACGGCCCTCCTTTGCGCCCTCTCGCGGGCGAAAGGAAGCAGCCTGTCGTCGTTACGGAACTCGGGACGAAGATATTTATGTAAAGTCGTAAAGACTGCCACCCGATGACTTAATTGCCGAGGAGCGGTTTGCTTCGATTCGCGATGCGTCAGCCAGTAAGTACCGGGATCGGCCGGCGATTCGTAAAAAGGCCTAATCACGGCGTCCCGGGGTCGCTTCTACAAGGAGCTGGTCGGTGACCGCGCTCCCCACGTGTTGGTACATCGCATCCCTCTGTGATCTCGTACCGTGGCGGACCTGAATGTCTGATGCATCATGGGAAGGCATTAATGTCCGCCAATGTACACCAGGGTACACTGGCGGGCATGAATGTCTACCCTGCAGGTAGCGTCACCAATGCGTCATGGGAAGGAATTAACGTCCACCACTGTACACCGAGGTGTACTGGCGGACATTAATGTCTCTCTCGCGGATCTGGTATCAACGGTGTTAGAAAGAGGCGTATATATCCTCCAAGGTACACGAAGAGATAGGTACCTCGAGGTCGTTTCGCAAGTGAATTGACATTAATAATTAATTACGAACGGTTTGAAATAATTCGGTCCATATATTGGGCCCTAAGATATGCCGATCGGCTCTTCCGAGGTATCGATGTCATGTACAAATTTCAGGGTTACGTTACGGATTAACTTTTAGGCTGTATTAAGAGGTGATTCCAGGACTTTCGAGGCTGGGATATTATTCGAGACTCTTCGAGCCCCTTTAAAGTGTTGCTCTCGCGGTTCGTACACTTTGTGCAGGTCGTACGTCTCCGCGCTCGCGAGTGAATAATTTGCGCGTGCCTTGGTAAGTAACGAGCAATCTACGTGTCTACCCATCCACCTACGTGTACACGATCCCGACACGTTTGCCGTGGCAAGTTCTCGTAACTCGTAAGATATTCGTTCGAGGTAACGCGATATGAGCGCTCGACGCGATTAAAGCAGATGCTCTCCCTCTCTCTCCCTCTCTCGGTACACGTGCGTACGTGTACACTTTTGCATACGCGAACGCGTATCTACGGGCGAACCTGTACATAGGCGTATGCCGAGGAAAGTTAGCACCGACCGAATTGAGGCCTCGATTTCCCGCCTTACATCTGGAGAGGAGAAAAGAAAAAAAACGTCCACTCTTATCTTCATGGAAAATCAAATGAAAAAATTTCAGCTCGAAATCTCTTCCGTTAAATAATTACTCAGAATCATTTTACAGCGTAGACGCAATAGGAGCGGTGAAAGTGATCATTGTCAGGCCTCGACTTATCATCGTACATCGGAAGGAAAGAAATGACCAATTTATTGACACTCTCGTATTAGTGTAAAATCAAATGAAAAAAAAAAATTTCAGCTCGATGTTTTCCCCGCTAAATAATTATTTGGATTTATTTTAGCAGGGTGGACGCACAGTAGGAGCGGTGAAAGCGATCGTTATCAGGATCGCCGCACCGGATAAAAATCGATTTCTAGTTAATCCTGTCCAGCCCTTGTCGCTAAGTGGAGCCGCCTCGTTTTGGCGCCGACCTACGTGCACGAATTTATCAATTATCCTCCGAGCGACTTTGTCCACACACTCGGGGCAGTGAAAGTGACCGTTTGGCAAAGCCACGAAGTCGAGTCGGGTAAAAGGAAATTTCAGGCCAATACGGCGCAGCCTTTATCGCGAAGTCCGTCTCCTTTCGCGGAGTCGTTCTCGTTAGTTTCTGTCGCGAAAAAAGAAGGGAAGAAAAAAAAAATACATATATATGCCGCGCCTACACCAGGCGCGGCGAGAACGAGTTTTTTCGCGGAATCGCCGGATCCAGGTGAATATAAACTAAATTCCACTGTTAATAAGGACTCGATACGCGTGCCGGAATGGACGGATTATTTATCGGCGCGTCAAGCCGGTCCGGCGAAACTGGACGCGGAATGCGGCCGTGTCGAAAAGCTCTTCGCAACGGAAATGCTGCATCACAGGCGCTGGTTTGTCGAGCTTGTAAATGGCCGAAAACGGGCGGGAATTAAGCGAAGAGCGGGGGCGAAAAAAAAAACCGTGCAGGCCGATGTAACTACCGAATCATCGCGTTAAAGCTCGCCGAGAGTGCGTTCCTAAATTTCAGCCGCGCAACAAAAAAATTGCCCCCCATTAAGCCCCGAAAATGGGAGACAGTCGCATTCGCGATTGTTACCACCGCCGGATGCGAGGGATTAAACAACTCGATTTGCCCTCGTTTTTTATTCAGGAATTCTCCTCGGTCCATTGAGGACGATTTCTCGAAGAAAGAAGTTTTCAACTTTCCACGGGGTAGGTGGATTAAATAAAGGGATTTACCCTCGATTTTTATTCAGGAGTGCTCCTTGATCCTTGAGGCTTTCGTAGAAGAAAGCGGGGAAATTTTGAATTTTCTACAGGCCAAGCGGATTAAACAACGCGGTTTTCCCTCGGTTTTTTTTTTTTTTATTCACGAGTACCTCTTCGTCCAACGGCGACGATTTGCCGAAGAAAGCTGGGAAATCTTGAAGCTTTTCACAAGGCGTGGGCGTTTTCGGTATCCTTTTTTTCGTCTGCGAGGAGAGATAGGGACCTTTTAGATCCCGACTTTTTTTCTGCGAACAAAGGACTCATTCGCCGTCTGGTATCGCCCGGCGCGTGTGTACACGCGTTATCACTTGATATCCCAGAAAAGAACAAACCGAGGCGGATGCTCTCCGCATCCTGCGTTACGTCCCGCTTAATATCCGGAGATGAAGTCATGTGAACCTCGGGTAAGTGTACCGAGTCTGGGGTTAATGGGCCTCGTTAAATATCGGACGAGTAAATAATCCATGTACCCGGGGTTATCAAGGGCGGTGCTGAAAATATGCGTGATTTTAACGAGGTAAAAAAGGTAATAGCTCCGGGGTCTGGGTCACTTTTGAATCGCGAACCCCTTTTCCGACGTGCACCCAGGAGAAAACGAGCTGTATAACATTTCCCGTAAATATTTTATAGACATACGTTATGAATTCAGCGCACAAGTGTATTAAATTTCCTGCAGAATTTCGCAAAGTTACACGGTGATGTCATAAAATCATAGATTTATTTATTAAATCTGTAATACATGGATCCACCAATCCACTTATATGACGTCCATATAATTTCACTTTAACCTTACGTGCTAAAGTCGAAATTTATTAACGTGTCGTCATCGAGGGCGGTTCTCAAAATATGATTTTAACGGGTTAAAAAAAGAATAGCCCCAGGGTCTGGGTCACCTTTTTCACGGGAATCGCGAGACACCTTTCCCATGTGCGCACAAGAGAGAAAAGGAACCGTGCGACTCCGTTGTGCCGCACTTAGAAATGTCACCAGAGCACTCCGAGGGGACTTTTTCATGCCGAGCGATGAAAGAGAAGCCGGAAGTGCATTTAAAGGCGGTCCTTTATACCCGGATCGAGGGAGATTTTCCCGTTCCGATCGTTCCCAGCAATGGACACGGATGCGAATAATCATTCGCCGGAAACAGCGGACAGGTTGATTCGATTACAAAACCGAAACCTCCCGCTCGTTCCAAGGCTCCTTGCGAGAGCACATCTCCGAAAAAATTGGGGGAAAAAAAAAAGTATCCTCGAAAAGAAATAAATCAAGAAAATTTCTCGACGAACAACGACGTCGATTATTCCGAG